TGCTCGCCGTTCACAATGCAGTTGTTTTTTCAAAGCTCAAATTGGAGGTCAAAAGCCAGAAACTGATTTCGATGGCAGCCGTACTGTCTTCACTCGAGAGAGGAAGCACAACGGCGGGGGATTCAGAGGTTTGCCCAAGACAAACTTCTGCACAGACGTACTGTACATACAGTAACGTCCTCACAATGGTCCACACTGGTCAGTACCCCACTCAGAGTAGTCGCCGACAGCCGGAAACACACTGGCGAATTCGCCCAATTGAAGCGAATTGCCCTGAGCGCAAGTGCCAGACTTTCGCACGTTGTTCTTCGCCAGTTTCTTCCAGATGCCAGCCCCATTTCTGGCTGATACGCCGGCGGTCATTGTTGCTTTCTTGCAGTACAGCCTTCTTGTGAGGACCTGGGCCGACAGGTCTGCCAAGACTTTCGTAGGGCCTCTACGGGACGGCACCGCAGCAGCGCTCCCGTACACGGCTTCAAGCCAGAAAGAACAAACGTTCACGTCCATCGACATCCACATCTTCACCAGGCTTGGCCAGATGAGCTTCTCAAGCACCAATCACCCCGACAGGAAGGCTCATGGTGGTACAGTATCTTGCGGTTTTCTAGAACTGCTGCTTTCCTACTGCTTTTCTGCTGTTCCCTGCCACCCCAGTCGAGGTAAAGTCCTTGCCTGAAGCTAGATCCAGCTCCCAGTCGAGTGCAGATCCATCCGGAGGTGGCCCTCTGCCATATCATCGGCCCTGGCTCGACGTCTTCCGGGCACAAACATCTCCCCTTCCCTGCCCGACCAGGCGCCAAGGTCGGCCGAGCCGCTTTGACGCCGGTAACGAGGCCCTGCGTCAACGACACTCGAGGTCTGACTCGACTATTGAAATAATGAACGTTGGCAAATTCTGTTGGCTATTGAGTGACCTAGTGTGCGTCGTAACCTTTCTTCTCAGCCTGGCGTCTTCCGGTCATATCTCGGATGCACCCGACCCCGTCTTCGGCCCAGCCCCCGGGCTTTTCCACGGCCAGCCTTGGCCATCTTTCAGCTACCCCTACCACAACCGCCGCCAGACCAACCTTCCAAGTCGCCGCATCTATCTCACAAGCATCGCCTCCATTCAACAACCATTCACGTGTTGATGCTCTGGGGTTCGTCCACGCCATGACGGGGTTCTGGCTCATCATTCTCCTTTGCAGCGCTGTCAATCTTACGCACCTCACCATACCCATCTTGGAGAAAATGCATGTCCGCTCATGTCGTCGACGCGGGCAGCTTGGCTGCACTACATGAAGCGGCCGACACAAGGGCTGCCCTGCAGAGTGAGTTCAACATCCAGGCTGGGCTCAGGAAATAGATGGGAGGGGAAAATATACTGCAATCGAGTCGTGTTGAAGTTCCTGCTCAGCTTGACGTGTTCGACAAACCAGTGTGCTTGTGGCAAAATGGCAGTACCGCCCTGGACAAGGCAGGACACAGGCTAGGACGCGACTTTCAGGTTACTCGACCAGATCAGCGCTCGATTCTTGCGTCTATGATGGAGGGATTGGTGTTGATCCCAATAGCGGGCCTTTCTGACTCGGACCACGACGTCTCCCGTCTTTCCGCCGTACCCCTGTGCCTGCAATTCAACTATAGCGCGACATGAAGGGACTAGCTCAAGGACGAACAAGGTCCACGCAATGGCCTCTGTTACCGTACTGTCGGGTCAAACCAGGGACGCCACAGCCTTTTGCAGGATCTCTTTCGTATTTTGTACCGAAGTCAGAAATGAACCCGCAACCAAGGGTGCCGTCAACAAAAGGTCTGACGGGAGTTTCAGCGGTATTATCGGAAGAGAGATGCGAAGCCAGCTATTTTCCAAAGTTCGCCGAAAGGCGGCACTTTACCCGGGCTGGCCTGCTGCGCATCTCCTTTTGCAATGACAATCAATCATATCACACCGCAAGGGTTGGATGGTCTTGCAAAGCCTCATCGAGTCAGCGCGTTATCGCAATGCAACTGCTCTGAACTAGCAGGTCTTACATGTGTCGGGCATCACGTGGAGTCAATTGACAACAACGCTGTTGTGACAACATGGCGAATGGGCTTGTGTCTGAGTCTGGACGTGTTCACACCTACCCAGAGAGTAGAGCGTCTACACAAGCCAGCGCCAAGTGGATTCACTCCGTGTCCATGGCCGGATCCTGGTCCCGCGAGATAAGGTACCCGCGAGTGGTTCGAGAGCACGCTTTTGTCGGAAAGTCTCCACTTGGTCTGCGGTGCCGGCTCATAAGGAACCAGCAGGTGCGAAGCTAACTCAGCCACCCATCCCAGGGATATCAATTGTTGGTTTGAGCTATCGTATGACTTGTGGACCGCGACTGCGTTTGGAACCAACGTCCTTACTTCAGGAAATGAAGCCGCCCTTGACCCTATGCCCTTACAGTGTCTCGGTTCGCCGTCTTGCTCGTTATTGACACCTCGACGAACACTGCAACGCGTCCCCTACGGAGTCAGTTCTGGTAGTGATTCCTCTCGAAGACAAGTTGTAGTACTGATTTTGCAACAAGCACGATTCAAGTAATTCAACATCCCCGTGGGATGCTCCTTGGCAACAGCTACTGCTGCTAACCCACGAGCGCAGACCTTGAATAGCACTTGGCGTTGGTTCATCATCATCGACCCTCGCAAATGCCCCAAGACGCGAGCTACAGCTTCTGCCAGGACGAGGTCTGCACAAAGTGCCTTTGCACGAGCAATATACACATGCCAGCCTTGGCTTTCATTCGATTTCACCCAGAGAGCTCCAAGTTTGATCAAGCTTGTCCACAGGCGATCGGCACACGCTATGAGGCGGGTTCGAGCGATGGCAAAGAGGCTTGGAGTGAGAAAGTAAGGATATGAAGGCCGTGCCACACGCCGGACGCACAGCCTAAACGGGCGGGGCAAGTACATGGTTTGAAGGCCTCCCACCTTCTGTCGCCCCACATCGTATTGGACGGAAACATTCCTCCTACCACGAACTCCTGGCGCTCGCAATGCCATGTTGAACGAGGATGATCCATAGAACAGCGGAAAGGGTGAGACCACAATCCAGCAAACTTCTGAGCTGAGTGCCTGAGGGTCCTTGATGAGAACGATGGACTGCTATACCGGACGTATCGCTCAGTTTGAAATGGTAGTAGGTCAGCTGGTCTTACTCCGAAGGTGTGAATAGCGGCTTGAAATTCAGTCCGGCGCTCGATTCCTTTGGTGTATCGGTCGGGCTACAGAGTCTAACGACTTACCGGGTCCCCACAGCGGCGCTCCGGCCAGGATTTCTGATCTAGGTGACGGCCCCGCGGGCCACTCCTTCCGAAAAATGTAAGTATTATGATGGAAGTCGCGTACGTCGAAAAGACCCTCCCTTGTTCACGATAACTATATTTCATCATGCTTGCCAGAAGACAGCTGTCCAACGATAACAGCTCGATGATGAATGATGCAGCCATCTGCACAAGGCAGAGATCATCTCCACTGATGTGCAAGATAGTGTTATCAGAGGATGTGTCTTGAGACTTCCTACCCTTGCCATCTGATACTATGGACACGCTATGTTCACTCTTAAGGAGTCTTTGTACACTGACTCCTGGTGTTTGGTCACACCAGGCCACATGCCTAGCTTTCCAAGCTACTCTTATCCCAAACTTCGGTGTTGATAGAATCACGTCACCCAATTGTCTCAATCGATGGAATGGCACCCGTAGGCACGTGACGCTTGTTCAATGAGCCCTTATCTTGTCACAGCAACACAACCGCCCTGATTGGAAGAGGAACATGTGTGATCTTAGCATCCGGAGAAAGAAAAGAACCAAAGGTCGATGAGGGAAATGCGGACCGATAACTCCCGCTTCACAAATTCGGTCCTGTGGAGCGTCACCGTTGCAAGCTCATTCAGGCCTCGAGATTGCCGGGCTTCGGATATCTGCACGGAGCGATTCATGATCCTTGCAAGCTGCAACATCGGTCACCATTCTCGTCTCGTCGATGCTGGTGTTTTAAGATTACAACCACGCGGCGTAATCTCTCACAATGATATCGTGTGAGACTTGCACGAGGACCAATACTTTGGCTTTAAGGAGCTTGCGGTAAAAGTTCGAGCCGACACGTGCGCAAGTCCCTCGCTTGTTCTGTGTAAGAAACACCACTTCGAGGCAGATATGTCGGCAGGTTGGCCGCTTGCTTTTGCCGACAATCACCTTCGGGTGGCAATCTGTGATCAAAATATGTGTAGTTCTCCGGCAATGACCAGCACTTCTGTGTTATAGCTGTTCAGATGAGTTGCCTCCCATCACAGTGGATGTTGGCCGCAGCATTTGCGGCCTCCGAGTAGTGGGTGGTGCGAGGCAATCGCTTCAAGGTAAAGTGCTCTTGCTACCGATGATGGCGCTGAGCAGCTGGTCAGTCGTGGTGGTCCAGCGCGGCCTCTCACCCTGCTCAAATGCCACCTTCGCCATCGATAGTTGAGATCGGCTCCGACATCGAACGAACGGCGCGGGCCTGCGGCTCGACCCCCATGACTCGCGTGCACCAAGTCTTGGGAGTCCTGGCGCCTAGGTACTACGAAGAGTGATTGGTCAGGATGAGGCGATGCTCGGTTGACAGCTAATCAGAAAGGGCTAATCAGTCGCAGGCTTCGGAAACCGCTAAGGTCGTATTTTCATTCAGGGAGGAAGCACCACCAACCAATTGCCTGACCCTCTTAGACCGTTCGACCTCTGTACTGAAGGCAAAGGAAGTAAAATCGACGCATCCTCAAAACACAAGGGTGTCCCTCTTCAAGTTATCTTACAATCTTTCCATCACGCCCTAGAGAAGACGCAAGCCCCCAAGCATCTCGAAGCTGAGCGTCTTTTGCCCTCTGGCATCGCTGAATAACAATTCGTCCTGATGCGAGGCTCATCTTGTTGCCATGACCACGTGCAACTATTTCTATCATCCAAAGCAAGGCGTCGTTTGGTCAAAAGGCGATACAGTCAGCATTGAATGGTCGATTGCCGCCCCAAGCTCCGAAAGTGCCACGATCGGACTTGTTCTCAGCGACGTCGTAAATGGATTCTCCCACACAATCGTTGGTTTGGTTTCCCCACGTTTGGCAGGCCACAGTATGCTGCTCATCGCTGACATTTTTGCTGGCTACAGATGAGCTCAAGCTCTTTTACGACACCCCTTCTTGGATACCAAACCAAGTTCCTTGCACGGACATTCTTGGAGGGTCGCTGACCACATTCACACCTGGTGCAGAGATGTACTACAACTGGACTTTGCCGGACGATCTCGGCGTCAAAGATTCCGATTACGTTATTTCGTACTTCAACCAGACAACCGATGCGGCCGGCCAGAACTTTTTCAGTAGCTCGGCTTTTGTCATCCAAGGATACGAGTCCAGATCCAGCGCCACAAGCCCTCAATCTACGGCAACGCCAATGCCAACGACAGGCACGACCCCATCCTCACGTTTAAGTACTTCAAGGAGCACGTCTCTCTCAACGGGCGCTAAGATAGGAATTGGTATCGGCGCTAGCTCAGCGTTCTTGCTCTCATTTCTGGGAGCTTGGGTTCTCCTGCGGCACAGACGCCGCCGGCCCGACCTTTGGGGTACCGGAGTCGAGGGGAAAACAGGGTTCGAGAAACCAGAACTGGATGCTGCAGATACTCAACATCGCTTCGAACTGTGCGCCGAAGCATACGGTCGTTCCTCACCATATACTGCGCGCGCTACAGAACCACACTCAGACAAAGAGCCTACAGAGCTTCCAGCCTAGTACCCCACTCGTTTTGAGTTTGGAGCTATGGAGATCTAGTTGATATTCATTGAGGGCGTATATCACTGCCGCGTGGCTTGGAAACCGACCTGGGCATCCGGCGAGCGACTTCAGCACATGGAGTCGGCTCGAGGTGCTTGGAACAAATGTCACGGCTATTCTGATTCAGGAAACGTTTTTCAATCAGTGATTCCTACCCCGAAGCGTTTGTCGGCAAAGGTCATCAGGCGGAAGAAGACAAAAGATCTGATTATTTACGGAATTCAATGGCAAGAGGCTACAGAGCTGGAGGCCAAACGAGAGATCGATGTCACTTTCAGACAGGAGTTTTGGGGCAGATGACACAGTTGTGACTCTGATGACTGAATGGAGCATGGACATGAGACCGAGCAGCTAGGACAGTGGGCATTACTGGATGTAGCAAAACCATGGAAGGTGACGTTGGGTGACCGCGATATATACCATCATTTTTGAAATGATGCAATTCTAATGGCTCAATAAGCCCGTCTGTATTTTCCGGCTTGTATCGCCCCGCAAAAATTTTGACGCCTATCGGTTCTCACCGTTTCACAGCCGAGAGCGGGAACACCAAGTTCAAGCCGCCACCTTCAAGCTAGCTAGGTCCAAGATGTCTTCGAAGCCTATGATGCGTTGTGGACGGACTCTTCAGAATCTTGTTCATCACAAAAGACGGGCCTGTTTGGATGACAACGACATTGGCCTCCTCCATGCGCCTCTTGGTCGGTCTTAGGTTTCGATCAGCGCCAACTCCTCTATTTCAGTACACTGCTCAGTTACGTCCTCTATTGCTGTCTTTGCCAGCTCCATCAACGGAGAAAAGGCTTCATACTTAACGCTCGCATCATGAATGTCGGACGATTGGCCGGCTATCTCCTTATTATGGCCTCGGAGCGATATCGAGTAAGCTGCTGGTGACATGCTACCCCGTAATGGCTCAGTGGGAAACATTTCGAACTCCACTCGGCTGATACGCTCGGCTGGTGCGACGATGGTGTTATGCTGCGTCCTGACGCGTGACTTGAACTGTCGCGGTCTTTGTAAAGTTGATGGAGCTGCGCATCTTTGAAGGCTGCATTACCGCGTCAACGTAAGAAACACTCTCGTGCATGCTGATCGTGACGAGCCTTGTGGCGAGATTGTCGATCTGCCGTTCTTCGCAAGTTCTGGTTCAGTAACTCCATGTTGATCTTAGTCTCTCTCAGGACTGTCAAGCTCGACAATGCCGGTTCTGGGAGTGGGGCATTTGTCCGAGGGAGCCAGGTCCCGACACCAGCTGACCTGTTCCTAGAACGACGAAATGGACTGTTCTGTAAGATATCCAAGTATACTGGTGATAGACCATCGCCACGCACAGCCGATGATAGTAATTGGTCTTCAAGGTCAGTCCCGACCTACTGTACGCTTGTCCATATTCCAGAAGATTGTCTGCAACATACAAATTTGAACCGACGATCTATCGTCTACGAGAAGAAAAACACTTAAAAAATTAACTTTGCGGAACAAGGTCTTTCGCTGACTCTGCCATGCTGTCTAGCATACAGGAAAGGACAGCGTCGCCGGACGCCAGTCTCGAGTGCGGCATGTTTATTACAGCATACGCATCCAGACGATCCTATCAGGACTAGATAAGGGCGCTCCTGGGATATTAGGAAAGATACAAATGCAATGAGGCAGATGAAACAAGGCAGTAGCATATATTCGGCCTCAACATGGCGAGAACACCGCCACCAGTTACCCACCCAGCGCTCTTTGCTGCAAACACCCGAGCTTTTGAGGCTCCGCCAGATCCAGCCTCCGTGGTTTCATTGTCATAACTAGATGAACAAGTTCGAGGCAGCACTTTTACTTTCAAGTATAACATCGCGCTCCTTTGTGGGCTCAGTCATCTAGCATCCGTCTATGCGGTTCTCAGTCCCGAGGAGTACGCGTTCCGGCTTTTCGTGGTAGTCCATAGCTCCACCCATTCAAAGCATGGGATGAGACCGATAGACTTCAGACAGAGCTCTTCAAAACGTCACGCAGATCCTGATGATTGGTCCGTTTGAACAACACAGCTGTCTGTCCATCACTTTGACCTAGCTGAGCTATATGGGTTTCGCAAGAGTGCTCAGAGACTTGCCAAGTATAAAATTAACCTCGTCTCACGAATCGCCAGCTTTCGATCCATCTAATTCACAATTCCTTCGACACAATCCGAGTTTACCGGCCCTAGCGAACACTCCCTTCCACTTGTTTGCTCTACGCTGCAGCCACAAAAGCCGCATGTTTGATGATGTGTCTCCGATGGAAGAATCCACATACCCAAACTTGGGTCAACAAAATCCAGTCTATTGTCGAAGATGTCACCTTCTGGCTGAGAACGTCATGTGAGTCAAGGCCATGGGCTCTTTCATCTCTAAGGATTCTAATCTTTGGTCCAGTCACGGCCTTCAAGAGATTCGCGGTGAACTTGACATTCAACAACGACAGCAATGCCGGAGGACATTCTAATGCCATAGTTTGTCCTCGGCTCGAGTCTGATGGGGAACAGGGTATTCCTGGGGACACGCCCCCCTGGTGGAAGATGGACGGACTGGCGCCTCCGGGACTCATCCCTAGAGGCACGAATAACTACATTCCCGAGGAAAGCATCATTCCGGTACCGTCCAGTCACGCACGAGCATAGCTACTGAGCGTCGTAGAGTAGGCACCTGTATCATTAAGGACGAAGCATCAACCTTGATCGTAGCTCCATTAGTCCGTTTCCCAATAGACATTATCCACCCATCGAACTTAGGACTCTACTTTGACCAGTAAGATACCAAATATCAACGCCATGAACTGTCTCCTGAACTTCCTTTCGACAATGACGTCTGGTGATAATGCTCAGCCGTCCTGAAACCACCATGAACCGGAAGTGCACATGGCTGTGGCGAGCTCCGCTAGTGATACCACTCCCCACGGCGCCGGCTGTAGCCACCTTGCACCATTCCTCGACTCGTTTGCTTTGATATCTTCGATTTCAAGGATAGGGGGCGAGACTGCTTCCGCAGTATGTCTGAAGCAGGGTCACCCAGATGGGACAGTGCTGCGACTTGCCAGGAATCTGAGCGCTCCCAGGGAATTGCTCAAACAACTGCAGGATGTTCTCATTGATCTCACGGCAGTTTCTCTCAGGGGTAATTCACGGCAATAGGGCAATCCAAACGAGACGCTGACCAACACGAACCCTAGATAAGAGACCGGACGACATGGAATCTGAAGTATTGCGTAAGGTCGTCATCCTCACTCAAGTCAGAATTCGCGCACTCGTGAAGAAGATAAGCCTTCCAGAGATCAGAGCTACCATCCAACGTGCTATCCAAGAAAACGGATCAGTCATCCTCAGGCAACGCCGAAGAGCTGGGTTTTAGGACATGGGTCCGTAACCTGCCATCACTTGCGTCTCTCGATGCCGGAAGCCATTCTGCCTAGTTCAAACCGCATGTTCAGTGGGCATCACGCGGTAAATGGATGTATTCTGAACACCTCGAAAGGCTCTTCGGGCTCGAAGACGGGTGATTACCCTCGTGGTTGAAATACGTTTTCAAGCTAGGGCGATACTTTGCTGCAACCAAGGCGATGCTCAAGTTGGCCGTGAAACAACCAAGCATCTTCACAGGGATACACATCGAAACCATCGAAGCTCCAGAGCCGAAGGGTTTCTCGCTAGGCACGCAGAGGGAACTCCTCCTAACATTGCTCAAGAAAACTGCCCAAAGCGACCCAAAAGTGTTGAGAGAGAAACTAGGTCAAATTTGGCTAACGACTGACCCGGAAACAAAATTACGACGAGCTTACAAGATGACACTTGTTGTGCACGCGTAAATGCAGCTGCTCAGCTTTTACGACCACCATCCCCACCTTACACCTAGGCTATTGTTCATGGGTCCTAGCAAGAAGGCTTGCTATCTCTGCAACGAGTTCATGTCCCGCCATCCCCTCAACATTGGAGTCTCGGCAAGCCACCAGAAAATCTACCCAGCCTGGATGTCCCCCCCATGCCATACTTCCGTCAGGAAGCAGCAGAGAGCCCGGCTCTGGGAGCTCAGCCGACATCTGGAACAAGCGGCTGTGCGTGACCTCGAGACGAGACTGGGAACCCGCCGACCAATGACAATGGACTCAACAGCCGGGCCGTCACTTACGACGACGGGAACGATCTCGTCGGGATTCTGGTCCCGCGATTCGAATTTGGGCGAGCTCGAGACAGATGAGGAGTCAGTATCCTTCATCACACAAAGTATGAAGTCTACGGCAGTCCAAGAAGACGGGGCTGAGAGGCAAGGTTATGGCATCCAGAACAGCTAGTGGCCGATCCTGCCTAATTGTCCCCGACAGCCGGATTGTCGGCCAAGATTCAAATGAACTCTTCAATAATCCTTCAACTGGCTTCGAGCATTCAATCCATTTCATCAGCGCCGAATTGTTCTCGCCCCGAACGCGCATGCCAAATGAGCCCAGGCCGGGATCCCGACGACGCGCACGAATGACGGCCGAATTGCATGTTGACCAGTCACTGCCAATCTCGGGATAGGCTAGGTGTGGCTCAAAAGGACTTGCCGGAACTGTCGACCGCAATCGGTCAGATATCAGGCTAAACACAGTCGACGTCGCATTCTAGCATCAGCTCATCCTTATGGAACGGTGCAGCTGCCTTACTACGGCATGTGACAACTTCTGGATGTGACAACTTCTGGATGAGACAATTTTGGATGAAGCCATATTCCCGCCGTGTTGGAAACGTTGAGCCAAACCTACAAGAGATGGAGGGGAATAGTAGCGTGGCGCTTAGGGGCTTGAGCCAAAGGTGGAGAAACCTGGACACGAATGGGTTATCCTTATATTCGGTACGGACCATCAACCAACGATCTCAATATTGCCGTGGAGGCGTCGTTGGTCTCCTTTCAATCAGCACATGAGCACCTCATATTTCGCTCACGGTTCGGCCGGATGCGACGCTGCTCGAAGAATTATAAAATCGAAGTAGACTGTGGTACCTATAATGGCAGCTAGTCATATTTGAAGGATCTCAGACTTGAATACGGGCCAGTATGTGTTTTCAGCCCAGCGGGCGAGGTGCTGCATGGCAAGAAGCACAGTAATGATCCCGAACTCGGTTGACGTCTTGCCGAGCTCGACGTCGCTGTAGAGAATGGACTTGCCATCTTGGATCGCGCTAGCAACGAAAGACCAGCTGTGGCCGCTGATAATGACGCCAGGCAAAAACTGGACTGCCCGCGGGTCGGTAGGGCCTTGCAGGAAACTCCTCCATTGTGACGCGTGCCATGATCCCATCTGCACCATCGCCTTCTCGAGGTCGGCGCCGGGACGCTTGGTCTCGAACGATACGACGATGGGGCTCTTGCACAAAATTCCGTGGTCCGTATGATTGATGGTCACATCTGGTCGATTTTCCCGAACCTCATCAATCCGACTGGCCTCAGCACTTCCCACAGGAGGGCGGATGACCATGCAAAAGTCAACCATGTTCGACGCTGATTGCTTCGCCCTGTATGTTCTAACCACCTGGGCGCCAGTGCAGTATGTGTAGTCAACAAGACCGCGCTGGCGGTTCGGTCGAAGTGCCCATTCCATCATTGGCAGATGGAGCTCCGTGTTCCAGCTAGGTTCGCCGTGAAGGTTGATTTCGCAGTCTTCGGCCTGGTCTAGCAGCCATGCAACGAGATCTCGGGGTGGGCACCGGAAGCCGGCTGGTGTAGGAATGCCCTCGGGGAGATAAGCGTGATCTGGTATATCGAAGTCGGCAAACTGGCATTTGAGCAGCGAATTGTCAGTCTGTGGTCAATCGGTAGAAGACAAGCGTCCATAGCAGAAGGGAATGGAGCAGGCGGTGACAATCTCGTCATGGATCACAAAGTATGTACCTCGGTGCGCATATCATGCGGCAGTAGCTGAAACCCCCAACGGATTCCCTGCAGCTCGTTGACGAGTGTGGCGAGCGAGGAGGGCAGTTCAGCGCGGCTCTTCGCAAACTTGCGATGGACAAAGCCGTCGGCCTGAAGAGCCAGTCTTCTCAGTTGTTTCGTAGGTGAGGACGTCCGTGATGAAACGCTGGACGCCGATGAGAGGCTAGGCGTGGATGTGCGAGCAATGCGTTGGTCGTTGAGCTGGGACGCTCGCGGCGTGGAATGGATGTCGTGCATATTAGGAAGAAGGCTTGCGCTTGGCTCTTCGTCGCCGTCATTGTCCTGCCGACTGTTGTCATGCTTTCGTTTGACTCCTGTGAGAGGCCTGGATTCCATCAGAGAAGAAACGAAACAGGGAGAGTGCGACGATGGCGGTGACAATGGAGCCCTCCACTCAGTGTTGGGATGGATGCGGGGTCGTTTTCGCGGACAGCTTGGCTGCGCCTGTTCGCCGTGTTTGCCGTGCTCGTCGAGCGTTTGGACAGCGGCCCGCCAGGCATCAATTGCAGCGCAAAGGCTCGCTGATCTCGTCATTGAAGCCTCGCTTCAACGTAGACAGTGACGATAGGGGCGAATGGTGAAGGTTATGATGGACGACCGAAAACCATCGGCGGATGGTCTTGGGGCGATGGATTTCGTGTCGTTGGCCGGGAGACAACCAGTCAGAGGCGCCTTGGAAATCCGACTTGTGGACCCTGCGCAAGCGCCGTGTCGGTCCTTTTCTCGGCTGCCAATAGGCTCACGAGTAACTATGTATGGAAGGGTTTCACAGATGGGTTTAAACAGCGAATGCTTCTGTGGAAGGGCCAAGAATAGAGGACGCGCTCACCATACGCAGGGGAACCCATCGTGAATTGGGTATAGCAAGTTTCCTGCCTTCTCGGCCGTGCGCTTGTAGCGTCCGATCAGTGGCCGTAGGTAGTTCCCGACGCTCAATTGGGCGGCTATGAAGGGACTTCGCCTGGGAGAAACCGATGTACCTAGTGGATAGGTTGGGCGAAGTGAACTTTGGCGTAGGTGATCACTTCCGCTCGTCCGCCCTTGTTAGGCCTTGCCTGTCTGGACGGGGAAAGGTTGGAGGCCTTGCTCCGTTGCAGGCAAGGCTATGCTAGCACTGTGAGTAACATACCAACCTAACTGGCGCAGTCATCCTGCAAAGCGCTTGCCAGGCTTCATCTCCTTAGACCATGGGCTTGTCAACCCAGAGTAGTGCCGCGACTCCCGGACGACAACGCCGATCTGGTTAACAGTGTGAGCACGAAACGGCCACGTGCTGCCTCGAGACCAGCGACGCAAAGACATCAGGCAGCCTGCGACTCTCTGCACGTGCTTCGGAGCCCAGGCCGGCAGCATACCGCCTATCCTCTACCAGTCGCGATCTCGAGAGGAAATGAGAGTCGAAGTCTCGGACACCATTCGCCTCCATGACAGGGTCTACAGGGCAGCAAACTTGTGTGACACATGGCCGAGGTTGGCGATATAGAGCCTGCTACAAGTGGTGTTGGGGACAGCGTGAATGCACTCGCCACTTGCACTGTGATGACTAATTAGCAGCTGGCCGAAGGGGCTTTGACGGTGTACGGACCCAAATGTTGATGCTGTCCAGGGTCAGTGGTAGACACTGACAAGAAGAGCCTTAGAATACGCTGCTATCCGCACTATTCAAATTTCAATGTCGTTTGCAAGCAGGCCACTGCAGCCATGATCAGATGCTTGAAGAAGCTCAGCACGGCAGCAGTACGTGCACAAGAGGCATTGGCATGCTTCGCAATGCGCGTACGCGTATCCGAGGGGGTTGTTTATTGGAACAAACATCACAGATGGCGCGCGCGGTTGTGATGTTACCGCATTCTGAACTTGCCGACAGTGAACAATCACAGCCCCGGACCCGAAAACCACAATGTTTGGTCAGCAAACCGATCGCAAATTACTCCCTCACCGGCCTGAGAAACGACGTGATTACGCATTGCGTCGCTTGCAGCAACACCAATACAAAGCTCTCTACGGTGCGTTCAGTATGCCAGAGGGGAAACGGCAACAAACAATTGGGCTTTGTGTCTCGAATTGTGACTGTAGATACCGCATGTGGAGCGGCCCAGCCGCCTCCAACGGAAAATTGCATCTGCACCATCGTGATCACGGACGCAAACCTTAGCGTACCGTATACAGTAGTTAGACAAGCAAGCACAACGGCGCGGACGAGTGTGCCCGACTGACTAGTCAATTGGAGTACTTTCGGAAAAATCTAACCATCACTGTGATCAGTAAAAGCCAACATAGGATGACATGATGCGTCTGGCATGTTCACTAGCTTGCTTGGTTTGGGAGACCATCGTGACTGATGGTACGTGGATGGACGTCAAGCCTCAAGGCGTTGGCTGTGATCTGACCGAAGGAATACGGAGAGCAGACGGCTCGCCGGCCTTGGTGGGTCCAATCAAGCTCGGTTTTGGGTGTTTTACTGTGATGGGCAGGAAGTTCCTAGCGCAGTCGCAAGGTGGAGTGGTGCGTCCTCCCTTGTTCTCCATCTTGTGGCGACCGTTGGTTAGGATCGGGGGGTCGACTTGGCAATAGGTTAGATGTTGGGGTAGCAATCGTCTTGGTTATAACCGGCCGATGTCGAATTGACAGAATATAACAGATTGAACATGTAGCTTCCCGATTGCTTGCAACGAAAATGGATAGCGAGCGGTCAAGCCAAAAGAGAAATAAAGAAGGCGGAAAAAGCATAAAAGCCCGTAGTTGCGCGCCACGAAAGCAATATGGAACTCATCAGAAGACATTCAGACAAAACCATTTCTCTGCCTCCTCCATCTGATGTCGACACCGATCCACTCATTCCACGGTCGGAACCCACCACCGTTCCGCCCGCGAGTCTTTCTTAGACCCGGAGTTCCGTCTCTTCCATCGATCAACCCCACATACCCGGGGCCGCAGGTAGGCCAATCTCTCCATCAATCCCATACTGTCATGAACTAGCCTAATGGTCGCGAATAGCGATGCACCATGTGTCTTGACCCCAATTGCGAGGCTCGAACTGGGCTGCTTTCCATGTGGAACGCGCAGCAGTACCTGTCGAATGCACAAAAAGAGCTGGTTTCCATACATCATGAGCGTTGCCGTGTAAATGAAGAACACTGGGACATTTTCCGTCTGCCCATTGTGCTTCCCGCTCACGATGTCAGCGGAGAGTGTCGAAGCAGATATTATCGTGCTCTGGGTCTGGCGACTCGGATGCACCATCTCGAACAGCGCGAGCGTGTGTTGCGAGAGGGCTGCCGGAAGGCCCATCAAGCTTTGCTGACTCAGTTGGCCAGGTTCGGGGGAATCAATGAAATCTCAGCCATCGCAACCGAATCGCAGATGGGACCACAAGGGCAGCCCCGAAAGCGCCGCAGAACAAACGAAGCGTAAACTTTCTAGCCTTTGTTTGCACCTGCTGGTCGCGTAGGTGAAGGGCAGTCGTACGGGTGCCGAGACGTGCTTTGTACGGATTCGACGTACGGAAGCTGAGGAAGGGACTTGCGCAACAAACACATGGGCGAGTGTTGAAAGTTCTGAGATACTGTGTACCACGTCCCCAGTACGTTTTGCCTAGATGGAAAATTGAACAGAACTTTGTGTCATGTACGGAGTACTCTGCCCAAAGCTGGATGCCCCCTCTCCCCATTCTTTGGCTCCTTTCATGTCATCCCTTGCTCTCGACGTTAGCTTTGTTAGACACTGGTGTTGGTCGCATGCCCACCTGATATGGTGTTCGTATCTGGCGGGCCACACTTGTATTCGTCAAAGTCACTCGGTTGGAAGGAAAATTGGCCGTTGTCTGTCATGGCTCTTGTCAGAATAGCGGTGGCATCCATAAATGACTGGACCGAAATCCAAGTGCTGAGTCCCTCACACCTTCATTTTGGCTTCTGGCGCAAACCCTTGTCTAACCCCTGCGCAAAGACGGGGGTTGAGAGGCTGCGCATAACGAATCTAAGTACCTTGTCATCGAAGAAAGTTAATTCTTTCTGAGTCACAAGTACAAGAGCGCATAACGGATCATGCCACAATAACGACGATTATTCTCATAGTTAAGTCGCTTTCCCTTTAGGGGAGCGTACTGGATGTTTCCGGTGCTCCACATAGTGCCATCTCTTAGAAAGCGATGTGCATCCACATCCACCTCAATACCTCTCTGCCAATGCGCACTATAACTCATCGTGGTAGCTCCACAATTTAGTCTAGATCAGGCAGCGACCGCCATATTTGGAGTTTTTGAAGCACATTGCATTTCTTGACCTCAGAAACGCTGGTCATAAATGCAGAAAACGAAGCAACAAATGGTCATGATTGTACACTAGTTGGGTAAGGCCCGGCCACGCTGGATTTGATGCCTTCACGGCCATTCTGGATGTTTTCGAGAATCGAAGGTAGGCTTTTCTCTCTGAGGAGAGCGTGACCCGGCTTAGTCAGGTCAGAATAGCGATTGTTCCACGGCTGGCGATGACGAATGAGGACCAGGCTTTTTACGCGGGAGGTTCACCCTCCACTGAGCCCGGGATCATCCTCAAATGCTGCGCAGTTGCAGAGGATTTGCCGGCCAATAGCCCGCATGTGAGTAGTCTCTTGTCGTTGAGGAAAGTGACAAGGTTCAGACACTCCACCTCGCTGAAAGGAACCTCGAGGAACACGTCTGGCTTTGTTATCACACCAAGCGTTCGGACTTTCGTCGGGTCTTGCTCCTTTGCCTTCGTCATATCAAATTGATCAGCTAGCAGATCGTTGGTAGCGATGGCAGCCAGAAAGATGCTGTTCGACTTTCGCATGGAGCTTTCCACGAGATCCAAGACGATCAATTTGCTCTCGCTTGCTTGCGTCGCGGAAGCCGAGTGGAAAAAGCCAGGCAGGTCGGCCAAAGAGGACAAATGTCCGACCTTGTATTGTAATCTAAGGCGCAGAAGGCCCTTAACATCTGAGTGTCCATCTGCTTTCTTGATTCGTTGATGATCTGTTTGCCTTCGCATCCATGTCCAACACTTGCAGCGAGTGGAGTAGTCTGCTGTCATCCGCGAATTGAAGTGTCGCATCGATGGATGGATAGTCACGAAGAACCATCTCAGCTGCAAATCGAGTGCAAACGCCCTCACGAGCCAGGAAATGAACACGAGAGATGGATTCAGGTACAGATGGTTTCGAGGATGACTGGGCTCCGACAACGATGCTTTGCGGAAAGTCACCGATTTTGCCGGCGCCCAGAGAAGAGTGCGTCGTAAAGAAACCTCGTCTCGGCGCGGCTCAAATCTTCAAGAACTGAGCGAAGGACGACAGAGCCTAGTATGTTGAGTGTGTGGTTACGATTGAAGGCTTGCAGGATGTTTGGTCGAAGTGAACGCCGTCACAGTTGTGGTGCTTTCCGCGCTGTGTGCCAGACCCAACAAGCGGCTGCCATGGCAGCGTCACAGCGACCACAGCAACAGCCCCATAGCTTGTTCCCCAAATCACCCAGACTCGGCCCAACGCTTGCAGGCGGCAGCGAGTGCGCTCTCAGCGTCTTCTTCCAGTCGCCTTTTGGGGAAAGGCTAAGTGCCTTGTAGTTTTGCAACTTCCCATCAGGTTCAAAAGCGTTACCTCCTCTTCCTGAACAGATGTTCCCACGGCTCGTGATCAGCCTCGAGCTTTGCGGCTTGCAAATAGACCTCCCGTGATTCTCGCATCCACTTAGCAGCCCTCATCCAACTCTCATTCTCTTGCACATACCTTGGCAGCTCATGTGCTGGTACGTCGCCAAAGTCCATCGATCTGTGGTGCGACCATGGTTCTGGCGGCTTGCTGCGCAGCAGCGGGATCCGGTCCTGGCCTTTTGTAGGCGCTCTCATCAGCGCGTCCTCCGCCTCACGCCCCTCAGTGGCAATTCTCTGCACTCGCATTCGATGGGCTGCCTTGCCGAAGTTCGTTTTACGTCCGCCGCGAGCTTTGATTTCCTTCATTCTCTGTTCAAACCACTTGTCGGAGCGATTGTGAGACCAATGGATACGCGGGTCGACTCGCATATAACTTGGTCTGTAGGTTTTCTTCACGGCTCCAGCGGCGCCCACAGAGGCCGGGCCGGTGCCAACAAAGACTCCGTGGGGTGGTGGGAGTGCGTCAGGTTGGCCGTAGATCATGGCATCGAATCTACGCTCATCAAATGTACGACAAAGCTCAATCCGGCGATCTTCGCAGGTCAGCTTCTTGTAGATGGTGAGTTTCTCCGGACATGCGCAATTGGACGTGTCGATATCAACTTTGTTGTGAGGGGGACTGTGGCATCGCAGCGCTCCTGAACCCGTGCGATGGCTGTGTCCGAAGCACGGGGAAATGTCAGCCGCGTCAGCAAGACTAGGCTCATTAGGTGAAGACCCCGTTTCCATCTTGAGCTCCCGGATAATTGTGAGATTATCATTCCCTCCTAACCAGCCAAGATCAGATACCGAGTCGTAGCACAGTTTTGACCTGCCAGGCTCCTCTGGGCTGTCATTCGCAGCGGCAGGTCGCGAGGTGGCGGGTGCAGATTCGACGATCGTCGTAGGCAGCAACCCCGATGGGCCGTTCAACGTGAGGCTGTAATTGCACTCAGCCAGTGCTGCATTGGATGGCGTGAAGTGGCGTGTCGGGTGCGCGCTTCTGCCTTGCCAAAGACTCTCCTTGGGACGTGACATCGCGACCGAATGGCAAGCTTCGGGTTGCGATGCCCGCCGCGGGCTTTGCCTCAAAGCAGCATCGAACGGTAAACTCTCGTGAACCCTGAATAGGGGGTTGGCTTGGCTTCCGTCGTCTAGTAAGGGTGTCAAATTGGGCGCCTTCGCCCTGCTTGACATCTTGTCTCGTGAGTACGATCTTCGCGCGAAAGGGCAGAGCTTGTTTTAAGATGGTATCAGTACTAGGGATGAATACTTTGTATACGCGTCGGGCAGGGAATTTATTGAATAGTCCTGACGCGCATACGGGAGGCAGACACCGTAGGTGCGTGGCATGTCGTGTTAGGGCATGGTGCTAGAGTGCTGATAAAAGAACAAGGTGATCTAGGTCTAATCAGTTCTAGCTTCGTTTTCTCCCCTCCAAGGAGCTGTGTGTGGGCATTGCTCTCTTTCGCCGACATGTACTTACACAGCCCAGCAAACATAACCAGGGTAGCCGGATGGCTAACCCCGCCAAATCCGCTAGAACCAGGTCTGGAGTTTCTACACCGAGCTGTCGCAACATGCCCGTTGCAGAGGCCGCCTCTCATCACTATCGTTGCAGCTCTTGCCTCATGGCCCACGTCCTAACTGTGTTCTATGAGGTGACTGGCCGCTGCGCTTGTGATGGCGATGTGGCTTCGGCACCACGATCATCAATCGGTCACGAAGAGGTGGGGACACATGAACGGACGGCGCGTCATGACGACGTCAGCTAACAGCCTCATCTTAGCGATCGAGTAGAACGATTGGGGAGTCACATGAGCGACAGAGCCGAGCGAAAGTCGAACACGAGCAGAGGTTCATTTCACAATAGTAATAGAAACTTTGTAAAGAGGATCATGTAGTCTGGTGCCACTCTGATCAGGTACCAAATGTCTTCCCCGATAACTTGTTCGCCCCCATACAGTCAACCTATACTTAACAGCAGAAGCCAATAGTGGTAACGACCACATGCCGTATGGATGACGAGTTACTCACCAATAGAAATGGAGGATGAGAGCAAAGGAGTATCTCGGGGATAGATCCACTGGATCCTATGAAGGACAAGACTGTACACGGGATGAAGTACGATCCCTTACTCACCCTTAGCCATGCTTGCTACCATTCGCAAGGATGGCTTATTTGACTGAGGGGTCAATGATATCGCGTTGTTCCCTGAGTAACGTTCAAAGTTCAATAGAGGAAATCGTACGCGACCGCCGCTGGCCGACGAAGGCCAAGCCCTGGAGTACGGATCGCCATCTTGTGCAATGCACCAACGACGTTCCTTCTCGTGTTTCCAGCGCTAATACCTTCAGGCCTGGTATTGGTACGAGCGAATCGAAAGAGAGCGAGGAGAGAATTGCAGTTGCAGTAACGCACTGGAGCTGAGGTCTAATCTTATTCTCAAAAGACAGTCAGTCCCACGAGGTATCAGACCAGAGACTCATTTCGGACTAAGCTAGGCCCTGATCTGGTGGTAGCGCTGGCACCGTAGGTGCAAATCGACGCCTGGGTGCGTGTGGGTCGTGCACAGCAAATTCACTTCTCCATGTTAGCAGACATCTTGTCCTCCCTAGCGGACCACGAGAGATGAAGCCGCCCACATTGGACAAGGTCCAAGCTCATCTTTGCTTGCATGTTGGAGCTCGCCAGGGTCAGCTCAGATTGCCTCCATTCGACAAGGCTGGACTGACTGGTCGAGGCCACAGCCAGCCGATGATGTCCTCCGACAGCTCCCCCCGCCTTTCAATTTTTCGCGGCCCAGAGATCCAAACATCATTTAGGAACATGAGTCGATCCAACTCATCAAGATACTTGTCATCAAAGAATAGTGATTATGTCAACTGTCCACATCCGAAGCATACCGTCCGTCCTGGTTGCTATCTGTTGTTCATTGAATTGGTCGACAGAATTCGCACTGCACCGACGAGGTAGTCCAGAGATTGCTTGACGCGTCCAGGTCGGACCCTGTTTTGGCATTTTTCAAGCCGTTGCGCATGCTACGGTGACATTCCGTGCCCAACTCAATCATAGCCTGGAGGTCTTTAATCCCAGGGGTTACTACGAGCGCATCCAAAGACGGCGGAAATTGTTTGTGCCTCTAATTTTCCAACCGGGCGTACGGCTTGTCGCTAAAGAGCTTACCGGAGGCCCTTCCGTCGCTTTCAAAACGTTATGCAACCTCCGATGCCAATTCTCTTACCGGCTGTGGGACGCCGGAGATGTTTGGTTCGCGATTGCAGATAAACATGACGTTCTGAGACGAGTAGACTTCGGAAGCGACGGCATATTCGCCGTTGGCTTTGGGACTGAGTTGGACTCAATGTTGAAGTGCCCGTTCGTCTCCCGCAAAACCATTGTTCAACTGACAAGGAGTGAGGTGGAAACTATTCAAGGGCGAAGGGCGACCGGGCGGAAGCAGATGGTCTGCCGGAGAGGTTGTTTTCTTCTTCTTTTTCTTCGAGCTGGTTCGATCTTCTCGTGCGAATGAGAGCGTCTTCGGGACGACAGAAAAATGGGGTTTCTGTTTCAGGCGGGGTTGTTCCTGCTTCACACACTAGGCCCCAGCGAACCGCCCACCTCTCATCAGGCAGATGGAAGTTGCACCACAAATACGGAGTATGGCGAAGACGACGCGATAGTAGACTTACATAGTCTGTTTTGGGATAGTCTGGAGTTCAACCCAGTTGTTACGTCAGTGGAGGACGGCAATAATGTAATCGATGAGGCTGAGCCTTTTTGCTGGAACAGCGGTAGCGAGAGCGGCGACTGCTCTTGGGAATGGGAGCAGCCAATGTCGGGAGACACTAACGAGAGTCCCTTTTTTCCACTGGGATGGACTGATCCCTAATATCCTGGGGGGGCATCTCGCCTTCTTATAGTTCTTCAATTCTGTCCTTCGGTCGACCACCGCGTGACTCTGTCTGGACACTGCGTACACAATTCCCCACTTTCTCTATAGTTCCCACTTTTACTCCAAAATTGCTGGTCCATTTTGCTCACCCCGCATTTTGGGCCATCCCATCGTCTATCAACGAACGGTAAACTACAAGACTGCCTGCAGGTCTATGTTCCTCGTCGCCAAAGGCTGTCCGTCGCCAATCATTCCGCTGTTGGGCGATCTTATAATTTGTGCTGATAGACGGTGGCCCATAAGCCCATATAACAGACACGCTGTGTTTTTAGGTCCATTGTTGTTAAGAGCAATTTTTGGGGCCATGGCCCAGCACAGAAGTGCTTATCTGTAAGACAAAGTAGTGCACTTTTTATCGATAAGAGCGATAAGGACAGAGGACTGGCAGCGCGACAGACTAACCTGTATAGGTTAGCAGCATAAGACCTGAATGGGGGTTGAGTACTGTGGATCTGGGAATCCAATGAGCGAGTGAGAACGAGACTGCTCGAACCGGGGTGAGTGCACGGGAGGCCTATAAAAAGGCAGACATGCCCAATGCCCCCAAACGATGGTTAGACAGGCAGGCAACCTTTCATCGCTCCTAAACACTTTCTGGGGGGTTTTTTTTTGCCTACACTCTTCGGTTGAGATCGAAAGTATTTCCGCACAGGCTGTGGGCAGCCATCCAAACGAGACTTGGATTTTGATCTACTAATAACCGGGAGGGTTATCGACGACTCGAAGTCGTACGTGAGACGGTCTCTTTGAGTGCCCAAAAGCCACGGTGAGTGTTGTGTCGCAGTGAGCGGGCAGCTCATTTGGTTTTTTATCTGTTAGGTGGAAGTGGACTGACACTGAGTGTGAACTCAAGCCAACCGAGAGGATGGAGACAGGTCTGTTCTTAGACGGAGTCTTTGTTGGACCCGGACCCTTGGAGGGGTCAGCTGCACTGGATGTGGCCGGAGCAGAACCACAGAGCATTCCTACGCTGAGAAGCTGGTGTCCCGTGGGACAGGAGAATCACTTTTTGCTGTGCTATGGGGAGCAGTGCCCCTACCATACTGCGGAGAAGGAGTCTTTGGGGTATTACCCCCAACGGAGATGGAATTGGCAGCCCCGGCTGTCGAACCTTGTGGATTTTCTTGCCTGGCGTGAGCAGGAAGGCGATAGTTGGCCTATGGAGGCCGACAGTCGCAACTCGTGGACGGTGTTGCGTAAGGAACACCAGACGAAGGAGGACGGGAGGGTCCTCTGGGAAGACACGGTATTATGTTGCAGCAAAGCCGGTCAGTTCATTTTTGTCGAGTGTTGGCAGCGAGTCGTGGATAAGAAGGGGGTCGAATTTAGTCGGAGACGTGATTCCAGGTGGAATTTTGTTATTCAGAGAAAATACGAGGACGGGATGTCCTTAGCCGAAAAGGAGTTTGTCATTTGCGGGCATGTCGGCCGCGTCTGGTACGGCGAGCCAGGATCGTGGGTGCATGATGCCCTCACAGATAGCGACTTTCTTATTCGTCCGAGGGACGATGAGCACACGATTTGGAATACGGGGACGCCTGACGCCGGGTACAAGGGATTGATCTATGTGTAGACAGATAGTGTTGAATTTGATTTGACTTGACCTCGTTTGAGATTCTTTTGATGTGAGTTTGTATGGTTAAGCACAAACACCTCGATTTTGTTGTTTATCATAGTCATCGCCCATATGATGGTTACTCTGGTATGATCGAGATTAACTTAATTCTGTTCCTTACTCTGTGACAATTGGCTGTTCACCTCCGGAGAACACAAGCAAGGATGTGAAGAAGCAGTACGGGGCGGAGCCCTGTGAGACCGGAGTTGGAGGCGTAGGTAATTAAGGGTTAGGTCGGTTAGCTAAGGTCAGGTGTTAGTTTCTAAACACCATCTCTTTGATCCCTATGGTGGTAAACCACCTTCGTGATGGCTTCGTTCCTGCTTCACTCGCACAACGCCTCCCCCCGGTTCCCACAGCGTTCACTCGCGCTGCTCTCCGGTGTTTACACGCCTGCGTTTCGCTTCCGTTGCACTTACTACGCGGCCTGGAAGGCCTTTGCTCCTCGTCGCCGAGGGCTGTCCGTCGTGAATCAACCCCGCGCAGGTGGGAAACAAATTCTCTCGCAAGCAGCAATGGCGTACTATCGCAGAACCCAACGGAGTTGGTGCGCACGCAGAAGATAACGGAGGTCGACTGTTGGATACGATCGGCGCAAGGATGGTGCTCAAGTGAGAAGCACCTCTTCAATGAGGACATTGGAGGCTCAGAGCCTGGGAGAGGCTGCAAACACGGTGTTCGATTCGCTGGGTGGCGCCCGGATCACTTTTTCTGCGTCTGGTGACCGGCAAGGCCAAAACTATTGGGGAATTCCTGTTAGTGCCATGTTGGGGATCTACATGGAACAAAATACGGTTTCGAAACTGCACCTCACTGGAATCTCCCTGGAAGGCGATGTGTACGCCAATGCGGACATCGAGGTGTTTGCTGTGAACATCCTGGGGACATTGAGTACGCCCAGCCCGGTACAGATTCAGCCGGAGGATAAGAAGTTTCAATTTGGTTATGGAGACCCTTCCCTCTTGGGTCGGATGGACAACCCTCGGATGAAGGAACTGACGTCTGCTGAGTTTAGCGCACTGGCTCAGGACAGGATAGCAGCATTTTTGAAGCCTCGTTGCACAGCGACAAGTCTAGTCGTGCTGTGGTTTGTGAGGCCAAGGGTACTGGGGTGAAGCCTATCTGTCACAAGAGTGGCAGGGCTACGATGCTGCTTTCTAAGCGATCCGTTGACTCGTCTACGGCATATCACGTCTGGAAGATGTCGGCCAGGTGGTACTGGCGTGTGAACCAGTCGGTCAGCTTGTCAGCCGTGAAGGAGAAGAACGGTGTTGTGTTGGACTACAACTCTGTCTTGTTTATGGGTGTGCGCCCGACTACGGAGACTACCCTCCATTGTGCAAAGAGCGAGGGCGGTGGCAACACTGGAGCGTTCGGATACCTGGAAAGTTTCCGTGTTACTTTATACTTGCGGCGGGGGATGATTTGAAGCGTTAAATTATTTTGCATGTAGTTTAGAAACGGAGCGATTTGGCTTTGCAATTGAGTTACTCGTCTAAAGTAAGAACGTGCTGAACTGTGATCTTGATATGGTACGGGGTACGGGGTGCCGCCCTCATCTCATCAGCGGCGTGGGCTTTATGTAGTCACATGTGTTGACAGGGTTAACGCTGCATCGCCTGCTTGACACCCTCAAACGAAGGGAGCAATGCTTAAGTTCCACGCTACCGTATCCGGTGCTACAGGGATTCGACGAAAGGCTGCCTCGGCATCAGCAGCATAGTCGTCAGCCAAGGGAAAAGGAGGCCGTGGACAACATATGAAGACGCTCGAGAGTCGCTCAAGCCGTCCTTCGGGGGTCGTGCGCATCTGCTGCTCTTCATCGCAATGTCTGCTGGCGACATACGTTACAGCCTAGTTGACTCGGCAGAATCGATGTCCAATCTACTCACGTTAATACAGAATCTTCCGATCGGTCTACCGTCGCTCTTTTTAGACCTGGAAGGCGTGAGTCTCTCTCGGAATGGCTCTATTTCACTGATTACCGTCTTTGTTTGTTCTGCCCCGAAGTCACGTCTACCTCGTCGACATCCACACCATGCAGTCCACAGCATTCTCGACCGCGGTCGGAGGAACAACCTTCAAACAGATCCTTGAGTCTCCGGACATCACCAAAGTCTTTTTCGACGTCCGCAATGATTCTGACGCCTTGTTTCATCACTTCCAAGTGAAGCTGAGCGGCATCGAAGACGTGCAGCTAATGGAGAACGCAGCTCGCCCGCGCGGGCAACGGCGATATCTGAATGGGTTGGATAAGTGTATCGGATTGTACGCACCTTTGTCACCCGAGGAAAAGGCTGGCTGGAAAGCCGCCAAAGAAGCCGGGCTCAATCTGTTCCATCCTAGCAGAGGTGGATCCTACGAAGTCTTCAACTCGCGACCGATGTCTACACCCATCGGAATTTACTGCATCAACGACGTGCGATATCTGCCCCACTTGAGGGAGGCATTGTGGCGGCAGCTTGATGAAGTCTGGCGGCAGAAAGTGGTGGAAGAGACAAAGAAACGTATCTTGGAATCGCAGAGCCCATCTTACGAGCCGCAGTCGGAGACCAAAAAGTTTGGGCCATGGGGTAGAGCTTGAGTCTATCAGAAACTAATATACTTCTTTCGACGACTGTTGTCGGAATTGCCAATCCCGTCGTCGTTCCCGAACGAGCTATGGGACGGGCCGCGGCCGCTACTTGCCATTAGCTCCCGTAACCCCTGTTGTGTGGGACGGGACTACTCTTTTCTAACGGGGCTGCGCTCTGCGCCCCGCTGCCGCGTGGTGGGCGTGATGGCAACGAGCTCCACACTTCAGTCCTACCTATGCCTGAGGAGGGATCCGCCTCGAAACCACCTCGATCGGCGGCTGTTGTGAAGCGCTCGAAGTAGGAAACCTCAGCAGACGTTGGCCATGCAACTGGGCAAAGAGGATTGGTGTCCAGGGAAAACGCGCGTAGGATATGAATCTCGACTACAACCGTCGGGCTTGTGGTGGAATGCACAAGCAGCGCATTGAGAAGAGAGACACCTGCTTGCTCGGTGCCCATCGCGTCTGCTCCGCCGGTTACGGATGAATGTGCTAGACATAGCCGACTAGTAATGTGTCTGCCAGAAACGAATGGGAATGGAAGGCTCAGCAGTCTGCCCTGGGCAAGATGCCTCTGGCACTCTTCTGCGCCATTGAAAGCAAGCAGGCAGAGCAAGAGGCTTCGTCAGCGATGGTTGTGAGTTCAGACAGGGCCAGTCTCCCGGCAGCGTGCACACGCAGCGCGTGCCGCGCTGATGCTCCAACGCCCACCCCGATTTGCTTGTGACTGAACCACAAGCTAAAGTAATGATTAGGTTTGGCTGGCTATTTTGCGATGCAGGACCTGGGCGCTGTTCGAAGACTCGGTCCTAGTTCTCGCACACACGGGATGCCAATTAGGCATGTAATCAGCGAAGATGTTTTTGGCTCTGAACCGGCTTCTTGAATCTGTCAATGGCCCTCATGCCTGTTACCTCAGCGAAAACGCCTAGAAGCAGCCATCATGAGCCCTTCGAGAAAGCGATAGTGCAAGAACATGTGTTCATGTGTGTATGAAGGTAGTAGGTTCCGGCTCCAAGAGTATGTCCTGCAGGGGATCCAGACGCCCCCAATGGGACATTTCGAAAGGGGGGGGGGGGGGCGGAAATGGAGCCGCGAAGCGTCCAAAACTGTGAACCTGCTGTATCTCAAGAACTGGCGTCCACTCGAAAAGCCAGCTGTATAGATCATCCGGACCCTTCCGGCGGAGACCGGGGCCGTTGCCGACTAACTGTCTCATCGGACTGATTGACCTTCAACAGCTACTATTCTCGAAGAGGGCGGCGGCGGTTGACCATCCGCAGAGAACAACAGAGGGAAGAATAAACCAACTGATCTGTCCATAAAATACCGAACGGACCAGACTCCTCAAGTGAATCCCTTCCTTTCGGCCTGAATTAGCGCCGCACATCATCCGTGAGAGAGCGTTGCTCACGCATTCCCGTCCACCGTTTCCATATGCATTGTGGCATTGCACTTTCCGACGGAGCCACTTGCGGAAATATCCCAGCTATCAGCATCACAGCCAATTTCCTAACCTCATGATCGTTCCAGCTTCATTTGGTGGAGATGTCGCCACGCTGGTCAGATGCATCCTGGTCAACAGAGTGTCACACCTTCACCTCGCCGCTATCCTACATGTCAGTGCAGTCTTGCTGGTTGGCGTGCATATACGCGCCAGTTAAACAAGTCCACCGCCGGACTGCTATATTTCGTATAGCGCATTCTCGCCGCCTATCATATTCATCTCGAGTTGATTACCCCGCGCCGCTGTCGCAAAGCTTTAAATAAGCCGTCCCCTGACTGTGGGCGAAAGCCTTCAGTGAAACGCTCAGCTTCAGGCATCATCATTTGCGTAATCGCTCGAGAGACGAAAACGGGCTCTTGTCCCAAGAAGTACATCGTCTTCCTACCTCAAGATGGCGAAGAGAAACTCTTTCAATCGCAGTACCGGAAAGAAGACGTCTTTCACGTTCCCGCTGCTTCACGCCAAAGTCGCCAATGCCGTCAACGACCGTATCATCGTCGTCTGGGTCAGCAGAAAGACCACACAAGAGCCAAACAACACTCACTCCACCTCGGTAGTGGGAAAGTTCACTTGCGACAACGGCGCTTGTTCCAACAAAATTTGGACAAGCGGAAACGTGGCTTTGCAGATTCAAGGATACCCAGGAGGCGGCTATAATGCAGTCGTATACAATCAGCGATGCAGAGTGTGCAATCGACTGGGGATTTTCTCCCTGGATGAGGTCACATACGTCGATCGAATCGCATATCGGTTGGATAAGTGGGCGGGCGTGGCAATGGAGCGGCGTGTGTACGAAAAAAAGGCTACCCCTCCCCACAAGAAAGAGCTTTGTGAGGGCTGCAAGAAAGGCTGTTGTAGAGCAGGCTTTGGTAATCTCAATTTGTACTGAGTTGAGACATTTCAAAGGTGATTTCGGACTGGGGAGGTCTCCAAGTAGAGAGCGTTGCAGCTTAGCTTTGTAATACTGACGGCGTATCCAAGTTCAGCTTTGCGATGCAGTCAACTACAATAGAGGGACGTGGCTATCTTTCCACTCCTCTCATAAACAGATCCATCAAAGCTTGCATTGAACTTGACGGATCGCGGTGGAAGCTTATCGGAACTGCGGGAGGTGTGATACGTTGGCAGAAGGTGAACGGTGCCCCAGCGTCAACAGCGGATGAACGACGCTTAGTGCAGACAACGGCAGCACGACGTGTTCGTACGCAATGACTAGCAACACGTTATCCTGGAAAGAGGCACCACTCGAGACCCTCCAGTGTGCTCTGGCAGCACGATCGGCCTCTGTCGTCTTGTGGCGTGTCTCTTCCCTCGAGTGCTGAGGGGACGCGTCGCTGTGATTGGCAGTTCGCAATCTAGGACGCGTCGCCACCGCGTGTTGTGCCGCCACCTCAACTGCACGAGGCCGGGATAGCGACACAAATCGCTTGCCATGAGCCCTCGCAACGGTGCTCCAACACAGGTTTATGGGCTGGCACACTTGGACGCATCGTCAGGATGGCGTTGGAGCACCTGGTCAATGCAGCCGGAGCATACTCTGAACGACGCCCGCCTGACGGTACCTCTGGCGCAGGGCGGCCGAAGTAGCATGCTCTTCGGACGAGGTGACAGCAAACACTTGCTAGCTTGCGCACCTTGCGCCATCAAGCCCCCTTGTTGTCAAATAACGGCGACAGGCGAGCATTGGCACGCGTTGGCATTACGCCTGGCGGCTGCACCGCATCGTGGTCCAGTTGCAGTGCCGTGGCCGCTCGCTTCAGTCTCAGCCGCAGCGTGTCAATCTAGACTAGCGCTCGTTGTGAGGGCTCTCGACATTGCATGTATGCATGCGGTTAGCTCCATAGCACATGGGGGTCCCTGTCGGGAGCACAGGCTTGGCTTCCGGTTGGTTTGGCCATCGACGCGATCACAACCCACGAAAAGACCCTGGATGTTTTTGACACGGACGGTGAAGTGCAAGCCCTTCCTCAATCCACGCGAAAAGGCTGACGACGGTGGCATCTGTTCGTTGCATGTGGCGTGGGGGAGGTTCCGTCCGAGGAAGCGCCAGGCAGGTTACGCCGTGCATGCTGCGGTGCTTAGGCTTATGGGGCTGCGATGATGCTGGCCCCGACAAATGAGGTGACACCAGGCGGATGAAAGAGCCTCCAGCACGTTCCGGCGTACATGTGCTAGGGTGGCGCCGGGGGCAGTCCGATTCGTTAGCCGCGGGCTACCCTGGACGTCACGTCAAAGATAGCGTATGGGCCCGAGCGCCCACGCAGTAGGTCTATGCCTGCTCAGTCCCCGCAGAGTTGAGCACTTGGTTCGCCTGACTGGTAAGGTCCTTGTTCATACAAGCGCGTACAAGGGCAGGGAACGCGCCAACAGCTTCAGCAGATTCCCGAGTTTGCGTCGTTCGATTGGAGCCATAGGAGACTATTGCAGCCCACCAGAGTGGCAGTCCATGACCAGGCTGCGGATGAGGTCTACGTCTGCCCGCTTGGAGGCCAGTCTCGGCGACGCACAAGAGCAATAAAGACGAGACAGCAAATCGCGGATGACGGGGGTTTTGCTGCCACGGTTGACCGAGGGCGGCGGCTGTTGAGTGCAGTTAGCAGACTAGCGCACTCGTAGCCGGTCAACCCCTCATTGACGCAGCGGTTGGATGCTTGCCCCCGGAAGCGCATAAGGTCGGTTTCCAATTCCACATGTGCTCTCTTTGCTCGTGGGGTTGATAGCATCACACAGAATCGCGGATGGCGGAGACGGATCATGGCTGCCGGCTTCAGGATCGAAAGGTGGAAGCTTAGGCAGTACATACCGAGCTTTCTCTAGGTTCACAGTGATTGATGGGGGTTTACGCGAGCTTGATCTTTCCTACCAGTGTATGGCTGAGTAGATGAATGCACTGTCCGCAACGAAGACACAAGGGTCGGGAATCGCGCTGGTCACGACCCAAATGCAAAGTCACTGAACATGTCACTGATGTAGTAGCGACTGAGAGTCAAGCTTGCTTCACTTATTGCTAATACGCGGAAGAATAGCCCTAGTCTGGTCTCTATCTCGATCAAAAGCAGCCAACCGTGATTGGCGATCGCGGGTTGGAAGCGCCAGGGTGCCTATGTCTCTACAAGATTATTGCAAATAATACATGTGTACGTATGCAGCCGGTATATGCACTTCGTTGCAGTAGACTAACTTCCGCGCTGAGACGGCGCCACGTCGTTGTGCATGCCCCGGCGCCAGCTCGTACCCAGAACTTGTTCATCTGCGAGGCTTGTGTGATACAGACGGCCTCCTGCATAGTTCCGCAGAGGCCGGCAGCAAAGTCCTCTTAGAAACACCAATTAGGAGAATGAGACCATGCGATGCTATGTTGCATGGCGTATCGTCCTGTCGTGTCCTTCCGCTTCGCCACGACCCGAGTCGCCATCGATCCGAGAGGCCGGTCCAGGGAAGATGCGATACAAAGCAATAGGTCATCAATGCAGCGTCTCCCAAGCACATCTTGGTCGTCGAGGAGCGGGATGCGGCAGGACACACGCGATGGGCCCTTTTGCCCATCATGCCCATCCAAGCTGCTAGTGGTAGGCCATACCATGGACTTGGTCACTCTATCACTTAATGCAGCTGCACTCATAGGTAGTAGGCTACAATCGTGGAACTGTTGCAGGAAGCCATACTGCGGGATGCATTAAAGCACAGCCTCCCCTTTTAACAACATCACTTGAGCATTCGCCTTCGACTTGTTCTTTCCTGACTCCGGCTTCCACACAAAATCCTCCTTTTCACATGATTCACTCTATCGCAATGTCTCCTGAGCCTGCTGACCAACATCCCCCCTTGACGAGTCCGGACCGGCTTCAGAAGATCGATCGACTTCGCGAAAGGAATATCGGGACTTACCTACCGCTGCCACAACTCGTCGCCGTGGGTGATCAGAGCTCGGGGAAGTCGTCCTTGTTGGAGAGCCTGACGGGAATCCCATTCCCTCGCGGCCAGGAACTTTGTACCCGCTACGCCACCCAGATTACCCATCGAAGGGAGGCACAGCAACGAATTGATATCACGATCATTCCTGGACCACATGCGTCGCAGGATCACAAAAGAAGACTTGAGTCGTATCACAGTCAGGTGCAGACGACTGCCCAGCTTCGGGCAGATTTCCCCGAAATCTTGGCACAGGTAACGGGACGAACCTACTTTGAGATTAGCTTTGTTTCTAATCATCACTTCAGGCCAACGCTCTTATGGGCATCAGAACCATTTTCAACACAGCTGGCGAGAACACCTTTTCCGAGGACGTGTTGAAAATCGAGAAATGTGGTCCAAGCGAAGATTACCTTACCATCATTGACGTACCCGGTATCTTTCGCACCACCACGGAAGGTGTCACTACGAACAAGGATAAGGCACTCGTTAGGGATATGGTTCAAAGATATATCAAGGACAGTCGCACCGTCATCCTGGCAGTCCTTCCCAGCAATGTCGATGTCGCGACCCAGGAAATCCTTTCTCTTGCAGAGGAGGCTGACCCGGCAGGTGACCGAACTCTCGGTATCTTAACCAAGGCCGATCTGCTGAAAGAACGGAGCGCCAGACTTGCCGTTGTGAGCCTGGTAGAAGGCAAACGAAAACCCCTCAAGCTTGGATACCACGTAGTCACGAATCGCGGGGGTGATGACCACGGTGAAGAGAAAGATGCGTTAGCTGCGCTGCGCGAGCGTGAGGCCATCTTCCTAGAACATCCTTGGGACAGCCTTCCGGAGGATCGTTACGGCATATCAACCTTACGCGAGCGCTTGGAGGACCTCCTTGGCGAGATCACCGATCGTGCATTTCCTGAGCTACGTAGTGAGACACGCCAGAGACTGGCAAATGCCGAGGAGAAACTCAAGAGTCTCGGCGCGCCTCGCCAGACAGAGCGAGAGCAACAGCAATATCTCGTCGGCATTGCAGGCAACTTCCAGTCTCTGGTTCGTGCCACGCTGAATGCCGACTACTCGGCACATCCAATATTTGAAAACAACACGTGCCGTCTTATCACAGCCATCATCAACACGACGGACCAATTCAACGCTATTTTCGACAAGGACGGCCGCACGTACCTTTTCGAAATAGAGCCGCAAGTCGAAAATCCAGTTCCAATTAAACCGATTCCTCTCGTAAGCCCTGTGTTTTCGGCGCAAGAGGAGGAGAAGCAAGATGATACTGACCTGCAGCTTGCTATGTTTGATATACCTCATCCCGAGGCCTTCCCTGACCTGGACAGAATCATTGTGACGGATTGGACCACTGAATCTCCGAAAAAGGGTATCATGAAGTGGATCGAGACTGTTTATCAACGCTCCCGTAGCCTTGACCTTGGCTCACTCGGTCATGGTGTTCTTTCAAGTGTTTTTCTTGATCAATCGACAAAATGGGAGATGATGGCGAAGCAGTATCTTAGCAAGGTCATTCTCCTCATCCATAGGTTCATCCTCGTGGCACTAGAGGCCGTCTGTATAGACACTCAAGTGCTCCAAAGCGTTACATCGGCCATACTAAGCGACCTCTGCCTCAAGTATGAAGCCGGAATGAGCGAGGCGATCTTTCTGGTCAACGTCGAACGGCAAATCAGCCCGTACACGCTGAACCATTATTTCAACCATAATAATCAACGCAGTCATGGCGTGCGGATCCAGGAAACGCTACGTTCCATAGCCCGACACGAACAGTATTATGAGGGTACTTCTCTGCTCATGGTTCCTCTGGACGATGTTGCAGACGCAGTCACGAACAAGAGTAACACGGCATACGCTATAGAGACCATCCACGATACCCTCGAGGCCTACTACAAGGTGGCTTACAAGCGGGTCGTCGACAACGTCTTCAGGCAAGCAGTCCTCTTTAAGCTGCTCTTTGGCCCTAAAAGCCCACTGTGGCTGTTCTCAGAGCAATGGGTCCTTAATCTGGACCTCGAAAGGCTTCCTCTTGTGGCAGGGGAATCTCGCCGGATGAGGGACTATAGGGAGAGATTGAAGAAGGAGATTCGGGACTTGGAGATTGCGATGGAGATCCTGCGTTGACCGGAGTTTCCTTTGTGCCAAGCTCCTTTAACCGACTTTTGTTGCTGATGGTACGTGACGTGTCAGAGGTTGCGTTTGTAGTTACTTTTCGTAGTTGGGAATGTCAAGGATAGCAAGTAGACACACGCAGCCATCGTGGTGACGACAGAGCTATCAACACCCGGAGATAGCAACATAGAATAGGCAGTGTTCTGTTGGAGTAGTCTGCTAACCTACAGAAATAGAGGCCTGTAGAAGTGAACCGAAATTGACACCGGAGAATGATTGCGAGTGAGTACGTTTCCCGATCTCCATAGTAGAAGGGCGGCGCTTTCCATGGTAAGCAACAGAGACACGTGGCAGGATGCCAAGATTTGTCGCAGCTTGCCCAGAGCTCATTCCATACCTCGCTGCCTTCCCACAAGAGTGGTGGTGTACACTACGCCCCACAACCTTTGCCATGCACTTCATGTTTCGTCTCTGCACTGGTTCTGCCTTCCCAGAGAACAGTTTCCCAGACCGCAACGCGAGACAACGGCACATTCCAAGATGCAACCCACATCATCAGTAGTATGGCTGGAACAGCATCAGCCGGGAAGGCAGTGAGGCAGGCCATTGGTGAGATTACGCTGCGACTACACCCGGATAGCCGAGATTTGACTTCAGATGGGTGGCGGCATGCTAACCGCGAATCTTCCATGGCAGCTGCTCATCGCGTACCGAACTTCGTCAAGGAACAGAGTACTGTACAGGTCAGTGTGTCCTCCACATGGATGAGGGGATACTGCCATCACACGGGTCATTGCGAGAAAGCCACAAACGACCGCCGTTAGTCAATCGGGTAGTCATTGAGGCCGCTGGTACTGTACGACTCCACACCACCTAGCGGCTTCAGAAGGCGCTACACAAGAAACGATGGAGATCCCGCAGAGGCGCGAAGCAATCAGTCAAGGTACCCAATCCCAGCGGCGACAGCCCGAGGCCTTGGCCTATACAGTAGCTCGAGGTTCAAAGCCATAGCCCAATGACTGCATGAGGGTAAGCGCCCTCGCTCGCTCTTTGTCAAGGCCTCGTAATGGGGAGAACCGCAGTAAGCCGAGTGACGAGTTGGCACGCTGATAACGCAACTGGACGAAACATATGTAGATGCGAATTAGGTATCTCTGGACTGCGCTTGCAGGGATACGTCTAGCTCAGACTGCGGCGGACCAGTCGTACATATCCTTGAGAGGAAAATGCCAGTGTTTGAGCTGCGTGACGACAAACCTGTGATGCACGCATGTACAGGGCGTCCTCGAGCCTAGATTTGAACCTTATCCACCAGAGCGCCCTCAAACGCCCTGAATGGGGACAAGCCGGGGTTGAAGGCTAACTGCTCGCGGGAGGGGTAGAAGCACCCAGTGCCCGCTCCACGCAAGACCAGTCTGCCATGCTCCGTCCAGCTAACAACTGTACTGCTTCATCTCACTCGTGCTGTGACAGCCAAATCGCCACTTACAAATCTGACCCTGTCCTCACATTCTCCGGTGGAATTTTCTTCTTAGGTCCTTCGTCCTCCCGCTATGGCTCCGCTCATCAGTCCAAGAACCTTGTTGAGAGAGCAAGTCATCACTACCATCAACAAGCTGAACCGCGATTATGATCATGCTATCCAGATCCCCGACGTCAACCAAGATTCTGCCTCTGTCGCCAAGCGCGCGGAACACGATGCAGCATTCGCCCGGAGCGACAAGATCATGCGTCTACTGACGTATGTCTCCTTTGAGCAATCGTTCTCACTGGACAAAGTCTTGCACGCCTTCGATTGGGAGGCCCTCGCAGCCAGCGAGAAATGGCTTCGCCCTTATGATTGCCGCGACCCGAGCCTCGCAACGGCAAGACGGCCGAAGGCCGGCTTTCCAGGCGAGGCATTGGAACTCCAAACGGTGCTGCTCGGCGTTCTAGAAAGGGCAAGTCACATCATCGGGTCCGCCCGCAAAGTGTAGCGACAGCGGGCGAACATGTCGAAGGTTTCCAGCCTAGGAGAGAACCATCCGTAGAGGTAGAAAATCCGAATGAAGGCGGGGCTGACCCAGTAGACAGCTTCGTCAGGGATACCGACTCAGAGTACCCACTGGTAAACTATGCCGCTACAGCGCTTCCCTATGAGACTCGGGAGACAATTCCCGAGCAAACGGATCTAAGAAAACCAACAACCCCTCAAGATATCCCCAATTTTTCCTCTTCATATTCTGCTGCCAACGTATCAACGTGGCTGGACGCGCATCCAGCCCCAGGCGAAAGCTCTCCTGTTCTCTCGACCGTCTACACGGAGATTTCAGGCATTGGTGACCCAAGTCTATACAAGCCGATTTCCAGTGTCTCGGAGCCTTCAGAGCCAGCCAATCTTCAGTGCCGCCTTGATGCGACTTGGCGTGAGTCCCCTAGCCCCCTAGCCCCCTATTCACAGCGTGGTGTGACTTCGGCAGCTAGGCATGTTCTTCTCAGCTCTCGCGCTGACTACACCTAGCAAAATTCCCACATTGGCTTATACAAGCTCCTTTCGCCATAGCGTGGGAGATCACCCGTATTGCGGTTCACTATGATGTCGATCTTGACGAGATGGTCTTGTCTTACGATGAATCCTGGAGAGACTACGACACTATCTACCGCGTCCTTCGAGAGCATCATTCATTCCATGGGAAGGGATTCCCAGAAAGATCAACACCCGACGCTTGGACGGCAAGTCTAAGTGGCTTTGAGTCGTCCCATGAGCAGCACGTCTCTTTCAAGGCTTCCCTTGTTCAACCAAAGAACGCAAGATCTGGCTCAATCTTCTCCCTGAAAATGGATCCGGCCGTCTTGGATCAGGGATGCCGTCTGCATCGCAAATTTGGATCTGATCGATTCCTTAAAGTAGTGATACCGTCACCGAGCTCATGGACGACTCCGATCAAAGACCCCGACGTATCTCAAGAGGTGATTCGCTGGTTTTCTTCTAAGGTGCATCACCTGGCCGGCAGGCAGTGGCGAGCTTTCTTCGCAAGGGACGCAGAGCGCAAGGTTCTTCAGACGAACGTGTTCTTTGGTCCAAGTCCGAAAAGCATCTTGCAAAAACGATTTTGCTATTTTGCTGAAGATGGAACCAATTTTGACGTCGCTCCTTCTACCGACCATCGGCCTGTGCACGCCCTTAGAGAGCCGCGACCCAAGCTGGAGGTTGGGCAGATGCTCGACTGGCTCTTGCAGTTGGATCGTAACAGTGACCAACCTTACCTTAAGCTCTTCACCCGCATCCAACTTGGTCTCAGCAAAACGAAAGTAGTAGCTTCTCTGGATCAGAACCAGATACGACACCGACAAGAAGATATCATATCGCCAATCGGTGAAGTGATGAATGATGGCGTTGGTCGCATGTCACTGCTTCTTGCCCGCCAAATCAGGGACGTCCTTGGTTTGAGCGGCATCCCTTCTGCGATTCAGGGTCGTCTGGGCTCTGCCAAAGGCGTGTGGATTATAGACGTTGAAGACAGCGGAAGCGATATCTGGATAGAGACCTGGCCCTCGCAAAGAAAGTAGGACTGCGACTTCCTTCAACAAGAACATCGGACACTAGAGATCAAGCCCGTTGCTGCACAGCCTCGATCCGCCAGCCTCAACATTCAGTTCCTTCCCATTCTAGAAGACCGTGCCAAAGATAAGCAGGCCATGAGGAAGTTTGTGGGAGACAGGCTCCTAGACCAGCTCAGCAACGAAACTGAAGCCCAGAAAGATGTAATCAAGCATCCGCTGCGATTTCGGCAATGGGTAAACAAAAACCTCGCCGCCAGGACGCAGCGTTTGGCCCACGACAGCGTGCCGTTCCTTGCTGGGCTTCCCAAGTACAAAGAGGATCAGCTCAATTATTTGACCGATGGCGGCTTCAAACCAACCGAACAGAAATTCATGCAAAATATGATATGGGAGCTCCGGCGCGCAAAGTATGAAAATCTGCTGAAGAAGATGAGCATCGAGATTCCAGGCTCGGCGTACTTGTACATGGTACTCGACTTCTGGGACATTCTGGAAGAGAACGAGGTGCAAATATGCTTTTCATCTCCGTTCCGAACCGAACGCTTCTCTGACTTCATGCTACACGGATGCGAGGTTCTTGTCGCACGATCTCCGGCGCACCTTGTCAGCGATATACAGAAGGTCAAGGCCGTGTTCAAGCCGGAATTGCGCGCACTAAAAGATGTCGTTGTGTTTTCAGCAAAGGGAGACGTTGCGCTTGCCGACAGGCTTTCGGGCGGCGATTACGATGGAGACAAGGCTTGGGTGTGTTGGGAACCAGCTATTGTGTCTAAGTTTGAGAATGCCACTATGCCGACAAAACCAGACATTTCGAAGCATCTCAGGAAGGATACAACGTCGTACGGAGACCTCAGTCATGGAGTAATCAAGTCCGTGGCAGCTTCGGCAATGATCAGTCGTGGCATTGTCTTTGACATGCAACCCAGCTTCTTAGGAATCGCAACCAAGTTCAAGGAATAACTCTGCTACAACATGAACGACCTGAACAATGAGCAGGCTCTCTTGTTGAGCGCACTTCTTGGTAGCCTGGTCGACTAGTCGAAGCAAGGAATCGAGTTTACAGAGAGGGATTGGCATTTATTCCGAGGACAGATCTTACATGGTTGTGCAATCCAAAAGATGAACAAACCGGCTTACGAACAAGAGAATTGGACGAGCACATATGGCCCCGTCCATATCATCGATTATCTGAAGTTTTCGAATTGCACAAGCTCGGCCGGGACATGAACCTAAGTCCTAGTCCTAGCCGCGGATTGGCAGCTCTTCCGTCAAACGCCGAGGCGATTCAAACAGCTGAGTATTGGGACGCTGATCTGTCAGAACCATTCAATGAATTTAAAAGGCTAGCATTAACAACTCCGGTGCTCAAGAACGTCTTGAGGAATTTGGATGAGGACTTGGACGTCATCAAAATGAATTGGACTACTGAGATGGCCGCGGTCAAAGATGAAGACGAGCGTCCAGGTCTCATGTTGGACGTCTTCAAAGATTGGTGCGCTATTAAGCCTCGGGCAGATAAGGAGCTCGGTCCTTGGTTTGTGGCAAACCTGAAGCCATCATACACGCCCGAGGAGTTCTCCACGTGGGCTTTGATCCGAGCCAGTGCCTCATTCAAGTGCTGGTACCGGCACAAGCCGAAGCTGCTGTGGCGTATGTTTGGCATACAGTTACAGTCCATCAAGTCAATGGCTTCGCGTGGTGAAATTCCTGTCGCCGTGGTACCGAGTATGTATGCGGCTCTGAGGCCTGACAGCAAATTCATCAGTCGGGCCGTTGCCCGAATGAAGGAGGGATTGAAGTATCCCGGGGTTGGAATTGATGATGATATCGCAGAGGACGCGTAAAGATTGTGATGTAGTGGTCTTCCATCAAAAGTCATGTACCAGAACTCGTTGCTGTCGGCATGGTCGTCGTGCTGATAGTTTTCAGCAATTCGAGGCAAATGACAGTGCACTACCTACGAGGTGGCTTGCCTGCAGTGCTTGGACGATCATGTAATTGTTATGACATGAAAGCTGGACTCTGAACAATGACAATTCGCTTTCTTTTTTTTTTTTTTTAAAAAAAAAAAGTAACAATTTCGGTCCTTCAACCCTTTGAGCACACCTGCTGTCACATGTAGACCGAGACGCTGCCAACAAAGCCTTTCCAAGGTTCCTCCCCGCCAGGCTTCATTCGCCACATGCCCATCAAATGTAATACATCGTGTCTCGCAGGTTCGGATGCACCTGCACGTTGGTTGAGGGTGCAACGGGCTGATATGCACTTGTGGTCGTCGATGCCGCATCCGAGATGTCGAAAAGAGCCGGACGGTGAACGCGAGCCCGTTCACACACAATATCCGCGTAGTAGGCTGGCGGGCAAATACTGAACGCCTTGGTGGCACGGCCGAAAGGGTAGCAGAGGTTATGCGTGAGCTTCTCTAACTGGTCCGCAGCCGAGTCACCCACGCCGTACTTCTCCCTGAAGATTTCATCCATTAGCACAGTATAGTGGGCAGGGCGGGCGGTCCCCTTGAGAGCCGTGTGGGCAGTCAAGAAGAAATCCCAGTAACGAGCCTGACTGACACCGCAGTCGATGACGGTGCCCTTTTTGATGTTGCGCGATTTCTGATCCATATTCACTCCAGACGTAGGATAGAAGCGCGTCTGATGACGTTTGATGGATACGATGATGGAGAGCCTCGGGTGCTGCTTGGGCGCATAGAGCTGGTCACACGCCTTGCGGATCATAGGCAGCTCAGTTGTGAGGACCTGGGTAAATTGGCCTTCCGAGACGCCGTTTCGATAGATGATGAGGAACTCAGGGAGTCTGTCTTGGTTACGCTGACGCCGTAACAAGAGGCGAGACTAGAAATTCTCTGTGAGCTCCTCTCCGAGCATCTCCTTACGGGAAGGCTGTTCCCACGCAACAGCCGGCCATTGTCCGAGGTCTTTGTCAACACTGGCAACCATTCCGATCAGGCTGGGCGCTGCGCTTTTTTCGTTGGACATGTTCGTAGGATGAGTGACATCGTAGCCAACAACCATGGCTCTACCTGAGGTGAGAATGTCGATTGTATCCTTGACTATATGGTTGGTGCCTCCATTCTTGAGGTTCCATTTGAGACCAATGTTGGCGCATGTCTGGAGGTTATGGAGACATTCACAGATCTGTGCCAAGTGGCTATTAACGTGTGTTCATACGATTGACGAATGTAGCCAAATAAGAGGATGAAGGAACGTGTTTCCGACGCTATTATCTGCAAACGTCCAACAATGCTTTCTTTATTTCTCTCACTTAGACCTCTCGTCGCATCCTTTCCCACTCTGCACACCAGCGTGGAAGCTGGTCATCCGCGTAGTCCCAAGAAAGGGGCTGTGTGAAAGTTTGCAAGTCGTTTTCGTCAAATGCAATCGAAGAAGCCGCGGGATCAAAGGCAGCTGGCCGAGCTCCAGGCGCAATCTTGAAAAGCTCTGCGCGGGTCCATCTGCTAAGGCGTTCTCTGACAAAGTTCCCCCAACCACTGAATTCTCCATCCGTAAGTGGACGGCGCAGAGAATAGGAAGAAATCTTCTTCGCCGTCAGGGTCAGCACGTGGCGACTAGTTGCACCAAAGTTTCTTCGTCTGCGCGTGCTGTTTCCGAACTGAGCGGATAGAGACTCATGCGTGATCTCGCAACGGGAGTGCTCGATAAAGTGGGAAAGTGTGGAAGAAGGTGTACCGACGTTGTCTTGAAGATGCACAACTAGGGATAAGTTGTCGCCTATGCGCCGATGGCCCAGACCTTTCAACCCTTCAGATGACCAGTCCGGCCAATTGAAATCACGATTTGTCCATCCTTGGTGCGCATACTCGACCAGCCTGCGACCACCTTCATTGTCTAAGTCTCTTAAAGGATAAAACACATGCTTTTGTATGGTTAAGGCCGGAAAGAGCGAGTATGCCTTGTCGCAGAGTATGAAATTAAGGTCTGCAGTTGTGCAGGAGGTTTGCAAGATGGTTAACAGAGGAAATGATGCAGTCTGAACGATGCGGATTGTCGTTTTGCGCTCAAGATTTTGAAGCAGGAGGATGCTGTGTATCTGTGCCAATAATAAGCTTCGACTCTGTCCGTGAAGGGGAGGTTGTTATGATACGTCTCTATCTCGCTCGTCACTTGCGTCCTGCACTGAACCGGTGACATAGCTCTCCTCCTCTGTGATGTATTGTGTGAAGCTTTCCGCCTTCTGTCCGTTCTGGACGAACACATCCAAATACAGAGTCTGAGAGCATCCACGGACAAAGAAGTTGAGCGCGAACCCGCGCGAGATTATGGCGTCGCAATCCTGCATACGTTGGCGGAATTTATCAGGTTCAAGAACGAACCCTTGCAGGTGCGCATTCAGATTGAAGAGCGCTCCCCGCAAACGCGCAGGAAGCCAGCGGAATGCTTTACAGACCATCTGAAGCATGAGGATATCTGAAATATTCAGATAATACAATATAGATTTCACAATCGGATAACAACGGCTAGGATCGAGTAGACTTTCCAGGTTCGCTGTGTGGCAATCGGGCTGAGAGGTCATGGCTGAGATAGGACGAGGTTTATGAAGCTGGAATGAATAGTTTGATGGACTTTCCTCAAAAATCAGTGGCTTCACCTGCAGAGAGCCGTCGCAATTACCGCTAGCAGGTCGTAAGAGTGATTGTCTCGTTTCGCTTGAGGTACGATGAAATGGATGTTGGTGGGGACCTAGGTGTTTCATCACTGAATATGTTCATCCAAGTGGAAGCGTCGTTTATCAATTTCCGCGGAGCCGTTGCGGGGAAAAGGCGGTGAAGCTGTCACGTAACAAGGATGAGAACCGCAATCAACAAAATCCCCGTCACGTGCTATATCACGTGTATATCACTTGTATAGATATTTCTTTTTTGGTCTATTTCTACTTTGAGAGGTTAAGCCACTTCCCACACTCCGTATGCCCATTGCTGTGTGCTTTAACTCGTGATAGAATCCGTCATTGCCGAGTCTATCACAACAGCCTATCCACTCATCATAGCAGCATACTGCACCTGATCTTAACATCAGAGCGAGCGATTCATAATTTCCGAGAAAAGAACAAGACACTCTCAGGCCCTTCGATTGCTGCGAATCACTCTCGTGGCCGGACTGACCGGTTACGTGATCGGAAACTGTCAAATGCTAGACCCTCTAAGGATCCTTCGACATCCCCAGCATTGGCCTAAGGACGCAGACAAAAACCCCAAGCGCTCTGGCACCACCTTGAACCTATCAGCCGTTTACCACCTTCTGTGTAAGTGACGTCAGGGGGCCAAATTAAGAGGGAAGGTGCCTAACAAGTTTCGTGAGCCAATTGACAGACGCTACTTGCGGTCCAGCGAGTCGACGCAAATTGATGCCGTCGAGGATAGTTGACGGCTATCTGCTCTCGTGGGTATACGAAATGTTGGCCTCATACAAGCGTCTGCTGGCTGCTCCCTGCCCCGGGTGTAGGCCACCTAAGTCTGCTGTAGAGGCCCACATTGGTACGGGACACCATCGGTCAAGCGTGCCGTGGGCATTGACAAGACCATCTCCTGCAACTGCCTAGTATGGCTTTTCACGCCTTCCTCCGTATGCATCACGGCGCAAGTGTTGTAGAGGTCTTGATGGGTGCGACCGATCAAATTTACACACTGGTGTCACAATAGGTACTCTCTGCCGACCATCGGTCTGGCATAGAAAGAAGACCTAACTGCTGTCTTGAATACCGTCCATGTTGGTCGCCGAGCCATACCACTAAAAGATGCTTTCTCCGCTGAAGTCACAAGACTAACGTACGTCTAGACTAAAGCATGGTCGGCCTCCTGCAGCAGGAATAAACTCTACGCATCCTCCTCAGCAATTGACGAACAATACCAATGCCGAGACGTACGAGAATTTCCATACGTAGCCCGACGTTTCGCTCCTTCTCCAATCTATCGGGATCCGGAGCTCACAGAAGTTTATCAGTCGATCAGCCACAATTCGACCGGCCGCGTGCGATGCTTATCTTGCCATAGTACGGCGATGTGATAGCGAACACAGAAAATCGAAGACAGGTCATTGTTTAGATACCCTCCCGCTTTTGCGTCGGGCATCAGTCCGTGGTACGTTTTTAGGCCGACGACAACACCGTTGCCTCATAACAACGTACAAGGGGGAGAACGCTGCATCAGAATCGATTCTATTTGTTCACATTCGCTTCTTGTCAGACAATCACGCATAGGTCACCTACGTTCAGACCCTCGGCACGGTGGCCCTTTCCGAGGGATAAACGGCTTCCGTAGGAGAGGTATTGAGATGAAGTCGGATTGAAGGCCATGGACAACGTGTGGTTATGTCAAGGCAGGGAAGAATCTGTGTTTTGCTTATACGAAGGTCATTGCGGGGCACACATGACCAGAAGCTCTTCTCCCTGGAGGACCTTCCGCCTGGAGGGCGAAAGTTTCCCAGGCTTGGAAAGATGAAGCACCACAATATCAAAGTACGCGGTACGCTTGGAGCAGTCGACACCGGATTTTGATCCCCAAAGAATGGCTACGTGGGTCTCACTCTTTCACTCTGCAATCCTGTCACTGCTTCGCCTGCCGCCCATCGCTCTTCGCCTCTAAGTGGACAACCATGATCTCGTGTCGAGGCGTAAGCAAGTCAACAGCCCCAAGGAAATACTGGATAGGAAGCGGTGTAGATGAGACATATGTGGAGCCCTAACTCTGTTGAGAAGCGCAAGTATCAGCTGCTGGAGGCCGACCATGATTTAGCTCGAGGGTTTGTCTCGCGTGGTACAGTACAGTACAACAAACACGTCCTGCTATTAGGTGGATTTAAACGCATCCCACTTCCTGACAACACTACAGCTGCTACGAACGTTGCCCGCCTAGATTACTGTGACTGGTTTCGAATCAGCCTGCATTACAAACTATCGACGCTTTATCGATTGCACTGCCATTTCGCCATGGCGCCAAAGGTACGTACGATGGCATCGTCCGAGCGCTGTCTTTGCAATGGCTGACGCATCACCAAGGCCGGCCAGCTTACTATTATCGATCTCTCTTGTCCCTGCATCCCGGCCGAAATGGCATGCCTGCTCTTCAACATCTGCCTATCTCTGTTCCTGGAGCAGAAGTCGCATGTTGGTCGCGTCGTGGCGCTGGACGAGGCACACAAGTACCTCGGGCAGTCAGGAGAAAGCCAGGTGCTTACGGAGTCGCTGTTGCAGACTGTCCGCCTCCAGCGACACCTCGGAGTTCGGATGTTCATATCGACGCAGGAACCTACAATATCGCCAAGGCTATTAGACTTGTGCACTGTGACGATCGTCCACCGTTTTTCGTCGCCCGATTGGCTGCGGATCCTCCGCCGTCATCTTGCGAACGAGGACGCCACTCCGGTGGAAGAGGCGAGTTCAGCTACACCTGGGCAGACACGCGCCGTGACGGACTTGTTCCCCAGGATCACGGCTTTACGTACAGGACACAGTCTCGTATTCGCACCCACTGCACTGATCGGGAGGTCTCGGGATGCGGGGGGGTCCGCTGATGGCTTTTGCCGGAACGCGAGTGAGCCGACTACCATTCAAATACGTTCTCAGCTCACAAAAGATGGAGGGAGGACGGTGATGGCTAGGCAGAACGCGTAGATGTGGCTCGCAGAGTTGCGTGGGGGATATGGCTCGCCGTGGGATCCGTCACGAAGTAAAAGAACGCTGTGCATTTCCAACGCGGTTGATAGCAATAGACGCGCGGGTTGAGTGCGTGCGCGCAAGAGCCTGCTTGCCTGGATATGGTGATCCACTATTACGGTTTGTTGTACGATTGGTGACTGCGGCGCTCCACAGCCCCGCGCCCGTCTCCCCGCACCCATCGGTTCTTCCATATTTGGTCGACCAGACTCCCCGCTCGTGCTGTGCAAGCAAAAGAGGCCTCTGAGTAGTCCCGCCCCTCGAGAACCTGAACGGATGGGACACACTGCGCTGTTGCCTTGCGCTCTCGCCATCTGATGGTAGCTTATGTTGGGCAGGAGACACCCTGCCAGGTCTTGCTGCCCGGACGGTGCCCTGCAGCCAGGGTCCACATTGCGGCTGTCTCGCTCTGCCATCACGGCTCTTTCGATGCGACGAGCGCCGTTATGCGCTCGCCCACGCGAAGCAAGTCGCACTCGTCCCGGCTCGGCACATCGCCCTGCGGCTGTTTGTAGCCTTCGAACCAAGTATGCTCCAGCGGGAACATAGAACTCGCTTTGCCTCGGCCATATCTGGCACCTCGCGCAGCCAGCTCAAGTTGACATGCTCCCTCCAACAAGTACATATCAGCCATATACGTTGACAGACCAACTCGTTGCAGATAGCTCTGCGTTATTGTACATACTAGAGTCATGTGCGCTTCGTCACGATGTGAAGCGGCTTTGCCACATCTTCACGTCCACATTTGGCTGCTCAGCAGATCGGGGTGAACGCTGCCGTTCTGAGCGGCCTATCCAACTCGACTGTTGTCGAGCAAAGCGCTGACGACGTGGGTCTGACTGAAATGTACAGCATGTAACGGTTGCTCCAGAGAGTGGTCCGCGGTCATTGTCCAGTATCAGTCATGATTGTTCTGGCCTTCGTGGTCGAGCACGAATTGACGGCATCGCCAAACCTGCTACGAGCGGCCCAAGAAAACGGTGGCCTTCACCACCGTCAGACAACCCCCAGTCGCCTAAGAGAACACCATGAGGTGTGCCGGCACTTTCGGCCGGTGCATTGTATCCTGCAGATGCCCAACCCTGAATGTCTCGCACGGGCCCATCTCATGTTCTGACCGTTGCAGCCAAATACACAGCTGTCACTGTTGCACAAGTCATCCAATGAACTCCGCTTATGGATCCGCTTCAACAGATCCACCTAGACTTGTTCTCGAGGTATTAAATGAGTCCGAAACCAGCATTCACCACCGCTTTTGTCTGTTGACTAGCGTCAGCGAAGTCTGACGCGATGGCTCACATCACGACTGATACTCCATATGTGCTCCGCGTTCTTAACCACGTCTTCAACCACGTCAATCAATAAGAAGCCCGTCCGCCACCAGTCAGAGACTTCCAAGATGAGCTTTCATTGTTGATCGGAGCTGTACGACTGATTTTCTGCACCCCTGGGATCGACGTCACGGCTGGCGATTTGGCGGAGTCTCTGGACCGCTGTGCTTCCATTCTCCAGTCTGTTAGCACAGCCCTTTCCAGTTTCGCCACTGAACGGACGTACGGCTTGCTACCCCAATTCAGCTCTTGGCATGTCTTCCGCTACAAGACGTTGAGCATCGCCGACTGTCTCTACCTCGTGCGCGGATTCAAGTCGGGCTTCCTCCTTGCCCTTGCGGAAGCCGCTCCGTACGTTTCGGGACAAATAAGTATGCGAGTATGTCGAAAGCTGACTTGTTGAGTGCGCGCGCAGCGACATCGCCACGCTGGTTGGTCTTAAGTGCAAAAGCGACTATGATGCTGCTCGCAGAGACGTCGACGATTTGGGCCAGATTCTAGACTTGCTTGCAAACCAGCAAGAACCCCAAAGGTAGGTCCCCCCTCCCTTTCTACCACGCAAGGCGCTTTGCCATTATTCACATTTATCCAGCAGGAAGCATCTTGTGCCAGCGATGGGTCCGGCAGCACTGTCGCGTGTTTTGCAACCAACCAGCAAGCATGGAGCGACGAATAGCGCAGGCGCACCACGGCAATTCTGTGTAGGAAATGCGATTGCCAGCCAGAACACATGGGGACTGGACGTCGAGATTGTTCCTACGACACACGCCCGACACCGCACCAAATGGCTGGCTGAGATCGACGCGGAAATAGCAGTCGTTTGTAACGTCGATGGCAACCCTTGGAAATGGGAGGGGGCTGGCAAGGACTTTCCGGCCGCATGGAGGGGTTTCGTTGCGGACAACAAAGTCTCTCAAGAGGCCATCGACAGGTTGTCGGTACACGTGGTGGCGCCGCCTCCATCAAAAGAAGAGGCGCGGGTCGTCAAAGACGGTCAGCTCTGGATGGCATCCATTGATGCGAATGCCGTCTCCCAAGTGGCTGTAGCATTCGGCTTCAGGCATGAAGCGCAGGACTCAACACATCAAGAGCCACGGCTATCTGACCTTGAGATCCGACAACGGCGGCTTGCCTGGCTCGATCAATAAGACTGCTTGCAGATTTCGGCTGCTCAATGGAACACGGACTGCGGAAAAGTGTACAAGACTCATCTGCGCGCGACCGTTGCCTCCATTGGCGCGTACTGGCCGGAGCTGAAGCATGTTTTTGACGTCACCGTCAATAGCAGAAGCATTAAAATTGTGCGAGCGGCTAGTCTTGCTAGCTAGGTCCATTGACGTAGGATGTGTTTCGGTAGAACGATTGGGTTGTGTTCCAATTTCTCTGCATCCGCCTGCGACCATACCGCCGAACCTAGCCACCTACTTTCGGATGATGTGCTTCTGCAGGTCCACAAGCGGAATTGTGATGGAGAGGACCTGGAGGAAAATGGCCGACTTGTCCAGCACCCCAGGACACTAGCCGTGTATGCAGGAAAGACCACGGACCTGTTGAAAGCGTCGAGATACTTTACTGTATCTTCTCCATGTGGGGGAGGGGGTGGCACTGTCCAGATTTCAAATTGAGTGGGTTGCGTGTCTGCCTGCACATCGAGTGAGATGCTCCATACCAGGGTACAGCACCCGATCCAGGATGTGGAGGGTCTGCCCGTGTGAACGCGACCCCTCTTTCTGATCCCGCCATGTCGCCGACAGTAGCGTGCCGCGCACTAAGGAGTGGCATGCAAGGAAACCCTTACGGGGCACGTCACTTGGCAAGTCTCAGCGCCACTGTCATCGAAACCACTGCTATACAGAAGCTGGCCCGGCATGCAATTTGCCAAAGGGATGACCAGCGCCTCCCGATTGACGCATCCGGTGCCTCGGCCCCATATCCACGCGAACCATACGCTCCGGATGTGGCTGCCGTTCCGCGAAAAGTCTTGGAAGGTAGCCTTTCACAGTGCAGTGCTCTGGGCACGGTGCGGGGGGGATAGCATGCCTTGGGCGTGACAAGTGGCGGCGAGGGGCTGACCAAGACGTCGCAGCTCCTGGCGCTTAATTATCCTTTGTGACGCCGAAGATAGGTCTCACTTGTAGCGCCCGCTTCAGGCCGAGGCAGGCCTACCCTAGCAATCACCATGGGCAGACGATGCTATTGGGGGCGCCCGTAAGCGCAGCGCAGAGAGGGGGGGGGTGGGGGTGACTTACTAGGCTGTGCCCGAGTGCCGCAGCGGGGAACGACACTGATGCTGTGTGGGCAGCGACGCCGCAGCGAGGCGGTGGTGCAACGAGCAGAGAACAGGGTTGTCGGTCGATCCTCAGCGGCGAGGTGATCAGGCAGGCATTGACATCGTGAGCTTGCTGCAGCGCCTACGGAACCTTGCCTTCTGCGCTCTCTGTGCGCCTATCATGATACCGTCGGTATGCCAACCACTGCCCGAGCCAAACAGCGACGAAGTCTGGAGACAAAAACTGCCGATGCGTCCATTCCTCTCATGGACTTCTCCATAGTGTTGCCGTCGCAGTCATCCACCCGGCGTGCGTCGTCACCAAGTTTAGCAGTGTGGCCATATCGCATTCGACATTATGAACGTCGACAATGGTGAGTTCGTCGACCAGAATCGCCCGCAGAGACTAATCCGTTCAACCAGAACTTCACCGGCCGCCGCCACCTCCCTATCGACCCCTTGAGATAGCAGCCGTTGTCGCAAAAGAATCTCCCCGACTCGCGGGTGGAGAAAGTCGAGCATTGCCCCAGCTACCTAAGGGCCGCTGGAACCTGGCGTGCAATATCGGCTTGACGAGACCGCAGCTGCAACTACGCAGTGATGGAAAACTCTCCTGGATGCATGTGCCTGAGGATGCGAAGATCAAGGGGTTTGAGAGAGATGGATTTTTATCACAAAAGGCGCTGATCAGTTAACGGTGGCCTTTCAAGACACCGAGTGGACATGCAGTTCGTCAAGTACTGCGGGAATGCTCCTGTCAGATCCTCATCGCCAAGTGCATCTGATGCGGCTGGCGCAGGATTTGGTTGTCTACGACCAAGCCAACGTCAACAAAGAGCCGGGCCCTCGTCGACCTTCGATGGCCAGGGAAGGCCAGCCGGGGCCGCTCAAGGTCGAGATGGGGTCTTCCGGAATTCTGACGATCACTGGTGCGGCCGTGTACCAGGTCGACGGCGATGGGGACGATATCGTGATGGTAACGTCTCACTAGTTCCGAGACGGCCGAAACAACACTGTGGGAGAGGCTATACAGGATTTATCATTATGGGATAGGAAGAAAGGGAAATTCAGATGGACACACAGTTGCGAAAAACTTGGACGAGTATGGGGCTTTACAGAAACCTTCATCCTAATGAAGTTGGGACACGTTAATTTACACCGTCGGAATGACGGTAAGACCCACGGTACCTTCCTTTGGCCATCGATCAAAAACTTCAACGACTTCACTCCGCATCACGAACATGGACCGGTCATGAGCACAAATGGATTGCTCTTACGCAAGCCATGTAGTAAAGCTATTTTCATTTGGCAGGTGCGAGACAAGCGCGTTCATTTTCGTATCTGGGAATCGGCAGCAGACATTCAAGGACATCTGGCGCTGCGTGGCAGCCTTGACCAGCTTGAGCTGGTTCTCGTCGGTCAGCAAGCCACATGGACTCAATGGGAGGTAACGGAACCAATTTACAAATGGAGCCCTCTTCGGAGGTTCATGTTGGAGATGTTTTGAGGATTGATCGGTGGAGACATCGAGCACGCTCGATGTAGACACAAGCCTGACGTGCTTGAAGGTCTCGACCGTGTAGGCATTAGAGAGCCCATTTCAAGTTTAGTCTCGGAGTTTGAATTAAAGGCGATCTGTACGATGCGGCAAGCGAGATGGAAGTGTTCTGTACACGCCTGCACCATCGACGTAACAACCATCTGTTTTCGGTTCGACGCGCTCTGACTCCTTGACAAATCACGAGAGATAGGTGGGGTGGATCGCGAGATAAGGAGGGGTCGTATCCACGAATAACTCAGGTCCGATCTCCTCCTGTGAGTGCACCATACTGGGTTTTCCCCTTCTCATTTTCTCCTCATTTTCCTTAATTTTGGTCATCCCTTTCTTCTCCGAAAAGGAATCAACCTGATGACACTATTCAAATGAGCAGACTCTCCGGGCCAATCGCCAATGGTTACACAGTATAGTGTAATGACGCAAACGATACACGACGGAACTGCGCAGCCCTCGTCCCGCAGGATCGTCGTGGTTTGTTCAGACCGAGCCAATTTCGGTCAGTTTTTTGTGCGAAATCGATTTTACAATATCTACGTCTGTAGCTCCACCATCGTTTTGCTATGTTAACGGCGCATTTGGTGCGGACAAGCTATTTCGACTGATCCAGTTGACATCGACAACACTCACGAATATCCTTCTGCGACAAGAACGCGTGCAACTGTATTTGTCAGCGGATGGTCCTCTTTTCGCGCAGAACATTACAGTCACATCTGGTTCATTCCTGTTCATGGGAGAAATGACCCTGGCGACCGTGGCGGCGGTAGCCGCGATCTTCCAGCTGCCATGTCCTGGGAGGCAGGGCGTTTTTTTGATCACGGAGAGGCCATGATAGACCCTCTCCCCGATGCGCCCGTGTAGACTCGAGATCGCCCAGCTTGCGATAAGTCCGTGTGTGCTGGCATAAGGGTTGCAATGTTGCGATCGATGGTCGGTACATGCGTGCGAGAAACATCTTCATCCTCGGCTCCCGCACGACCTTGAATGCCATCTAGGCTTCGCTTGCGTGCTCTGCCGAACTGTCTGAAGTCGCCAAAACTCAGTCTGCCGGTAGTGTTGGCACGCAGCCATACACACATAGATCCCAACCCCCAGACAACCCTTCAGCAAGGGCGAAAGAGGCAAGAATGAATCCGGGGCACACGCGGAAACCTGGGAAGAATAGAACGCAGAAGGCCCGGGAGGCATTGTTTGAGGGCAATGTGGCAGGACGATGTGCTGTGGAGCAAGGAGCCCCGGCCTTTGATCATCATGGAGAGGACGTGAGGACAGAGATGGTGATGGTCGATGGGTTTGGGCTTGAAAGTCTGGGCTTCAATTTCGTATAGCATGGGTGAGCAGGATATGTCCAATTCCTGCGTGGAAGCCCGCCATGGCAGCGTGCACGGCGTTGCCAAACCACCCAGCTGCCGAATGTACGTCAGCTCCTTCGTCAAGCAACATCCGCACTATCTCGATGCTACCTCTATAAGAAGCTGCTTGAAGAGGATCACCATAAAACTCGTGGTGGGCTTTGATGTCTGCCCCCCTTTCAAGGAGAATCTTCGCAATATCTCCATACCCTTCCCAACACGCTATTTGGAGAGCGCTGCGAGAACCACTTTTCACATTGATTTCGGCTCCCGCCTTCAACAGCGTTTCGACAATCCCTGCGTATCCTCCAAACGATGCAGCTGCGAGGGGATTGCTGTAGGAACCGCCCCTGGCATTCGGATTGGCGTTTTTCTCCAGTAGTAGTTGTACGATTTCCCGACGTCCTGTGAGTGAAGCGGCTTGAAGGGCGCTTCCGTAATGCCCGCCAGTTGTGTCGATGTCAGCTCCTTCGTCGAGGAGTTTACGTGCCAAGAGTCCATGTCCTTCGGCGCATGCAGCTTGGAGTGCGGTGTTGTAGTGTCCGCCGGCCGCGTTGACTCTGGCACCGTCGTCTAGCAACATTTGAACTATGCTTTCGTGACCTTCTGCTCAGGCAGCCTGCAAGGCGTTGCCGTACCATCCACCTTGGTCATTGACATCTGCGCCGTCCAGAATGAGTCTCTGAGCAATGCAGTAGAACCCTTCGGCGCATGCCATCTGAAGAGCATTGCCATAACAATCGGCTCGGTCTTTGGCAAACAGCGTATCCGAGAAGTCCAAAGCGCCATGCGTGCATTTGATACACGATACCGTGACATCATCCAGGGCCGTTACCATTTCTTTGGTGGATATGTTGTATGCCGAATCTTCTGTGCAAGATGCAGTCATGGCTACTTGGTATTAATTCGGTTGCATGTGGTGGAAGAAGAGTCTATAGGTGACTGGCCCGACATGGGCAATTTTCAAGCTCAGCTCAACATGGACGCACGTGATGATGCACGTGTTTTGAGTCGCTAATGGCCAAATCAACCGGAACCCAAGTCTGTGCCGCCGACATGGACCCTGTGGCTAAGCGTGGGCATACTGTACGTGTAATATCGAGAGGGAACGAGCTGATCGCCCCCATAAAAGGCACCAGTCTAGACTGACACGCCGCAGCAGATAGTGAAATGAGCGACGATGGCACTGCAACTTGAACACGATAAGGCGCAGCCGCCAGACGTACCGCTGGCTCCACCACTCGCCTGTCTCTGTTGGTTGACGATTTAGGGGCCTGATGGTGGAAAGCGCGTAGGCTACCAGGTGCTCGCCGTGACCTCGTCTGAAGAGCACGCTACTTCGGCCACCCTGCGCCCGATGTACTGGCCAGTGGGCGGCGTCCAGAATATGCCCTCCCTGCCCGCCTACATTGAGCATGGGTCACAGCGACTACTACCGCACTAGCCAGTACTCAGACTACATTCCTGGTTACACAGCAGTCAAGCATCTTTGCCAAGTTCGTGCAACAATGCGCTGGCCATGGACCAAAACTGCGGTCTTATTGGATGAGGATATGAGTCTATACTGTATATCGAATCGACAGTTCGAGCTCGCACGGCGGGACGGTCGACATTAGCCCGTGCGAGGCCGTGTTCTACGCCTCCCCCACCCCCAAGATGGCTGCAAATCATAACGGGCGAACCAAAGCACCGATTACCGAACATTGGGCACCAACAGCACGACATCTGCAATCGACGAGGATGAGATCTTTAAAGTAAGCCACTGCATACTGTACGTCTCTCAGAAGACACCCTGAACGGGAATTGGTGTCAGACCTTGATAGTTCAAAAGAGCTTTTGCGCGACGGCTGAGATCAACCATGGCCAGCCCATCCAACTTCTGGACCCTTATGCTGAAGGCCGACTTCCATGGAACGATCGCGTCTTTGCAGCAGCTGACCAACATTCCATCCGAGCCACGAGCGTACCGTGAAGGGGCGACGCCACAAGCTCATACCAACGTTCTTTCGATCGAAGATGAAATCCAAATGACCAACTCGATTGCATTCCTTGCCCATCGCAACGAAGGAGCCAAGTTCGTGTCTACCGTAACCCTGCGTGAATACCCTGACCGACTGCAGGTTGTGCTCGCCGGCAACACAACCCCGTCATCGGGCGCTCGTCACGAGCTCGCAAATATCATGACACACCTGGGCAAGCTTAGCAGGAGAGGTATATCTTTCAAGAAGTCTTCTATGACTAAGGTCTGATGTGCTTGCAGAACGTATTAAACATTCGCTACGAGAGGAGCTACTCGACATGGTACTCCTCTTCAGTAGTAGCCGCATTCTCAGCCGACTGCGTCCGCCATGGATGGCACAACCCCGGCACTTTAAAGCACCGCAGCTCTCTTTGCAAGACAGACTACGGAGCTGCATGCTTGGAATCCGGGATACCTCGCAGTCTTCTACGCACATCACATCACTCCTCAAACGGTTGAAGGACTTGGTGAATACGTTGAAGCTTGTCCAGCAACACACAGAGATCAACGCCTCCCTGAGCGTCCTGAAGATGATTGTCATAAGCTGCGTGGAAGTCGCACGCTTAGGCAGCACAACTTCAGTCGAGGAGCATCTGAAGTCGTTGGGCGTTCAAACACGGTTCGCCGAGAGCCCGGAGATACGCCAGGTTGACAAGTTGGCCAGATACTTCTTCACGTGTCACGATCTAGCTCGTCTCGCTCGGAAGCCCAGCTATCGGCATATGTTCAGCAATATCGAAGTCATGGCTCTGGAAGCACCCTTAGGTTTTCGTCGTCCAGGAATCGCCCAATATTGCTTCGTGCACGCAGAGATCCAACAGATCTTTCATCTAGAACAGCAGCCACACACGCCAGCGCCGCGAGCAATTGGATGCAGCAAATCCGCCTGCTATTTGTGCGACCTATTCGTTCGCACACATGGCACCTATGTGGTGTCTCATTCACATGGCCGGCTTTACGAGAAGTGGACTCTACCCGATGTTGACTGGATGAACGCCACGCAGGCGGACAGGTTTCAGTCGATGGTGCAAAGCATGGTGAAAGATATGCGAGAGGCGATACGAAGGCTCAAAGGCGGAGTACAAACCATCTCTCGCTATCCTCTTGAAAGTCGGGCGTGTCTACCTTTGTCTAGCGAAGCCACCTCGAGCCTCGCTGAACGACACGTTGAGACCGAGGAGAACGCGCTCCCAATACGGCCTGACGATGGCATGAGTGCAATACTGACCAAATGCCACTCGTGGCCCGTCATGCTGTCACCTTTCGTTCAAATCACGCAGCTGGATCTGCCGTGGCATCGGTTTACCCGGTTAGGACAAGAGCCGCTACATGTCCAAATCGACAGACTCTCTCTTCACATCGAATTCGCGTCGACAGCGACTGGGTTGCTTTCAGTCTATCCTCGGCAAAGTGTCCCCCGTGAAGCGAGCAAGATGTTGAAAGCAGACGACATTCCTGTAAACTCAGATCTTCCTGTTCAAGGCTCTCGAGCCTCACGGAAAGTGGCGCTCGGCATCTCACTTGATGCCACCGTGGCGATCCAGATCGAGTTCGAATGGGACACACCTGAATACTGATCATGCTGCAAACAATGGTTCGTGTCGTATTTCTTAATGTGGCTAACTTCTCAACGACTATTTCAGTCGAGCATATCCTCGCAACGTGATATGCAAATGTATCTGGCAACAGTCCAGAACTGGACATGGTTGGCGATTGTCGACTTTCGCCAATGAGTGACACTGTCAAAACAAGAAGCCTCCTGCCACGTGAATCTTGACAGATTGTGAGCCATCATATCAATTACATAATGCCCATTGTACTCACCAAGGGAATTTGAGCTCTCGGCGCAAATAGTCCATAGTCGAAGTCAAGGCCTTTCCGTTGGTTCCTCAGATTCAAGATATCGCAGCTGTTGACGCATCATTCTGCTGAGAAGCCGCACAGGGCCAGATATGGATACAGTAATCTACCATCTGGCTCGGTGGTTCAGACTTTTACGGAAAGGCGACGACAGCTTCCAGCGAGTACCGTACCGCGTGCCGACCTTCGCGTACCCTGCCATACAGTGCAGCCCTGACTGGCTTTGCCAATTGCCATGGACAAATGCGCTCGATGTGACCTTAATCTGTGATCAGATCAGGAATATGGGTATCCGGGGGCCCGAGGGGCTGCAGGGCAAGGTCGACCAAAGCTATAGTTCGCAGTTTTTGGGTTGATGCAGCGGACAGGCAAACAGGGAGACTTCATTTTGGGGTCAGGTCTGCTAATAGATCTTCAGTATGGTCAGCAGTGGCATAATGAATGGGGAAAAGTATGGTTGTATTCTCTAAAGGCGATCTGCTGGACCTACAATAGATCTATCTGAACGAGTGGCATCTATCCCTTGTAGTGCAATCCTGGCCTGAGTGTGCGGTTAATTCAGTGATGACTTTATGCAGTGAGTTTCCTCGAAGCGAGGGTATCCCAGGTTCTGTCGCGCGACCTGTTATGCCGCTGCGCTGAATGCTCGCCAGTGAGGCGAGCATTGCCACGGCGTGTAGTCTGGCAGTACGCCCACACGGCTCAGCCATCTCAAACACTAACGACAGCGGGAGCAAATGAACACTTGTCGATGTGGAAAACACATCCCAAAAAGCTCCAGTTATGATGGTGTACGGTCGGAACCAGAATTGGCCTCCACGTTCTTAAGCGGATATCGTTCTGTTTTCTGGACCCATTCGCGAACGGGATACATCGGTGGGGCCAAGCTTGATTGACTCTCAGACTCCGAGATTTGCTTCTATGTACACTATGTGCGTTGTCCGAACTCAACTTGCATGAGCCCGATATCCGCTAATCGCGGAAATGGAGTGCTGGATTTATGTCTCTGAACCTGGGATGGTTAATCAGCAGATTCAGAGGCTCTGCGGCTGGAGTCAAGCAGCCATGAACAAGGGGCAGGAATTCGTGACCACCTTGTCACCGCCATCTATGGATGTCGGATTATGCAACATGGGTCTAAGCTCTCGGACTTCAGGTGGAGAGGTCGTCAAGAAGGCTGCCACGAAACAGGGATATGCTCAGCCTTCTCGAGCTGCCCAACATGTTTGCGGTCATTTGAACCTAACTTCCATTTTCTACCCTCGATTTTATGGACGAAGGTGAAAAACGTGTAAATATTAATGCGAGCCCTATGTACCTTAACCGGGCCATGATGAACAATGTATACGAAATCCACGAAAATGGATGACAAGAAAATGCAACTTGCGAAACTCATGTAAGAGAGAGAGGCGACGATTCTTGCGTTGAAGTTAGCCAAGAGTATGAAGAAGATAGTCGATCAGGTGATAGCCACCTCAGGTCAGTCTTTGCCCCTACTGAAGCTCTCTACCTTTGGTTGCTCACCCTAAATGTAGAGGTCCGAGATGTTGGTCCGAGCATGAAAGTGAGCTTGCTTGTCTCCCAACTGGCTGCAGGAGGCTCTTTGGGCATTTTTCTTGAGCTTGATGGATCGTTTTGGAAGGTAATCGGACGAGAGGGAGGTCGAGTATGCCTGCAAAAAGTGGACGAAGAGCCAACGGGTCCAGCAGCCGGTGAACAGCGCTGAGTATAGTCATCAGATGCTGTAGAACAGGATGACTACGCGCTCGGTCGCAGGTTTTAGCGATACATGGTCGTTTTGCTATTAATCGCGTTTCGTCTGGCCTCTCCTGCCCGGTCACTCGACGGGCCTTTCAGCGGCGCCTACTTGGAGGCAAGTTCAGGTAGTGCAGTCGCTAATGGGGTGGAGTGGAGAGCGAGCATAGGGCATAGACACAAAAAGCCTGGTATCAGTCCATAGAGAGCGGTTGTCATTTTAAGTGTGGTGAAGACATACTAACACGTTGCTGATGGAGGAGGAATGGTGGCCCTCCATGCCATTATATTCACCCAAGACAATAGGTTTCATAGCCCAGATAGTGATTCGGCATGTTAGACGACATCGTAGGAGACTTGTGGAAGATTAACACCTTAATCGCGTAATATGCATCAGCGCGTGCGACCACGAACATATCCCTTCTGCCTCCCAAAAGACGGTGCCCCACGTCCACCCATGGGCATTTGGAGGCAGTGAAAGAAGCCGAGATCTCAGACGTGGCGACAAAATCGCCTCTGGACGATCCAAGACAAATGTTGTTGCAAGATCCATTTGCTATGCTCTCTATCCAAATGTGCAGTAGACCCACCCATGTCTCAGCATCTCTGGCCTGTGAACTGTGGGTGCTGCTGAGTTCACCACCATAGTTTACAGTTGTCCACTCTTTTGGAAGCCGTCAAGATGTAGCTAAACAGAGCAAAGGTCAATGAGCCAGAAAGATCATCCACAGATTGTAGTGGGTCAAATACCATTTACAGAAGGCATGATTATCGGGATTCCGGATTTCCTTGGTTGCTTCCGCCACCAGGTCCAACATTTCTTGCGGCGGGGCTTCGCGACGAGATGCAAAGCATTTGGCCTGCAGAAACTGTCTGAGGCACCAATGAAAGCGTTTGCCGCTCTCTCGCTCATTTTCAGATTGCCTGTAGGGATTGATCGGTAAATCAATCGTTGCGCATGTAACGTCGAAGCCCTGATCTCGAAGTAAAGCCTCGATTTCCTGTTGATCAGCTTGACGCTTATCGTACTGACGGAACTTCTCTGCCCAGGCCTTGAGAGCCGAGTCTGCTGGAAAAGACCTCTGCTCATCGCCGCAAGGCATAAGATCAACCATTTCGATGATCAAGCAACCACCCGGGTTGAGATTGTTGTAGGCAATTTTAGGGAAGTCCTGCCAATCTACGATGCTCTCGACGACTCGCGCGTGAATGATGTCGTAGGGACTGCCTTTGCGCCACACCCTTTCGTCGTCTCCTATAGCAATGGTCAAATTTTCCGGAAGTTTGTCCCTGCATGACTGTAAGGATGTGCATTAATTGGGCACCCGATTCGGCTTACATTGGCGGGTGCATGTCGATAATGTCGTAACCCACCACTCGACCATGCAAGTCCCTTACGCACCTTTGCATTTGGTCAACTTTGCGACTCTAACGATGGGAGGACTCGTGACCAACTCTGCCATTTCAATCGACCAGATTCCAGTGCGCATGCCATAATCAAGGATTGTGCAGCTGTAAGGCAAGGAATTTAGGTCTACCTTTGCTCTGGGCTCATTCTTCAGAGTGTGGTGCAGCAGATCGTACGCATCTTTCAGATAGGCCTGAAACAAAGTTAGGGCGAACAGAATCAAGAGAAAGAGGTGCATTTACGACGTTGAGGCTTGGGTCGGTGTTATCCTCAGAGAGATAATACGGCATCCTCTCGGGGGAGAGCTCAGCATGTGTCATCTTCGAATGGGCAACCTTGCTACTTGTGTTTGGGGCTGGGTAGCTTAGAACCGCCGACCAACTGTTGAGATGCGATTACCACCTTTATACAACATCCAACCCATGTCCGGTGCTACTAAAGCCTGGTGGTCATGTGATTCAACACCCTGCTCTGAGTTGCGGTCATATCCCTGTTGGTTTGCTCGCAAATAGGGCCGCCTGTCACCCTACCTTTGGTGAGTTCTTTTGACCTTGAGAGTTTCCACACTCGAGGGCGTTCCATCGAACATTGGCTTTGCACTCACCAACTTGCTGCGAGTTGCCCACCAGTCCTAGTTGAGGTGCGATGGCCCTTATCTTGTTAGGCATGAACCTTACGAGCGTTCAAGGATGACCCATAATGGCCAGTCTTCTTCCTGGTCCGTCACTGACACCATTCGACTCAGCCCCTACACAGAAGGTGAATAGAACCTGCGGTAGTAAGCGGGATTTTGCTGTGATAGTTCCTCGCGAAATCGTGTGCTTGAGAAGATCCTGATGGACTAGCCGCTTGGATCCAGCGCTCGTCGAGGCATGGGAATTCAGGACGCCTTGGGCATACCGAAACATGTACTGTAGTCCCGCCTCAAAAGCCATCATGTTGTACTGTGCTGTGCGCAAAGACACTGATATCTTTGAGATGCCTGAGGGCGAAAGCTGGCTGGGAACGCATTTCCTATTTTAAGCGGGTGACCATTTTAAGAAGCCCCACTGAACTAAATGCATCAGCCCTGGAGTACGAGGGCGCCCTTCAAGACATGCCTTCTTAGCTTAGCATGCTTACGTGCGCCATAGCCCTCACGAGCTCATCCCAGACCCTTGACGATGCTGCTGTGTTGCCAGCAAGACCGAGCCATAGCCGCTTGGGATATTGACGTAGGGTCGTTGTAGTGGGTACAGACTGAGTTTCCTGTCCACAATGCGCAAGGGATGGTCCGAGTGTGGGTGTCGGGCTATGAAAACTCTCTCTTGTGATAAGCTCATGGTTCGGATGGGGTCTCCGTCAGCTCTCGCACGGGTGGAAAGACTCGAAAGAACGAGTTCTTCAGCGGTGGGGCCCAGGAGTTGAATGAACCACGTGGTATTGTTCCTGCTCGGATTTGGCCAATCTGGTTTGCAGCAACATCAGGGGAGCGCTCCGCCACTCGGTGGCGGATATGCTCAATTAACCACCTGCGGAGGGCCCGTTCACCGAGCGCTTGCTATCAGGCTGCAGATTCAGCCAGTACGTTGCCAAATTTTCGACATGGGATCGATAAGATTTTCGAAGTACGCGAAATCACCGCGACGAGGCTTCGTCATGGAGGGATGTGCGACGTTGGGCGATGTCAAACGTTCCATATACCTCAGATGCTTTTCGGAGTGCACTGCGAGGTCTGTTTGCCGGAAGGCGAGCATGATGGCGCTAATGAATCGCTTTCTTTACTACCAAGCTGTGTGGCTGTCCAAGCGACCTTGTTGTCGATAGAAGAGTACGATGCCTCCCCTCGCCGAGAAGATACCATATCGACGTAAGCCATCCAACGATAGACCAGATAGACATTCCTCTTGCGGAAATGTTCGTTACTGATCTGTGAGATGGCGCGGTCTACGTGCGTCTTGAGGCTACGGGGATTCATGGCTGTGCGGCCGGCAGTGATAATGAGATGTTTCATGTTTTTACAATGATTCCACGTGAGTCTGAGACACTCTTTAGCTGTGGGGATTATGCGTGCTCCCTGCAAGTCCTCCTCGGGCGGCCACGCTGGCGTATGACTGCACAGCGTTCCCCTGATTCATCGGGGTCCAGTGCTTTGGTATCATTTTCGACCTTTACCACCAGCTCGCTAGTTTGTCAAGCCTCCCTAGCGGCTGTGATGACCGCGCGCATGGCATTGGGCTTGTAAGTTCGACTGTGCTCTGCTGCACCGCAATCCTGATGATTTTCGTTTCGCGGGTGGTGTTCTCGATGTCTGTTTTGGTTGCCGCAAGTAGGCTCTCGATAGCCTAGTGGGGGTGTCCAAGCTCGGGCAGGTTCTGCATTTTGGCAAGCAAGAGAGGGTAGCAAGGGGCATGGCTCTCATGACTTGCAAGCTGAGGGATTGGCCATTTGCGATGTCGACAGACCTGACTGCTGTCTGGAGGTGTCTGCTAAGTTGGGTGGCGTGCTCTCGGTGATGCGTCGGCCATAACTGCTACTCGGGCCTTGGGGTTGCCATGGTGCCTACGTCGTTATGGGCTTCGCGACGAGCACACGGCTATCCAATTGACCTTTCGGAGTGTATTGTGGCGCTGTTTTTGCTCCGATTTCGTTCTCGCTGTTGTTGATGTTTTTTCTCGGGGCCTTATTGTTGAGTATCATGATGGCACGGAAAAGGTTTTGGGGCAGTGTCGCATAGGGGTTGATCCAGCCGAGAGATGTGGGGCTGTGGAACAGCTCTCATTCAAGGTTGTTCGGCGGCAAGAGCGCCCAGGTAAGCGAATGGCAATGGTGATGGTGATGGTGAGAGGTTTCCGGTCACAGGGGAATGACGCTTGCGATGATGGGCAATGGACGGTTTGCTCTCATGAGGACACGTTGGAGGTTTGGGCGACAGCAACACAAATGGTGATGACTATAACGAAGCTCACTGATAGCAATTCCCCGGATACACGAGTAAACGTACTCTCAGACTAGAAGTAGTTGTTGACATTCATGGAAAGATAAACCGTCCCCGAGTTACCTACATATTTGAAGCCCTTAACCATCGTCCCATCCACCATGCATTGCGCTGGTTTCCATCTGGCTTTGTCAGTGCTGACTCCGGTGCCATCTCTCGTCTTGATTTTCGGTCCCTGGCTGCGCCTTTTGACTGCAACAGCGAATGTGACACTCGCTGGGTTCAACTCTTCCAAGATCACGTCGTCCGACATGCTTTCGTCCGATGTGCTGGCCTCTGACACCTCGAACACGGCGTCAGGCGGTTGCAAATTCTGCTTAATGGTATCGGAGTAGGCCATCAGAGTTGCTTCCGAAGTTCGAAAGTCGAGGTAGGATGAAATCTCCCCTATGGCGCCGTAGGCTGGGCACGCGGGGACCAGGTAGTCAAGCTGAGCGTCGAAGGCCCAGATGCGGACCCTGGGCCCGCAGATGCTGCACGTCCACATTTTTTCCCGTTCGGGGTGTTCCGTATAGTACTCATAACAAGCGGAGTATAGCTGACTCTCCACATCCACGACATCTTGAGGCCCAGCTCTGCCCTTCTTCAGCTCGACCATGACCTGGATAACCAACTCCCGGCCGCTATACCGTTCGATGATAAAGTCGGCCCGTCTCCTAGAATGCAATTGTACTGGAGGCTGCTCTGGGCCGATGACAAACTCCTTTTCGGAGAAAATCTCCTTCGAAAAGAGATGATTCCACAACCGTTTAGTTGCGAACTCATCGAGCCTCAACCAATCGTCGATTAGTCTTTTTGACCGCAGGGTCATTTGATATAGCCATGGCGAATATGGCGCTTGCTGGCGGGGTGGGAGAGTTCGTTGCAAGAATGAGAGGTGGGAGAGGGAGAGAGAGTATGTGTGTGTGTTTTATGGACGAAATCCAATTGCGTACCAACGTGAACCTGCAATTTATCCCATCGACTGCGGCATGACGTCGGTACGTTGACTCCACAAAAGGGGCCCGTTTTTTTCCCTCACAACATCTGGTTCATCTATCCATACCAATTATCCCTATGATTTCTACTACGGTGCATCCATACAAACCAACATTGCCACCATTTCTTTGATGGATTCTGACGATTCTGCCTCTTCTACGGGCTCGGCGAAGTCGTGTATCTTTGGATTACTATCCGAGGATATTACTGCTGCCTGTACGACCGACTGTACGCCGGAACGATGTGATAATGCCACCGTCCGGCCCGCCGAGGTGCTCGAGCTGCCCAGGCAGCCGGTAGACCTCTTCTTTGACTTCGTGCCGGCCGAGCTCGTGGGCCGGTGGGTTAAGTGGACAAACGCGGGGCCGCCCTCCGCTCCGCGAGGCTCGGGCCAGCACAAAGACGTTCTCGCAGTCTTCTGTGGAAGCCAACGACTTCAGACGAACTCTACCTCTTCTTAGGCATTCTATTTTTATGGGAATACACCCTGAAGCAGAAGTCGCAAGGTATTGGTCAGTTCAGCAGGATCGGGAGGATCCTATCCATCCTTTTACTCGACTCATGACGAGAGACCGCTTCCAGCTCCTCTTCCGTCGGGTTCGGATCTTCGACGCAGCTCTGATTACGGCACCAACCCGGCCAACCCCTGGCGGCCGTGGCCGTGATCCCCGAAAGTCTCGGATGCCGAAGGTGTACAAACAAATTAATGAGTGGTCCGCCCACATCCAAGAGACCGGCGACCGCTTCCTCCGGCCCGGCTCGGACATCACCGTCGACGAGGCCATGGTCCGGTTCACGGGCCGGTCTATGGAGACCACAACGATCCCGACGAAGCCGATCCCGCAGGGTTTCAAGGTATGGGTGTTGGCACAAAAGGGGTACTGCCTCCGGTACAAAAGGGGTACTGCCTCCGGTGACTCTGGCACGTCCACGGCGACGGGCCTTACGGACTTGTGCCACAAGCCCGGCCCGCAGCAGGTGGTCAAACGGCCCGGAAGACGGCACTTACGCTGACCCAGCTGGTGGTCACCTCGCTGCTTGCCCTCCTTCCATTGGCTAACTACCATGCATTTCTGGATAATTTGTTCGCCTCCGTGAAGCTCTTCCGGGCCCTGCGAGACCAAAAGATCGGTGCCACGGGCACTTGCCGTAAAGACGGTGGTATTGATAAGACTCTTGTGGCTGAGAAGGAGACGGAAGGTAGAGGAATCCCCTTGGGGCAGCCCCATCCAATCTCCACAGCCGACGGGCAAGTAAGCGGTCAAAAATGTCTCTTGCTGTTGACTCCGTACTTATCTGTTTGTTTGGATGACTTCTAGGTTAACCAGTTCACTTGGAAGGATAATGCCCTCGTTCTCTTCCTCACCACGGTCTTCGACGAGACCTCCGAAGTGGTCCGCAACCGCCGCCGGCCTGCCGGCAACACTGCCGCGAAGAAGGCGGCACGGGAAGTCTTTAGTTGGGTAGCAGCAAACACGTGCGGCGACTCGGGCGTGGGCGGATTCCGTGCTCACGTCGTCCGCTCGGTTGGTACGCGCCTTGTGGTAGAATTCTTCTGCGGCCGAGGTTGCCTCCGGCGAACAATAGTGGGTTTCTAGTATCGCAATACTGAAGCTCTACCTCCCGATAGGCCAGGCGGTGGCAGCCAGACTAGACATAGGTTGTGGTTCTCCCAACTGCTCGATTTCTTTCGCTTCTGCCAGCAGGTATGGAGGATTCGCGCACTGCTGCTACACGATTATCCAGCAAGCGAAGTTTGTAGCACGTTGCCGATAGGACCTTATTGAGGTCGGCGCCACGTATCGTTCAAGAATTCACCACAGCCTATCATGCCGTGCGCGCCAAGATGCACGCGTTGGCGGTCATTCCTGAGGTGTGGTTTACAAGGCCGAATGACCTCCAAAGGGGCCTTGCCGCTGTCTACCGGGCGGCTATAGCCCGAGAGACCAATCCCGATCGGCTGGGTGGCTGGACATGGATATTCTGCTTCGCGGCATGACAGGCTCGAGCTCATCGAAAAGATTGCCCCAACCTGCACGCGGTGTCTAGCGGGCACGATAGTCGCGACCACGTTTCGTGGGTGCTTCGCACAGTGCTGACCGTTATCCTTACGCCATATGTGTCAGTAGCGATGTTTTGTCCACAGCCTCCGGTTTCGTCAGCAGGCACTCGGCGACTCTTCTGTACTACATATTACAGCATTCAACGAGAAGGGCTTCATCCTGTCGACGATTCTTGCATCTCTTTCCGCAAGGACATCAGAATTCTTGACGCTCACTGTACATGTTCCAGTGCTGTCACTAGCACTCCTCGCCTGCCAGGGTTTGGGCCACACTATAACCACAGAGGACGTACCAATACTCTGGGAAATCGATGTATCTATGGCAAACCCGAATGTTTCGACCACAAGTTTCGCAGTGATGTCGTCGACTCCTGACGGATGTCGTTTTCTCAACTTTGCGGCCGCTTTAATCGCATTTGTCAAAAACGAAGACGGCGCGAAAGCGCTTGCGCTCTTGATGGCAGCACCGGTATCGGATACTGAACAGAGAGTGCCAAGCTCGGCACACCTGACGATGATTCTCGAAGCTCTTGTCAAATATCTGCCTCAGAACAGGAACGAAGACCTTGCGTCACGATACTCAGCAGCCGCGCGGCACCAGTCCGATCCCGAAGCCGTGGACACTGCTTCTTGGATCCGTGGTTGGGTCGTGCGAAACCACAACAACACTCACGACATCATTCAAGACGACATATCTGCGCTTCGTCGTCAAATTGGGGCATTTCAACATTGGTGCCTGAGACCCGAGTAAAAAAATCGCTGGACGAATCGGAAGGCAAAGGAGGCAGTGGGGTATTCTGATAATCAGCTTCAGGCTTCAGCCACAACTAGCGATGCTCTGATCATCGTACGGAATCCTACATTTTTGTGTACCCAATGTCGCCGCTTCTGAATCGAGGTGTTCTGAAGATCAACTTAAAGGCTGTCGCTCTGTGGCCCGGCTCATCTTGGTGCTCGGAGTGGGTTAAGCCTGTGTTCAAGCTGGTATTGTGCGCTCTCAAAGACATGATCGTGTCTCCTGCGACGGGGCAGGTTTTAGTTGAGACACGTTCAGGTGGAAGAGTGCTTAACGTACGCTCCGAAGCCTCCCCCAACCAGGTTCAGTCGATGTATTGCCAGTCGCGTCCAACCTCTTCCCGTACACCAAGTTCTGATAACTACATATGTACAAAGTACAGTACATGACAAAGCGACTCTCTCGGCTGTTGGTCCACGCTTCAGTCCACTAAAGTAAATGCGGGGGCGCACTGTTTGCTGAAAGCTGATGCTGCTCTTGTGTGACAGGAGCAAACAGCTCCACAGCCGTACTGTCGGTGGATGTGGGCCCCGATCGGTAAAAGCTTACTGTCGCTCTCTGGGAAGCTCGCTGAAAGCCAAGGGCAAAGTCTGCTGGCTTCGCCGATATGGGACCTCAAGAACGCAGGAGCCACGCCGAAAAAGGCGTCGGGAAAGGTCACGTCCAAAACATGCTCCGGCCAGGTGCTCCCGGAGCAGATGCTAGCTTCATATGTCGCTGCATCCACAACCTCGTCGCATATTCTGGGCCTGGTCCAGATCGCGCCCACTGGAGGGCAACTACGGCCGTTTGCTCATTCGAAGCTCGCAAGTTGTACACTTACACGACCTATCATGGACCAGGAGCTGAAACTTTCAGGCTCTACCATCTCCTCCTGTGGTTGGTTGGTAATGTGTCCTACAATGACTAGTCCAATGCGGAATCTAGTAGTGGTAAATAGGCACAGCTGAGCGTGGGAATAGGATTTGACGAGGCTGCCTTCTGGACGGAGAGCACAATCTTAGGAGGTTGCGAAAGGAGGCACTTTCCCCTATCAGTATCATGAGTAGGTTCTCATGTAGTTGGTCTTGAATGGTGGTCCTTGATTGATGTGCTACTGTAGCCGTGCATTTGTGCTTCTTGACTGCACCTTTCCACCACCAGGATCTTTTCCCCGGAGAATTAGCCTTGCCACCGCCTGTGCACTGAATGCGCATAAGCCATAGCCTCCAGCTTCTGAGGGAAGGTTTTGCATGCACGGATCTCCGCTCATGGGGATTCAGCACCATTTCAGATGTCATTGCCGAACTCGGCGACCGTATTCATCCTGCTTGCTGGACTGTGGACTCAAGCCTGACTCAAGAGCACTTCTCCCTATGCTCGCCTGCGAGACCAATGGTCGACTAATAGAAGGCAGTGGAACTGAACCATTCTCTGCCCCTCCATGTGGGGCATGAAGCGGACGGGAACAGTGCGATCCCTCTTTCGTAACGCCATCACTGGAATTCCGGACTGCTGTAGTGCTGGTATACATTTTCCTTTGTAGCAAAGTCGCCGGCCCAAACTCCCTTCTAGCTCGAGCATCGCTGGATACTGAGTTACTTTCACGGATGGCGAAGGTTGCGAGCACACAGACTTTGCTTTCATGGGCGCATAAATAGAGCCATTTGAAGTAGGTTTGGCCGTTTGGCCGGTCAACTCATTGACTCTAAGCATTAGTTTTTGAGCAGTGACTACTAACATGAAAGAGATACCAGATATGGTTTCGGAGGTGACATCTCAAGGACGGAAAAGACCAACTTCGCTGAGCGTGAACCCTTTCTTGACTTCGTCCAGCCCTTCCCCAAGCAATTTGGTACATATGTCAACCAGCTGGCAAGGTCGCGAGCTTGATACATGATAGACAGAGTGACCCCACCGAGGAGTTTGGAAATCCTTGATCGCTTTCTCAAGCGCGGTGATACCATAGCCTAAGAATGGTGCACAGGGTTCTGGGTCCATTAGGTTGTGTTTAGCCATTTCCTTTGCCAATGCACCAAAGAGGGCAGAAGAACAGCTAAAGTCGCAGCCGGTGAGGCCGCGAAGTAGAGATGTGCCCAGTGTTTCCAGTGTTCCCAGGATACCTGCTATGGCATCCTGCCTTCGAAGGTCGATTTGGTCTGCCACAATCAGAAGGGGTATGTACACAGGGTGGCAGGAATACAAACCGATCAAGTCTCCTCGGAAAGGTAGTCCAAGAGTCGGGAGAGGCCCTTTGCTCTCTGTGACAGCTGTCTTGGTGATGGTCTGGAAGATGTCATCTCGACGAAAGACCACAGCCACGAATAACCATAGAACCAGCTCGCGGTTGCACTGCGACGGCAGTTGTTCTTTGAGGGCGTCGATCCACAGAGTCGAGAAGAATCTAACAGTATTGTAACAGCTGAAGTAGTCAACTAGGACCGCGATCTTGGCAAGCTGTTCCAGGTCAATAAGACGGGGAGTGTCTCCCGTTTTGGCATGGAAAATCTGCATCAAAATGAGGAGAGCGTCAGCGTCCCAGTCCCGTGTTCGGGCATGACGACGGCCATCTCGGGATTGCACCGAGGCCTCCGCCCATGAACCGCAGAGTTGGGCCTTGAAGTAGTGTGATGAGAGAATGAGATGTCGGGACGATACGATGAATTCAACGCGTGAGACCGTAGAAACTGGGCTTTGAAGCCGAGTTTGATCGTATTTGACATCGCAAGGCGAGTCTCGGCTTTCTGGTGTTTGCGGGTGTAACGAGCCATCGTTTGCAACGGGCGAGTCGGCAGCACTCAAGCTTCGACTAACTTCATCTTCTGCAAGCGACAATTCGTCTACACCGAGGCCGCTGATGGTCGCGACCCTTGGAGACTTAGACTCTTCTTGCCTCTTCTTTTTTCTCTTCTCCTTTTTGCTCAATTTCCTGAAGCTGCCTTCTGCTTTTGGTTCTGCCTTTAATGCCGAAATCGAATTCCACGAGACTGGTCTGAGTCTTGCGTGCCCGCCTCGAAAGCGTGTTCCAAGATGCGTCGGGTTGTTAGGCTGGCTGTACAAAATGATTAGCTACGCCGTTCAACCTTATCTCCGAGCACGGGTAGTGCCATTCGTACCATAGGTTAAGTTCCTGAAGCCCGGCGATGGTGCATTGATCCCACAGGGCAAAAGCTGGATTCGTATTTTCTAGGACAAGCACCACGTCCCCATCAGGATCGAGCGTGTGCGAGCGCTCCATAGGGTCGCGTTGCTCAAAGATAAGGTCGGTAGGCGCGGTGCGTAGAGGCGCAGTCATGGCAGATGCTGGTTCCCAGTTCGGCGATGCATTCGAGCGTGGAATGGATAGCCAGAAAGGTGTTGTTCTTAGATTTCATTAATGGCTCTGGACTGCCACATAACTCATCACGGCAAACGTGACGGGCAGGCCAGGCGTTGTGTCACTATGCGTATCTTCCCACGCAAGCTTCCCTTTCGCAATACTGTGCCGTACGCGCGCGCTTAGATGCAGGTCCCTCTAGCCAAGTTGCGCTGAGGCTGTGTCGGCATCCGTATGCTTCCCGGCCAATCGCGCACTCTCGCTATGCACTGCATGACATTCCGCTCGATGAGCTGGCAGTGCCGGGGGCATCGGCTACGTATATCGAGCTACTGTGTACAAACAGTAGTTCTCCAGCCTGCCATGTCTTGAAACCCCCGTGCTCCAGTGGCGCTAACCAAGGTGCCAATCCGTTTGTCAATCCAGCAAGCAAATCGAGACATGCATTTGGGCCGAAGCTGATTCGCCTGGGTGCCTTGAGGGGCGAATGATCGATGCTATCCTAAAGTCAGTGATCACCGACTCATTGGACGGTCCTTGGCTCCACGTCCAATGGGTACACTGATTGTTGCCCCGGACTGTTTATTTCGCTATGGTCTGGGCTCTCCAGAAAACTCAAATCAGATTAGCGTGAAGAGGGGCTTGCCCTTGAACCATTGATTGGGCAGTGTTTTTGCTGACTTCGGAATATCAAGTTTCCGACAACCGCGTCGCCGACCAAAGATGCAGAAGCCCGCGAATCCCCATCCGCTGACTGACGACCACTTACCATCTGCCATGACCGGATTATCAGAACAGATCAAGCGCAATCCCATTGGAAATGGGCTTGATGATGTTCGCAGCACTTTCAAGTCCCTATGCACCAGGGAAAAGACGCCATATTCTACAGATTCAGTAGATCAACTCGGCCAGGAAGGTACGAGCCCTGGCTCTCGCTGCTTAACCCCTCTAAATTATTCACAGATCTTCGGAACCTGACCCTCCCTCTCCTGGTTGCCTTGCAAAGCCACGTCCTTTCAATATCTCTACCATCGAAATCGGGCTGCGGCAGTATACAAAGTGATCTCCTCAGACTTATCTCGGCCGCAGTCTCCGACAGCTTCGACTTCAATCGCGTCAAACCACTTCTGAAAGCGGCTTGCTCTCATAAACTCGATGATGCCACCATCTGGGATCAAGCATATAGTGCCGTTACAGAAACCACGCCACCCCCCCGAAGGATAGCTTCCTCGCTTCAACAAACACCATGGCTGCGAAGCACGAGCAGTTTCACGAACTCATCCGAACACCGCCGATACGTTGACGATATACTGAAGGAGGAGCTAGGCACTATGTACGTGGGACTTCCCGGATTCCGAGATGCGTATTTTGGAAGATTGGACGGACTAGAAGCTGCATCCAAGGAGGTTTTCGATCAGTGCCTTGATGGCCGCGAGCCTGTATTTCAAAATGGCTGGAGGGAATGGCCTCGGGATCCGAACGAAAAAAGCGTGTTGGAGTGGCTTGCCGACATCGTAAAGACGCTGGCGCTACTTTCAAAAGCCCAGAAGTCCAATACGACACATCAGCGGAGCCTTTTAATACAGCCCAACACGCCGATGCATGGTTCGACGGCGGACCGCAGACTGGATGTTGGGTTTGTCGATGATTTAAAGGGACCTCCATACCACTGGAAGCAAATATTAGTACCCGGAGAACTAAAGAGTAATCCGTCTGCCGACACCGCCTCCAAAGCTTGGATCGACCTTGGGAGATATGCGAGGGAAGTGCTAGCCGCACAGGACACCCGACGCTTTGTGATGGGCTTCACGCTCTGTGGATCTCTCATGAGGGTGTGGGCCTTTGACCGGCTTGGAGCCCTCGCATCAGAGCAGTTTGACATCAACAAAGACGGCCTGCAGTTTGTGTCGGTGGTCCTTGGATTTCTGTGGATGGATGAGGAAGGCCTAGGGTTTGATCCAACGGTCATGGTGTCGGACAACGACCGATTTATCAAGATTCCGCGGAACGGTTCTACCGAGCAGATTGTCATTGATGGGGTCATCCTTCGGGCGCGTTGTGTGGCTGGCCGCGCTGTGACTTGCTGGAAAGCCCACCCCAAAGGACATCCAGAAACGCCGCTTGTCATCAAGGATTCATGGCAATATCCCGAGCGCGATGAGGAAGGCGATCTTCTGCGTGAGGTGACGGACAAAGGCATTGTAAATGTGGCCCGGTATTATCACCACGAAACGGTCCGGATTCGTGAGACAGAGGATGACATCTGGAACAACGTTCGACGTGGTCTTGATGTTACGGCAGCGACGAATTACCGGCCGGGACGACAGATACCACCAAGCAAGATGGTAAAAGATGACCCGCGGAAGGGCCGTCCCGGCAGCAGCAAGAAGCGGCCCTCCAGCCAAATCGACTCCGCCTTGCCCCCAAGCAAGCGGTCCTGCTCCATGTCTCCAACAAAGGTGCGAAGCACCCCACCCAATCGGGTTCATCGGCGCATCATTCTCCGGGATTACGGCAAACCCATCTACGAGGCGAGCTCTCGATCAGCATTGCTTGCTGCCCTGGTATGCTGCATTGACGCTCACGAGTCTTTGTCCAAGGCAGGCATTCTCCATCGAGACATATCCATCAACAATCTCATGATCAATGAGGATAGTCGCAACCCATCCTGGCCTGCCTTCTTGATTGATCTTGACCTGGCCATTCGAGAGCCAAGAGAAGGATCCTCTGGTGCAAAGGGAAAGACTGGTACGCGGGCGTTTATGGCAATCGGGGCGCTGCTCGGCGAGCAGCATTCGTTCATGCACGACCTGGAGTCGTTTTTCTGGGTGCTTTTCTGGATATGCATTCATTATGATGCAGATGGCAAAGATGTTGGCCCGACCGGGTTTGATAGGTGGAACTACGAGAGCGATGACACGTTGGCTGAGCTCAAGATGGGTGTAGTTGCTGACGAGCAATACTTTCATCAAAAGATTACGGAGAGCTTCACTACACAATACCAGCCACTAGTACCCTGGGTCAAGAAGCTACGAAGGGAAGTATTTCCTAGTGGGCGTAAATGGAACAGTTCAGAGCCTGGGCTCTATTCCTCCATGAGGCAGGTTCTTGACGATGCACGGAAGGATCCAGAAGTGCTAGCAAACACGTAATGTCATATGAGACTCTACACTGTAGTCAAATAAGTATAGCACGTTCAGCTAAGCTACGAAATATCGTTCTTGTTGCCTTTCCAACAACTGCCGTCCGCATCGCCAGAAATCGATAAGACGCAGATCGTCAATCAAAAGCTTGATACCCCCAGTGGCCTGTTCACCCTTTGAACAGTCGGTGGATCATTTGCGGTCTTGACAGACGATCATTTCGGATATGGGCGAAGACGACCATCCAGAGGACGCATTGAAGCAAGCAAAACCCCTTTGACAATCAATCATACCTCTGATGTCCATCCTCAGGCGAAGGCTCGCGGTATCAGCAAGAGGGCAGCGAGGGTGCACATAACCTCGACTGACGCCGAGGCCAACGGTATCATTTCATGGTAACCTTGACCGAACTCGTGTTCATAACTAGAGGAGGGCAGATCTAGGCAGGTAATTATCTGTAGTAATAGATTAGCACAGATGGGCTTAGAGGAGGCATTCGACAAGGCTGCAATTTGGACGGAGAGCACGGTCGTGGGAGGTTGCAAAGCGAGGCATTCTCACCTCGGGTAAATCTGACCAGTCTCAGAGAAGAAGTTCGTCTGTAACTGGTCTCGGTGCATGCTAACCGAGTGGATGATACAGAAGCCGGGTATTTTTGACCATATTTTGTTTCGATCCTCTAGTGTGTTGTGTACGCTTTTCGCCGGCATCAGCATATTGCGCGGCTGCAATGTAATTACGACAGCTATTATCTAGAAACTATTGACGTCTTTGTACATCATAAAATGCGCCTTTGGGTAAACACTCCGCCGTACTACGAGGTTACCAACCGTCTTCATCCTCTTATCCCAACCAAGCAACAGCAAGGCAGGTGGGGTTCCGGGTTAAGGGTGGACTCGCGTCAATGCTTGCTGATCCCATGTCCCGGTCGACCGTTCCTTCGCCAATACCTCTTTGCCCGCCGTTTAGATCTGTGTTGCCTTGTAGCAGAGGACGAATTTGATTAGCCGGTGTGTGTGCTCTTCCCACCAGGAGCGGATACAATCTCTAGGTATAAGAGCCACGTTCTCGCACAACTGGGTCGTCGACTGACTCCTACTTCACCTCACTTTTCCCCTTCTTAAGACCTACTTATCCGCCATTTTGAATCATTCCTCTGCATCACAGGCTCTCAAATGTCTTACGTCAGATGGTCCAGCATCCCGACATACGAAACCCTATTCGAAGACCTTGGCTACACTACGCCTGGCGAAAGGAAGAAGATCAAAGCGAAGGTCAGAAAATTCAGAAACACGTATTCAGCCGCCAGAAGTCTCGAATGCAAAGGCTTCACCAACTCGCACTTGGCCGAACACCAGAAGGAACTTGGTGACATTGTCGATGCCTTTCTGAATAAACACGCAGAACAGCTGTGGCCGTCCGACGAACATGCATCTCAGCATAACAGACTACAGTACCCTAAAAACGAGACTGAGTGGGTCCATACCATAGGAATCTAGTCGGACAGGAATTAACATCGGTGTGTTTCAGGATTAGAAAAGTGATCTTCAAAGTATTTTGTCGCCAGACTTACTGGGCAGGGAAATACTCGAAGAAGCGAGAAAGGCAGACAACGAAGGCGATGGACAACCAAGACTCCGAAGACTTCGAAGACGACGATCCAAATCCGGAAGACACAGACCGTACGGTGAAGGACGTCTCCAGCCACGTTGTAGGCGGGCACCTTGAGACCATACATGTTGCGCCTGTAACCACCGCGACAATCCTGCATACACCATGCATGGAAACATCGATACACAGATCTACGAAACGACGCGCACCCCCTGTCCGCGATGCTCCACCTGCAAAACGAAATCGACGACGTCTTACAGCGTACATGAGCCGTAGGTCATTCCAGGACGATAATACCAACACCTGCCACGAGCAGGAGAATACCGTGGTAGCCGAGTGTCCGGCTCGAAGCTCATATGATCAGCCGTACGACAACGCAGACTCGGCCGACGGCCCCTCAATGTCAGCGAGTGAAGCTCGTGCCGGAACTAATTCCACTTGCTCAGTCGAATCTAGTATTGCCGACGAAGCCGAGCCCGTCCCAGATTCTCGAGCCTCGAAAGCAACCGCTGGACAGCAGTCGCCAGTTGGAGAAGATACTACCCGTGCTGTGTCCACGGACCAAGCTCTCGCAGAAACGGGCCCAATCGAGAGGACGACTGCGACCACTCAAGAAGAGTCGATCGCAGAAGCACAGGCAGCGAGAAGCTATGATCCGGTCTTACCTGTCTCACATAGGTTGATCCTCGGCGGCGAGGGAACGCGAATTTGGTCCGGTATGAACAAGACAGTTCAGTCTGCACCAGAGGTTGAGTTCACCTACGGCATTACCATCCAGTACCCAGTGCACCTTAGGATACCGTGGACCCCCAGGGGTCACCTTGCTTTCAAAACCCTTACCGACATGGAGACTGAACTCAAGACAGTGCTGGAGGAAGGCTTGACCCGAACGACAGGCAAACAGGACTTCACTGACCTGAAGGACTTCCGGATTGAGTCGTGGCGTTTCGATATAAGTGGTCATGGCGCAATTTTAGATTTCGACGTCAAGGGTGGGATAGAAAAACAGTTCGACCACATGAAGAGAAAGGCAAAGCAGGAGATGCAACTAGCGATTCAGAGGTCACCGGAGTCGAGACCGTCGTTCAATATCGAGATTCAGATAGTCACCAGCCGAGATTCGGGGATCAGGCAGACGAGCGGCCGCAGCTTTGATTGGTAGCCTTTTATGTGTTAAATCGGATGTGTTTCCTTAGATGGAGAATCTTATCTTTCCTGAGACGAAGGTGGCCCGTTACAGTAGAGTTAACCTACTTTGTTGTAGGAGTTGCAAGGAGCAACAATCGGATAACAGAGGAAATTACACGTTCTGAAGAACGTCTTTATATCAACGTTGAAGATTTGGCCCGGGCTTCCATAAGCCAAAGCGTCGTCAGTCCACAAAATCCGCTCACGTAAAGTCAGCAAGGTGCTCTGGAGGCTTTTGATCTCGTTCCACCATGGAAGGTAGTCCTGACTGCCCCCGTAGTTTCCTATATGTATGGGTTCCATGTCGACTTGTTCAAGTTTCCACTTCTGTAGGGTAAGGCACATGGCCTGGAAGAAGTCGGAGGAATCATGATATCTGTCAGTAGATGTGGATGTCCTGCGTTGACCTGAAGAAATGCCGAGGAGCTTTGGGCGTCCCGAGAGAGGTGTGGTCATTGAGTCCGAAGCTCTCCGAATTTATATCTGGCTGGAGCTCTGCAGCTGGGAATGTCGTTTTGAAGGCTTTCGGCTTCTTGGTTGAGCATCTATACTAATTCAAACTTGCCTGAAAAAGTCTAGGTCGATCCCAAATGATGGCGCCTTACAGAAAAGTCTCCAAACCTCCACTTTCATAGACGCCTCTGCGTGGAATTTCTGAGGTTTCGAGCGGCCGACAAGACCTGTCTATACACCAGCAGGGTTATCAGATCAGCAGTCAAAGAACGACCTCCAGTGACACCAGGGGAATTTGCGAGCAGCCGGCTTCCGTTCAGCCACTCTCTCCTGCCCAGCAACAATCCAGATTCCCCATTGTTTATGGATTGGGACGTTTGGGGTGCAAGGTGGTTATGGCCGGACAACAACGTGATTACGGGTCAAGCGTCTTACATAAGCTTTCCGGAATGTAAAGACCCCACACTCTATCGCCAAACTGAATTCGAACTCGAGAAAAGCCAGTGCATTTCTGCCCGACGGCGGCTGGTGATGATCGAATAAAGATTTGGTCCTTCAAGGCCCTTCCGTCATCCACTAGCATGTACTTCTTCGCAAAACCAGCAAGAATCGCGAGCGACCGCGAGATGGGAACGAGGCGGTGGAAGCAGCACATCATATGTCAAGGCTCACCGAGAGTTCATCTATTGTAAAGCCCGATAGGATGAAGCACTATAATTATGGGGATTCTCCAGCAGGCTGACTAGCTGCTGAGCGCCATCACATCCGGGGAGATGAGTACCAGCGGTTTAGAGAATAAGATCGGGGGGCTCTTGGTACGATTTGATTATTAGATGTGAGGAAGTGGTGTGTTATCTGTTTGGCTTGCGAACGATGAAAGCAAGCAACGCAGGATAATCTTCCAAGAAAGAGTATGTTGTTTGTTTGTTACTTTGCCACCGATCTCGCTTCACATGATATGGAGTGTAACAACTGAGATGCTGAGATGGATTGAGTGAATTGAGTCGACGTTGTTGTACACGGTTGAAAGAAATATCTCTTAGTCCCAGATTAAGCCAGGGTAATTCCAGAAGAACGCAATTGCCGAGCACGTGAAAAGAATGTAGGCTGATGCAAGTGTGTGAAGACCGATTGAGTTGGATGGAACTGAAGGCAGGAAAGCAATTGGATTGCCTAGTCACCTTGAAGAGTAGTATGAACCTTGAACAGTCTCATTTCATAAATCTGCTTTCTCGACCCGGCTCTGATCTTGCGCTGATGATTCTTCGAGTGCAATGCTTCGAGTGCACTGTCCTCTCGATTTTGTGTCACGACGATTGAATCGTAGTCGACTTGCCAGGATCGGAACCTGTGAGGTAGTTCAGAGCCATTTCTGCGGCGTCCTCCCTTGCATTGTTCAAGTTCTTCCCGTCGTACCAGAACCGGGCCGAGAGCGTGCGCCCGTGGACGGTCACCCGGCTAGACCAAGCCGTGCGTCCTCCTGCGAAAGAGTCAGTACCGCTCAAATAGCCAGCAGCGTATGCTTACCTCGCCGATCGGAGACGATTTGGAACACAGGTGGCATGATGTTGGCCTCCTGGCAGGTATCTATTCGCTGTTCAGACCCGGCGGCGCGGGACAGAGAAATCACTCGTACCTTCAAGGCGCTTTTGCCAGGTTCCCGCCTGAGTGCTGTAGGGGAGGGCAGACATGGCATCAAAGGAAGGAGCGTTGACTATTCGATACACTGCACATTACATCGTGCAGGCCGTACGCTCGAATACTAATACCAGTGACGGGCTCGTACAAAAGACAGCACCAAGGGATACGTCGGGGACCTACGGAGTGATGGCCTGCGCTTTCGGCGCGCGACCCACACTCCGGTGAGCATGACGTCCCAGGACTTTCCTGGCGCGGCGGGGTCAGACGGCCCCACGCCGGTGGTGCGGAAGCCGGGCCAGCGCCGCGGCCGGAACCTGGTCCCTGCGTCTGGGTGAAGGGGCGTTACGCGAGGGCGATTGGGGCGTGTGCTACTTGCCCTCCATTCTCCGTCGTTCGCAGACAGCGACGGAGTAGGGGCGTGTGCTGGTTAGCCCAGACGTGGCGGCCGCTGACGTCCCCTGCATCACCGAGCACGGTGCATGTACACTACGCAGACACCCGCTCCCTGAAGGAACGCTACGGGATGAACGGATCTGGATCCGTGTGCAGCACCCCAGTCGAAGGGCTGCAGCAAGCGGACGCTCTGACACGGGCGCATTGGCCTGTATGCCACATTCGATAAGGTTAGCGTGTAGTCGCGTGGCATCCAGTCGTCTGATGATTGGGCCCACCAGCAACGGCTACGCCTGTTTTGACTACAGCGAAGTCGAGTCAATAACGGCACTGACGATGGGTTATTGCGATGCGCAGCGACACCTCGACGTGCTGTCGTCCTGGCCGCTGGAGGAGAATCCCAGCTTCTACCAGAGGCGGCGCTTCCGTAACACAATTTTGCAGACTCAACGGTAACTCTGCTCGAAGGAGGCGATCAAGACACCTGCAGCTGAAGTGGGTTCAGGACTGTGACCAAACGCCCAGCGAGACCATTTAATGTAGCCGAGTTATTGCGCTACAGGGTGTATCTTTGCGAACCGCAGGTACCCGGACGAAGGGCCAACTTCTCAAGCGCAGCTGCCCTGTGGCCCCGAGGCTGCGGCAGTCGACGTGGACATGGCAAACATGCGTTCCATTGACCGCTGTGCTTGAGTGCCCACACCGGTCAAAACGGGAAGCAACTGGCAGATTGTTTATTTGTTTGCGACTGGTATTTGAACAAGGGTATGAGTTCGTATTGGCGCATCCACCGACGGGTTGTGGCCGTTCACAGGGCCCATTGTGATTGGTCGCTCATTGCCCACCATCCACGGAGGCTGAAGACCTAGCGGGGCGTGGGAACGAAGCCAATGCTTGCTCAGGAAGAAAGTCAGGCACGCCCCCTTTTACTGGGTAATGTACCCATGTTCGCGGTTGGCAGGCATTCGGACCGGGGAGGCGTGCCCATACCCCTGCTCTTCGATTCACTGCGAGAGATCCTGTGGATGTGCTCTCTCCATCCTTGTCGCCGCATGGTGCAGGGGCATGGGACACCCGACGCCATCTCGCCAACAGAGTCTCGTCTGTGTACCTCCTCGAGTCGTGTGAAAGTCATCCCTTGGCCGTGTACCAGCGCGCTGGGGTCCCCATGCGGAGATATGAGCAACTTGGCTGGGTGTGCCTCGTCTGCATTGGGCAGTCAGGTCCGTGAGGGTGGGTATCTGGAGGTGTTTGAAGAATCATCCCTAGCCATCAAGGGCGAGCATGCCTTGACCGTCGGAAGGTCGACGCTCTCCGGCGGCTGCAGGCGCCCACCCTGCGTGAGGGTACAAGGTTGGATTCAGGCAGCCAATTACAGCACCACACACGCGCGAACGATGTCCCCGGAAGGCGACGAATAGCGAAGTTGCATTTTTTGAAGGCCTCCTAGTTCTCGAGCGATGGGCACAGCGCAGGCGAAACGCTGTGCACGCACCGGTCACGCTGCTCTCTCTGCTGACGGTTTGATCGTTCGTTGCCCCCGGGCTTGTCCTCATGTCCCAAGCAGCCTCACAGGTAGTTGATGTGGAATGGCTGGTGACTACCAGGTTTTTGTCACCACATCCAATTCACATTGGCCTGGCATACGCGGTAGTTCTTGATCATCGCATCGCTGGCGGCATTCAGCTTTCTTCAGCTTTGGTATCAATCTCGGGACTCTACATTAAGAGAGTCGTCGCGCCAAAAGGCCCCTTGGGACCTTCCCTTGAAAATTCACCATGCCATCAGGCTGAACGGTAGGCTCACGAACCAGCTTCAGCATCACCTATCGTTTGCGTAGGTGTCCGAACGGGGCACCCGATTCTCCCAACAGAAAGGTCTTGACGCTCGGGCAACGGAAGCACGCTTCGACGTCATGGCATCTACCGATTTTACGTTCTTCTATGGTCTCAAACAACAAGGTTCGTGAGCGTGACGTTATAGACACCTCGCACAAGGCTCACATCTCTAGATTCGTACGAACGCTGTGCCCGTGAGGTGGCAAAAGACGTACAGGACCACGTGAATATGAAAGACAAGCCCAGAAGCTTGCTAAAGCCACAGAGCGCCGGCCACGATGGGTACAACCCCACCGATTCTGATGATCTCAGCGCAATAAAGATATTAACGCAAATGAAGAACGACGACGTTAGATTACCGACGACGTTCGACGTCGACTATGGTACTCTGGGCTCGCCACTTGCCGGCGAAAGGTGGAATCCCTCAGGCCTTGCGCCATCACCAGACCGCCATTACGAGCTTCTGCAGATGTCGCAGAATCAATTGGCAGACTTGCCGAGCTCAGAGCTCGAGACAAAGAGTGTGAACGGAAACGGAGCGATGGGGCCGGTCGACGATTTGGAAGTCCCACACAAGACGCCGTCGCCCAGTCTTGGGCGCATTATTTACAAAGAAGCTGAGACGTCAGAAGGGCTACCGATCATCCCGGACCCGATCGGCACTGACGATACTGACAGAACCCGGAAAAAGGCTCATATGCTGGACGGCAAAATAGAGCCATCCCAACTGCTGCGCGGCCACTTGGCGTGTATTCAACATAAATTCAAAAAGTTGGAGCAGAAAAATACTACATTGAAAAAGGAAAACGCCAGCTTAGACAGACGTAAGGATCGTTTGGAAAGCAAAGTGGACCGTTTAAGAAGGCGGGTAGAATGCTTGAAACGCCGCAAAGCTTCACTTGAAAGTGAAGTATCGGTGTTACAAAGAGAGAGAGGGGGGTGGTGCTTTGAACAAGAGGGATCTTTTGATAGTTGCAGTGACTGATGGAGAATCGTCTTTGCGGGGCTATGTTGAGGGAGCAATGGTTTCGAATCCAGGTAGCGAACAAGATCGGACTCCACGCCAGCCGCAGTATTCCAGGATGGAAGTCGACTCCCAGAGCGGGGACTAGCTTGTGGGCTGTGTCTGGTGACCACCGACTCATTAGCAGCCAGATTGCATGATGGGGTGTCCCTGACCTATTCGTCGTTCGGGCGAGCACTCCACGAAGCACACCTCTCAAATGTCATGCCATTTGGCTCTGGGAACCACAGTCTTTGTCAGCGGTCTGCATCACATACGAGACGGATCACCTAAAAGGGTCCTACTTGTCCGAACATAGAAACAGACCGCTGGAGTAAGCTCTGGCAAGAGGTCCATTTGAGAGAAGAAGTGGCGTTGTTCTTATGTCTCCATGGCCGCAAAGGGAGTGGTGATACTTCTCGTCCCGAACTCATGTCTGATGACGACCATCATCGTCCCTATTGTATTTGTTCGAATGCTCCGCCAGATGTGTCGGTGTGGGAAGTGCCCCATGTGTTTCTGGCATCAATTGAACTACAAGACAATTTTGATCATTGGATGGTACTGCTCTCAACATTCGACATTGACAAAACCGAAGTTGCAGTTAGTTCCGTTGTCGACCTAGTGGCCAAGGTGACGGGAGCGACCCAACACTTCACTGGTGGATGGAGCCACGACGGCAGTGATGCCGTGGATGGGACGAAAAGGGACGGGCGCCATGTCGGAGAAGTTTGACAAGAACAGCATCGACTCTACAGACCACGACAAGCTTCAGCCATCGGTAAAGTGAGGTTCGGAGAAGGCATATCGACATCAAAAGCAAGGCAATGTAGTCGGACACAGCTTCTGGTCATGCGAAGCTTGGACTTGGCGGTCGTGACAATGCAGATACTTGACCAAGACAACCCTCCCTTTCATCGTACTGCCCATCTCGTCGTCCAGGATTAGGCGTCAAACGATTCGATCTGCGCGCTCCTGGCAAGGGGATTAAGTGCTAAGATTTCAGCATTCCCTGCACCGAGGTTAGAGGTCTCGTCCACGCGTGGCGGTGTGGGTGTCCTGATCCGAGCACAACTGTAGTCGAAGTCACTCGCAGAGGCAGGGACATGCAGCGATGGGGTTGGCTACCCTCCATCAGGCGGGCGGCCGCGCTGGCCAAGAACCCCCGCTCAACTACGGTGGGCGATCGTGAGCTGGACCTCAAGCACGTCGGATCCACCGTGCCTTTGCAGGCACCCTTGTAGCGTGTAGTGTAGACACTCCACTTGGCTGCACCTCAAGTTCGTTCTCATCGGGGCACCCAGGCCGACCCTGCGGCGTCGATATAGCAACACATAGGTGTATGACCGTGAAGTGAATACGCGCGAGCTGCTGCTCAAAGATGGCCTCCCCCGGCAAACAGTTGAGGGGCGACGCCCACGGGCCTCCCACCAAGACCACATTCTCACGTTCCATTCTGCTGCTGCCTGGACAGCTTGATACGCCCCCTGTTCTCCATGTCATGAATGCAAACCTATCAAATACATTTGGCGCGTCTCAAGACAGGCTTTCTCCTGCTCTGCCTTACCGCAGCCATGATGTGCTCGTCCAAACATTTCCAGGGGTGGAACGAACTCTTATGCCCAAGATCACGACACATTAAATCTAGAGGCTCGCCCCATCGAAGCCATGCCATGTCTCCGGCCAACATCACCCACTACCTATCTACGCTTGACCTACGCCTTAGTACAAAGCCCTCGACTGCAAAGAGGAACGTTTTCTACTTGATCAACTGATTTTGGCCGATGACAATGACACTATCCATCGATCCAATCGTCCAAAATGACGGCGGACCGTCTGGAGTAGTAGAAACCCGCTCCAACCTCATCGGACGTAGGAGCGGGGCTGAAAACTCGCCGCTGCTTGTATCATACAACAATCGCGATCCCAACGAGACGTTCAACGCCCGCAACCACTCCATCTATGTCACGGCCAAGTATCTATCTGGCGTCGCCGTCAAGTGCTTGTGTCAAACCTGGCACGTCACGAAGGCGTCGCTCTGCAGCTGTGAGTGACCCATTTGCCCACGGTTTGGCGAGGCCTCCGACAATGCACTCTCATTCTCACAAGTCACTTGTGCTGCAGCTAAACTCAATCTCCTTCTGCCCATGCTGCCCCTTTCTGGCGTCGCCAGATCACTCCATTGGGAGCCGACTGCCGTATTCGCCATCAACTTCCTTGCCATCATTCCTCTTGCCGCAGTTCTCTCGTTCGCGACCGAGCAAGTATCGGTAAGGTGCGGTCAGGTGCTGGGCGCGTTACTCGACGCTACGTTCGGAAACGCGGTCGAAGTTGTCATAGGTATCGTTGCTCTAAGGAAGGGCCATATCGACGTTGTCCAGATGTCCATGCTTGGGTCTATTCTCTACGATTTGCTTTCGGTCACGGGGATGTGCTTCTTTCTCGGAGGCATCGTCAACATGCGCCACCAAATCACCGGCCAAGGTACCGAACAGACGTTTGCCACTGGAAGGGCGCAGATATTCTGCTCCCTCATCGCTCTTTCCTTGACGTCTCTTCTGATTCCTACAGTGGTAAGTGCTTCCCCGGTACTTTCGCTGCTGCGCAATGTGACTAACACCGGCTGGCAGCTCTCTGCTGTGTTGGGGAACGACGACAGTTTCGAGAAGGAGCGCAGCATTCTAGTCCTATCCCGCGGAACAGCTTTCATTATCCTGTCTCTTTACGTCCTCTATTTGGTGTTCCAGCTGCGAACCCACCCTAGCTTGTTCGAACCCGAGACTGAGTCACCTGATACAGGGAACCCCGTACTAAGCCCTACGTCCGCTGTCGCCGTGCTGGGCGTTACCACCGCTCTAGTGGCATTTTGTGCCGACAACCTCGTGGAGAGCATCGGGCCAGTCGTGGAGGCCGCCGTTCTCAGTAAGGCCTTCATCGGGCTTATTGTGGTTCCCTTCGTCGGCAACGTAGCCAAACACGCCATGGCCGTTGTAATGGCCACTCAAGACAAGATGGACGTCGCCTTAGGCATTGCCATGGGGTCCAGCATCCAGATTGCGCTTGTCGTCACGCCTTTCTTGATCATCATCGCATGGGTCTTCGGTGAACCGATGACTCTGCAATTCGGACTCCTTCCAGCCATCATCTTCCTGTTTTCTGTGTTAGTGATCGCGTACACTGTGCAGGACGGCAGGTCCAACTACTTAGAAGGCGCTATGCTACTCGGTCTGTACCTTCTCATCTCCATAGCCCTCTATGTTGGCCCTGCCACGTAGTTTTCTATGCCGGCATGTACTATCATCTGCTTGCTGGCGGATCCCGCCCGGTATAATGGACAAGGCTCATGGGCCAAGAGATAACCTCGCAAGCTTATTATGAGACTAGTAGGGACGAGGCGTGCCGTTCATGCTTGGTATCAGTCGGCGGCTTGCGGTCAGAAAGAGTCTGTTGACGGCCCGTTATGTGCCCGGTGCTTCAGTAGCTGGCGTCGCTAGTGAGTAGATTTAAATGGAAACCGACCCTTGACAGTCCTCGACACCCTCCACGACGGCGCCTTATCTCTGCACCTCTCTCGCTTCCAGTTAGGAGGTTGATTGACCACCGACGACTCCAAGACTCGAAGGGTCAGTGATTCAGTACTGACTGCGAACCTCACTTCATTTATGTCCCTTGTGGTCTCTCTGGCAAAGATGAAGTAGGCTATAAGCGTCTTGCATGGATTCAAGATGACGCCCTTACGCCGTCGGGTTCCCGGTCCCCAGTAATAGAACAACTGTCCTAAGGCTACTTCTGAGTGTTCTTGACCGCACCTAGGTCGACCTGCCCCCTCGATTTCCGATCACGCCGCCGTGCCGAGCTCGAAAAGCCTTGTTTCACTGCAAGAACGCAAGTCCCAATCTTTGGTGGGGTGGCGCACCTGAGCCACATGGAGGGGGTGGCGTTGAGTACTAGCCAATGAACGCTGAATATAATCCATCCTTTCCAAAAGCCTGTGAGGACTCAACCTGACAACAACTGTGTGCTCGCCGACGACGAGGAATCGATCTGGCCTGAGTAGAATGGTAACATCTTATCTGCAACATCCAGACAATTGTCGGGTGTGAGACTTCGGCCTTGGCCGGCACACCTGCGTCCCACTCGAAACGTCAATCAAGCTACAAGAACGCCCAATATGGTTCCGATCCTGATGATGCAGGTCTTTCGCCCAAGTAGGGTTTGCCTCCATCCTCTTTTCTTCAGGTCAGTCGTGCAGCCGGCGTTGTTCACATGTCGACTAGATTTCGGTTATTGAGCCGAGCTTGGTTTCTTTTCGCTCACTGAAAACGATTTCAGGGGATAGCGACCATTGATGCCTCAAACATCCGGTCTGTGGATTTGTTGAACCATTGGTGAACGTTCCAAAATGACCCTATACTTCCTGTCACTGTTTGAGGGGACGGCCAATCAATTTGGCTCTCTTCAAGCGGTTGCTAAACAAGTTGAAATGTCTCCAGAATTATGGAAGTTCCCCCCCATGAGAGGTGTTTTCTTTCGAGCCCCTGGGGATATTCGTAAGGAGTTCCTTCCAGCGATGCTTGGTCGCCTTTGTCCCACCAGAAAGCGCCACCTCTGTATTTTCATCTCACGTTTCCAACCGAGTCTTGACACCTGTGATATGGAGTACGAAAGTGTGCTAAGAAACGTACCCGAAGCAGTGCGCAAGGGCAAAGGATGCGCGCGCGTATCCATATTAGAACGCTGGCGAGGTTTCAATCGTTCGCCGATTTAGGCACGGTCTCGAAGAAGCGAACCGACAGCAACGCAAAACAGCGAGACGATACCGTTAATTCTCAGTGGCGAAAGGGCACACACGAAGTCGAGGGCGGGCTCGGCTAGTAGACAGGTACAGGAAAGTCGCTAGTATCGCCAATGGAAGCAGATGAACATGAAAGATCGCCTGTCTTGTACGCTGCAATGGCTGCCTGAATTAGTGAACGGCTGGCTCACGGCTAAACCCCGCCCAAATTCCCAGCCTCACAGCCATCAGCACCTCAACCAGCCCGATCAATCCATATACAGCTAGCAAAAGACTGTGGTTTCAGTGCCGATGATGTACCACTTCGTCTATCTGGTTTCATTGGCTCACCCTTCAAAGTCAGGACGTCCTTCATGGATACACTCTTGTTGCCAAAGGCTTTGAGACGTTGGGCCTGGCTCGCCCCCGCCATGAGAATGAGGTATACAATCCACTTCGCCCGATTCAGGGAGAACACCTTTTCGTCTGATTGGGACGGAAAAATCTAATTCTGTCATTATACTACGACAGTGGCGTATACAAGCATGTCTTGTTCCCCAGTTGGACTGGAACGCCTCTGTTCGACCCCACTAAGAAAGCAGTCAACACGGGCATTGACGCAGTTGCCCAGGCGCATAAGAAAGTCACTTAATTGAGTGTTCTTCATGGCGATGCAGAGCCACGCAACATGCTACGCAACAACAGCGTGGGGGGTGGAGGTATTGTGGTGGTGAACTTCGAGCGGACGGATATCAGCCGCCGCTCACCTCTTGGTTCACTCAGTTTGAACCTCCAGAAAAAGAGGAAGCAGAGGAAAATCGACTTGATCCCAGAATCAGGGGTACTAGGAGTTTGGGAAAGAACAAGGCTCAGTGGTGCCACATATCGAGATATGTTGAAGCTTTACAGTAGAAGCACGCTGTCAAGTTGGCCAGTGAGATGTGAGAGATACTGCATGGCGGCTCCAAAGAACTCGTCCTTCTCAACTTGCATGTCTTGCAATGTTCGGGATAGTGATAACAAGACAAAGTACGACACATTGAAAGGACAAGTATATGGAGAAGAAGTGGTATACTAGTCGTGGTAAACAACCGGGGGCCGCCTATGTCAGCTCTTCCCGACTGACTATTTTTTATCACACGAAAAAAGAGCGGGGGACAGCCGGGGAGATCAATGGGAGGGGCAGGGCCATGTCCTCAGGACCCAGCCGCGATAGACCTGTATCAACACGGGACGCTGTCGTCCAAGATGGCGACACTGACCGATTGTCCTTCACCACTGCGGTTGTTATCGTGCTCTAGAGGTGCGTTCGACATCACGGTTTCTGAATTTGTTTCGTATTGAATGGCCTTTCGTAACGGATCTATTCTATCAAGATTGAAAGGACGACGAGTTGCCACTTGTTCAAGACGATTTCAATAACTTTTCCACCTGCGCTGTACCATATTTGTCTGTGATGCGTCGATCGATTTGGACTTGGGGATGGCTAGCTTTCTTTATTATCGTCACCTTTGTCTCGGCAGCTTTTGTTGAAGTCGAGTCGCTGGCAGCGAGGGCGTAACTGAATTGGCGAGCGATCGAATTTTGATGACGTTGTGGGTTGTAGGGAGAGGCAGGAGCTTCCTTCTGTCCAGAGCCGGCGATCTTCTTAAAATGACATCTATCCAACGACAGCCCGGCATCCGTGTTTTGCTAGGATGGACTAGGCGGCCGGGCACGGAGAGTCTAAATGACGGAAGCGAAGACTTGCGCGACAAGCCGTGCAGCGTATTTCCGTCGGCCATAATATCCTGGCTGGGGATGTACGCATTTACTCTGAGCAATGATAAGTGAGAGGGGCATTGGCTTTGGAGTAGAAGTCCGAGTCGCATAAATACAAAAAGGGATTTAAAGGCCGGGAATTCAAATAAGCGACGTAATGGATCCGACTATTTCTCAGTCAAATTGGCTCGACGAAGGGCAACGGTTCACTTACATGACGAACGCTGGGAATGCCATCATCAGAGCAACCTGATAGTCTTGATTGTAACCTGGCTCCGGAAGCATGCGGCGTGAATTCTTCATAGCTTGAAGCATCGAGTCACCAAAACCATCTACAAGATGGAGGGGCACACAATAGTCTTCCTTCAAACCATTGTAAGCCAATCCGCTCGGGGTAAATCGTTGGAATACCACCCAATGGATCATTCTACATCCAGACTCGAATTCTGGATGCAGTGCGGCGCCCTCTTCGGAGGCTATATCGGCTGCCAAGTGACCGATGGTTCGTGATAAGAAGGGTTTCGAGTGGTCAACCGCTTGCGGTCCTGGGACGGGTTGATATCCTTGGTCTGGGCGTTTTGGGCCGACTTCGCTTTTGGATTGGTTTGCTTCCACACCAAAAGTCATGGATCTTGTGTGTAAAGGAGCGTCCCTTCCGGAGGCTGCAACAGATACGAGTTGATCATTGGACCGTGGCAAGAGTGCCCTGAAGCGACCGGTAGTCCGTGACCTTACGGGGCCTCTATGTTGTCTTCGATAAGAGCATTTAATCCTTCGATTTTGGCAGCGTTGGCATGGCGATCCCGAGCTGCATCTCGTCTTGGACGTAAAACATTGATCGCATATCTATGGAGAATGAATAAGCTTTATTGCTAGTCTAACTCGAGTCCTTACTTTCTTAAGACCGTGAAGGGATAACAAAGCAGATCAGAGAGTCCTTAAGACCTCGACTCACTTTTACGATTCGTGGTTCGTCTGCAGATACGCATTCTTTGCATAGCTGACCTCCTTCGTAGGCCGGTTTCTGTTTCCAGCAGCGCTGGCAAGTCCTGGCAGATCATGAGATTGTACTTATAGAGAGCTGCGAGCTTACTGACATGGTAGAGTTCGCCTTCGTATCGAGAAGCCTGTGGCTTGTACGACTTCCAGCAAAGTCCCGAGGCAAGGAAAACGCTGCTTATTTATATTAAGGGCGTCGAGGCTCCGACCAATCAGAGAGGAATAGGTGCTGGTAGTAACGAGGCACTCAGTCCAAAGACCCCGGGATTCAGGTACACTGTCGTCTGCAAGGCACATGCTTAGGCCCTGAATCCTGGGTTTCTCTTAGTTTGGTACGATGACGCAGATAACAGTATCCGTGATACATTCCGGACTCTCAACGCTAGTGGTATAATGTAAGTTTCACGTTGAATGAGTCCAGCAGTCTGAGGATGCTGGCCAGTCTGGCCTTGAATGTTGTCCCTCAAACCCTTAGGTGCTTTTCATATCGCTCCAACCATGGGTACTCGCGGCCAAGTTTCTGACACCGGCATGCTCGTCGCCGCTGTATCTCCCAGCCTTCTTCCCATTTTCACCCTAGTCTACCTCCAGAAACGAAATTAAGACTTCCTGCCAAGTAGATGGTTTTGATGGGCGGTTACTCGGCCCATAAACACCCCTGCCGGAGCTTCTGGAGCTAATGCTGCTACAAGGTAGGCCAGCAAGCCACCATGACCCCCGTCTTGCTCGCAATACGTACATATACGCATTACCCGACTCACCGACCTAAGCCATCCAGGACTTTAGGAAACTTACCTTGAAGTCTGTTAGCAAGCAAGGAACTTACACATCAGCCAGAATTGTCGTTCGTGGCATTCGCATCCTACCCCTGGGTGTGCCCGGCAGGTCTTGATGCCAATCCGCCCGCCAAGCGAGACCTGCGGTATTCCCACTCAGTAGCGCCCGAAAACTCGATAGTGTGCCGCTGGCCATGCAAGCATCCCAACGTCCGCGCGTCCCGGGTATCTGTGTATGTACCAGTGCTTGCTTTCTTAAGACAGTCACTGTCTAGCGACATGCAAGCGACACAGCCAAAGCTCATTACCGAGACTTCACGGATTTGCGTCGTTCTGGACCTGCTCTTCGCCGATTCGGTTACCGAGACATACGGAGACCACAAAGATCCTGACATACTCAAAATCCACAGATGACTCATTGCATTTGAGCTAGATGTTTTGGAAAAATATGACTCTTAATTGCAGTTGCGAAATCCGCGCCACATCGAAGCTCCCCCGCTATGATTCTTGGGGATGGTCCTTCAGACGTCCCCAGCGCTCCATTCAAATACAGATTGTGGCACCTATCGAAAGAACAACTCGTCTCGTATGTTGTGAGGAGCATAGATTGGAGCATGTCTCGCTTGGCAGACTCTCACGCTTGTGCGATTTCAACATCGACTCTGCACCATTGGTGCGGTCCTCGAGGCTTTGGCACGTTGATTGTTCCGATCTAGAGTTTGGTTCGCATGCATCGAACGTCCACGCATGCCGACTTCATCCCTAGCACCTCACGAGACTTGATGACGGATTGTCTCAAGATCATGTCAATTTCTTTATCCGTGATAGTGCTACTTCCATATCATCTATGTGAATCACAAATCATGAAAATGTCCATCGTGAAGATGAGAGATTGACACAAGCCCAACGTGGCATTTGAAGCACCCTTATGTCAATCGGGCAGTGCGAGTGCATGCGCAGCTCTCCACAGACGGCTCAGGGTCAATATCTTATAATAACTCATATTATGGTCCCATGTGTCTATCATCTATTACTGTCATATTTTCTCTTTATCAGTCAAAGCCAAGCAAGCAATAGCCTGCTCTTTGGCATCTGTGTACTTGAAACGCTGCGGTCATTCTTGTTCACTCCGCATCAAGCCCGCCGATCGTGTAGGACTTAGATGGGAATCCGGAAGCCCGTCTTCCGCAGGTCCTGGAAAACTCGGTTTCGGTCGTATTCCAACGAAACGTTCCTCAGAAAGTGGACTATGTCCTCGCCATAGTGCAGGAGTGGTTTCTGATCGAGACCGCTGTAGTTCAAAAACTCCCAGTCCTTTTGGAGTTTCTCATCATCAGCAAACTTGTTGATGACACGCTCAAGTTTGAGTAAGAGAGGAAAGATCAAATTCTGGTTCTCTGCGGTATCCACCGTGAGTGCTAGGAGCCACATGAGAGCCGGACCGTCTGCGACCACCCTCCCAAGGCCGAGGACGTTGCCACCTCGTTCGTCGCCATGGGTCACCATCGACTTGGTCACAGGCTGGAATTGAGTGAGAAGCTCGAAGTTGGAGGCTGGAGCTGCGAGTTGCATTCTCTCCGTGTATTCAGGCACGGTACGAAGAACAAAATCCATAACAGCGGCGCTGTGCGAGGTCATGCCTGTCCTCCAATTGGCGCTGTGTCATGGTCAGCCATGTTGCCCCTTCGGTGAACTTCGATACGAGACGTACTAGAGTCCTAGGGGAGTTGGTCCAGTGAACTCAGGAACCATCTCTGCGACAGATCCGACACGAGCTGTGCTTGAGACGTTGGCAATGCTGGCAAATTCTCGGAAGGCGGGCGCGGTACTTGTCGCGTCACTGTTTGTTAATACTGCGACGAGACTCAACCCCTGCTGGCCATACAGCAGAGTCACGATGGCCTGGCTGGCCGGGTCTTCTTCCATGTTGTTGACGAAATTCACGTAAGCGTCGACCACGTCGCCTGTCTTGCTCAGGTCGTATGTTGTGATCCCGCCCCATATCTGGGTCGAACGGACGACCTCTGTGGAAAGGTCAGCCATCAATGCGCCTCGTTAGGTGGGATCACGTCACGATATCATCCACCACGTACCGACGTCAACCCGTGTGACGAAACCAAAGTTTCCCGAGCCCCCCTTGAGAGCTCTCCAGAGACCAGAGTTCTCGTACGCGTTGGCGTCGACAATGGAACCATTGGCGAGAACAACCTCGAAGTTGACAACATTGTCGCAGGCGAATCCTCTCCTGTTGCTGTGGAAAGAGTACTGTCGAGAGTCAGTCTTCTTCTGTTGGGGAGAACTGGTCTTTGCTCGGTCCGCGACGGTCTTGCACGCAGAGGGGCAGAGGACACATACCCCACCGCCCGTAGTAAAACCTCCAACCCCGACGACAGAAGCTCGTCCTCCAACAGCCGTGACACCGAACGGATCCAGAGCGGAGTATACATTGCCCCAGTTCGAGCCTGGAAGGACGGAAGCGATGCCGGTGCTCGGGTCATATTCGGTCGAGTTCATGTGGCCTATCTCATGTGAGCTTTGATGCCAGATGAAGAGGCGTTACACACCCAAATCGACTGTGATGCCACCCCTGAGCCCATTTGAACCGCTAAACGCCGAGTGAGCCCCACTTCTCATTCCAAAGGGACAGCGTCGAGCAGATATGATCTGGATGGTCCTGGCGACGTCTTCAGCGGTCTGAGGCAACACCATGCAGCGAGGTGGCTCAGCCGCATTGGCGGAGTAGTACGACTCCAAGCGATGGTGGAAATCCTCATTGCACGGAGTCAAAACCTTTCCAGAAAGTACATCGTCTTTCAGGAGAGCGAGACACTTTCAGTCTAGCGTTAGTATGAGATAACGTGGTGTGTGGATTGTCGACATACACATTTGAATTCAGAGCTTTCAACGACGGCTGATTCGATGGCGGTAGCCGCTAGGATGAATGCGACCGCGAGATAAAAGATTTGCATAGTTGCTCGAGAGATGCGGAAGAAGGAGACCGTGATTGATTGTAGAGGTCAGAAGGGACGGGAAAAGAGTCGGGTTTTTATACTCACGACTTCGCAAATCCTCCCGTACCCAGTCGTAGGCATCTAGCTGAAGTGCTCACGATTGCTCACCGCCTGAACACAGAGGAGTGATGGTCATGTTGACGATACGAGGCCTGGGACAGCCACCACAGACGCTGATGCTGGGCAGTGGAGACCCTCGCTTCTGGAATTCAATGCCATGGCTCTATTGCAGAGGAGTGGGGTATTGTTGACGTTGTCAGACCATTCGGGGTAGACGCTAGCGAAACCGGGGGAGCCGAATGGTGGCATACGTGCAGCGGCCGGCAGGACTGGGTTCGGTAGTCATGCAATCTACCCTTCCTCGGCCAACTTGTCCAGATAGGGAGTTTGGCTCCGTCTGGCTACATTCATATTGCCGAAGCAAGTAGGAGAGAACCGAAGAGACATTTCCGAGTGATCATAGCTGTGATCTGGCGGTAAATTCGGTCAGAGACGTTTGTGACTCAGCAGACAGACAGGCTCGCACCGGTATGATGGCCCAAGCCCCTACTGTTTTGTCGCCTGATGCTATCAAATATACAGAGATGCGCTGAAGACCTTTTTCTCCTGTACCGGCTCGCTCCAAGCGCTATCAGCTCTTGCACTACCCGCGCCGCTTGATTGACTTCTCGGGCCAATTATTCCCAATTCTACATTAGAATCCTGGGACTCGCGCAATTGAACTTGACTCGAGCTTTCCAGAGATGACCGTCTTGTCCCCGAGGCCCGGTTTGTGAAGTTGGGTTGATTCCCAGTGGACGAATGACGCTTGAGGTTCTTGAAGAATTGGCGCACAGCGGGCACACAAGTGCAGATTAGAAGGAGATTGACTTCGAGAAACCTTTCGTCCGTCAGTGAGTATTGCAGGTTGTACTTCCGCGAAACGTACGAAGTGATATTGGCCGGCGCGGCGTCCCACGTTAGGTCTTCGCTGCCCTGAATCTGGATGAGAAGATATAGCCGGAGGATGGAGGTGACAGTGGTTCTGCGATCTACGTCAGTTCTCATACGAAGCTATGGTGCATGACGACGTACAGTAAGCCCAGACCGAATATTCCCGCGATGGAAAGCTTGGTATTGAGTGCCATCTGGAGGTTGAACAGAGCGGGCATTGGGAGGATCAGCAACACAACGTCCATGATGATGTTCGAGGCAGCCGTTGCCAAGAAGAGGGCCACAGCATCGAGTGATAGACTCGGTAGGCGCGAGAGGTATAGTAACAGAGTGATAGCCACTGTGGTCGTAATCACAACACCTTGTGTGATTCTTGCAGCCTTGTTTAACCACGTATTGGGGGAGAACGTTTCTAGATAGAAGCAGAGCATGGACACCTTCGCAAAGCCAATGGTCAACATGAACGCCGGCGCCGCATTGTAACTGAGCTGTGACTGCTTGTCAACCATGGTTGTCCCGTCTGAATAGGTCGCGGTACGCACCTCGACGTATATCCGAAATCGATCGTCTGGAATGGATGCTCGCGGGAAGCACATGGTACCCATGGATATTGCGACTACGTCGGCCTTGTTAGCACTTTTTCTTCGCTCCGTCACTAAGGCAGTATACTTGCCTATCATCAGGATTTGCATGACGGACGAAAAAGCCTGGTGTGCCGGAATCAGCCCTTGATATAATGAATACAAACTCCTATCTCTTACTTACCCAGGAGAAGGCCGCCCACACTGGGTATAGTACGTCAATTATGCTTTTCTGCTGTACGTCCTTCGGCTGCGTGATCACTTACTGTCGCTTAGCCTGAGATGATGAGAATGATATCTGTGGTAAAGCCGCAAAAAAAGAAGGAGAGTGGAAACGCCATAGCCAACACCAAACACAACGTAGTGAAGGTCGACCAGGTTCCCGGTCGCCGCCGGAGCGACGGTGTTCGCAGAGGTAAAGCTGGGCTCAGACATGATGTTCGTGTTGTTGACCCAATGTCAATGGATTCTTCAGGTAGTCGATCACTGCCAACGTAGAGAACTCGGGGACCGTCACGTATTATAAAGCCCGGCAGGAACCATACTCGGAGGACGGCCGGCCCTACACCCAGTGCGGTATGATTGAAGTCCTGAGACATCTCCTGACGGGGGAATTAAACTTTACTTTGGTGGCGGCGGCGTTGTTGAAGAATTGGCAATACGAGCATTTCCTGTCTCGAGATCCCTACCACGGATCGGCTCCTATAATTTTGCCATGCACTCAGGTCAGTCAGGAACAGACGCGGGTTTTTTGTCAAGAAAGTTGCACCCACTCCTGGCATACGTGCATGCTACGGAAGATCTAATGGTTCCTCTAGACCGTATGCTCCCACCATGGCAGCACTGGCTGTAACGCTCTCCGGGCGATGCTGCCGCTGGAAAGCACAAATCCAACTGAGCACTACGCGAGTTGAGAGAAGAAGCCTCCATGCCCTGTACATTAGTCTCTCGGGACAATGGCCTGGCTCATGCCTACATCGGAAACTTATGCGTCCCCGAAACCCCTCGGCGCCTCCAAGAGCATCAGCAGTCATCCATCAGCCATCGAAACCCGTCTTCTCCATCGCGTCGAGCACCTCCAGTCTAGTGTATAATGAGGTGATGAAGTCGGCTACGGCAAATGTGATTGGCCCGCGAACGACATCCTGATCCGGTTAGTGGGCGACAGTGCGCTGACTCGTCCGTCTGTCTGCCCCCTCTGAACAAGGCCCGGACGTTGCGGCTTGTACCGTCTAGGGTCCCTGACGGGAAGGGACTCGGTGGAGCCTGGGGGTGGCCACAAGTTCAGCGCAATAAAACGACGCGGTACCTCTGGCTCGAACGACGCCACCGGGTGCTTTCCAGCAGGGGCGTGAGGGAACCGCCCGGTGTCGACAACCCGTTCGAGCCACGACCATCCGTACCCGATGCACGGACTTTTGGGGTTGGCTAGTGACAGCGCCGGTGGCCCTTGCACAAACCTTGGAAGTAATCAGTCCTCCGGGGTCTCAGACCGGACCCCAGCCCGCAGATAAGTGAGCTGCATAGGGCACAATATCCGACATGGTGACCGGTCACCTTTAGCCAACATCATTCAAGCAAGACCTTCGACCAACAAGCGGCGTCAGAATGGCGCGCCAATAACGATGGATGTCACTTCTAATCCAGTCCAGCTCGCAATAGCATTGCAAGGAATACCCGGCTATCGGTGCGGGGGTTGACCGGGGTGCTCGATCTGCATTTCACACGTAATGTCCAACGAACGAACACTACTTCCCCCTATGTCTTTGGGGCCATCTTCGCTCATCGCTGGAGAGAGGAGTTGCTTACCACTGTGACGCCAGGCCATGCAGGGACTGGCGCCACGAACGCGGTTCACCTTCGGCTCAGCTGGTCGCGCAGAGCAAAGAGTCTCAAGTTGGCATAGGCTACATTGAGGGTAGGAAAACTATTTGCTTTTGATCCACGCTCAATGATGTCCTTTTTATTTCTGGAGATGGTAATTCATGGTAAATTCTCCTGCCATAAACTCACTCCGTCTCGTGCCTTCACCAGCCAAGCAAATGGGGACACCCTGCGGCGTTGGTTTCGTAAGTCAACAAGACGGAGATTCTGATAGAGCATCTCACGCTTTGCCGCCATCACAGAGACAGCAGCGCTGTTCGAGGCCCTGTATGGCTAATATTGAATCGATATGCGACGAGTTGGGGATGAATGGTTCGCTTACGGAAGTCGTTGTTCTAAGCAGTTGAGCGGTTCGGTTTTCCTGGGAGGCATTAACCTTGAATAATCACTTTGTCTAGTACGTCATTGAGAAGTTCCTGTCTTTCTGTCAATACTGCATATGCTAAGTCCATTCTATGAAGAATCAGTGGCGTCTCCAGCATGCCCAAGACGCTTTCAACGATTTCATCACCCTCGCCCGCAGACTGGCCAAACGACCGTATATTATATGTAAGAGAACCTCATAAAGCCGTCATGGAACGAAACAGCATAGCGCCTTATTGAGAGTAGAAGACCTACCCTCGAGTAGCTACGATCAAGATGGGTTCTGCTCTTGTAGCTAGCTTTCTCCATGATCGATTGAATGATTCATTGAATTTGTTCCTCATGCAGGCGCTCCTACTGTGTCTTTCAGCAGCTAGGTATGTCCAGATAGCGGGGCTGGCTAACGACCGTCGCGCTCCGGTTGTGAGTCTGAAGCGCTCCTGTTCACCAATACAACCGCCTTTCTCCGCAATCATGTCTACATCTGGCTGACTGCCTCATACAGCCATTTCTTAAAGCACTTTTGTGTAGGTACGTGTAGACTCTGCCATGGTCTCGCTTCTCGTGCAATGGTTCAGCGTAACGACAGTATGCTCTCGATGCTTAGCTTTACCTGATTGCGCTTCGATCAAAGATCTCGGTCTATGTATTTTTCTCCATAGGGGTCTTTCCCGTTGTGTTGGTATGTAGTGTGGTAACAAAAATGCAGGCCAAAATCACATTAGCCACACCCCCACATGCGCCGTCCAGTACTCACCACCCACGTGACTTAAGCGCTCTGTACTGTGTACAGTCTTGCATACAGTGCATAAGACGGAATTGTACTGTAGATTGGCTGATCCTCTAAGACTCGTTAGCCGTAACACGGCATTTAATTGGAAATCTAACTGGCTTCCGCCTGGCGGTCTTGCCGACTCTGAGCTTGCAAGTTGAATTCTCGACTTTCAATTGTCCAATGCCACACTTTCAGCGCCATATGTTTGTTTCGTTGCAATGGCGGTTACTACGAATGAGCCCGATATCAATTTGCTTCTTCGCCGGCTCCTCGGCGTGCAGCGATTATCTCGAACCATGCTCAAAGAATGGGAGCAACAACCGATCGAAGAGATGCGGTCTTTGTCGATTTTCCGAAAGAAAGGACGGCTGACTTGGCTCGCTCTATACGCTGCAAACCAAGTTCGGACAAGTCACAAAGGTCACGACGAGAAAGATCTGTGCCAAGCCTTGATTGAATCACTGGATCAACGAACGGATGATGAGATCTCGACCTTCGCACAGGACATGAAACTTGCTATCGCGGATGACGCGCGAGGTAATAGCTTGGCTTTCCGCAAGATCGAATCGAAGTTTGGCAAGCAAAGTACCAACCAGAGACGCCGGAAACGTTCACGTGAGTATTGTGTCCGCGCCTCAAACCTCAGTCTAACCGCCCTCGAGGCATATCTAGTGCAGGCGACAGCAGCTCGGATGAATCCAGTCAACATGCATCTGTCACCCGTACACCTCGCACTTTTTCCCACCAACAATCTATCGAGAAGAATACGACCCCCGAGCCGACCGATAATGACACAAAACAAACATTTGTGAATGCCTCACTCCTCAATTTGAAAGATGTGTTTCCACCAAGCCTCTGCCGATACACCGAGAGAATACCTGACCCGAGTGAAGAGGGTGCTTATCTTGCGGCGATTTCTATGTCATTCCCCAGCAATCCATACTCAAGAAAGTATGGCTGTAACATGACGATAGGGATCAACTCCTACAATGTACAGGCAGTTGTACAAACCCTATTCGGGGCTACCTTGGAAATCGCGGGTGGTCTGCGGTATCTCGTGATGCATGGCAGGAAATTCATTCCGCAGACCCACCTCACGCTCCAAGGATGCCATTTTTCAGAGTTGAAAGGGTTTTGGGGCGAGCCTCTTTTCCGTGCTATTAGTGCCGGGCCGATGTACCAAGATGACATACGTCGACATCACGAGGAGACTACATGTGTATGGATGATCTTCTCGCACAAGGCTGACGAGGGCGCTCAGCTTTGTGTAGCTATGAATATCATGCAAGGCCTTGAGATTAGAAAGAAGCTCTACGGCAACTTCTGAGACACAACTTTGAATTTCCCTCTCGTTCCTCCAATGTAAACTGTCGTTCCAGAGGGAACCTTGACTTTCACAGTCTGACGGTCATGTTGACAGATTGGTTTATTGAGGTCGTCGCTTTTGTATTCCCATATGAAAGCATTCTGAACGAGGATGGTTTGGTTTTCCCCTTCCACGCGCGCTGGAGTAATGTCTGCGTCGTCGAAATTTTCCGTGGCATCGTCAAGCGGGCTGATTTCGAGTCGACTCTGACTGATACCAACGTCAGCTGCGTAATGACAGGACAACAGTGGACTTACCATTCGGACATGTCGCAATGTTTTCCCCCGTCTAGTTCTCTCTTTGCGCTGCCATAGCCATGAATACGGTGCGATGTAAGTAGGTACTCGTAGTGCTGAAAACTCGAACGTGGTTTTGCAGGATAGTAGGTCGATCCCCCGCTCTCACTCTCGACACCACCGCGTATGGCATCGGGCTCTGGTTAAGGGTGAAAGAGTGGGTCTGATGGACCACATCTGACGTATGACTGTCACATGGATGCCACGTGACATCCAAAGCTTCTCGCGCCCACTTGCTTCGAGAATTATGCGCCGAGAAGTATAGACGCAAATTTTACCCGCCCTTATTAATGGTTTGTTGGAGCAATCATGGAGTCTTGAGAAACCTCGGGAGGTTGATGATAATTTCCGACCATCTGGCCCTGGCGCAATCGTGGTCTCAGAAGATGACAGTCTGGAATAGCATTGCATTTACACCTGTTTAACGGCGACGTCGCTGGCCACTACTCCCGAACAGCCTCAACTGCTTGTCAAGCACAATTTCCCGCTCGAAAGCAGGTATATCGGGCACACTTTGCATCAGGGCATTAGGCATCCTCGCCACTTGCTCAGCAATCGCCCAAACTAGCTAGCGGACAGATCCCATATCAAAATAGTTTCATGATCCTCGATCGTCGTACCAATTGCTTGAGGGGAGTGCGTGAGGGGAGTGCTCGAGGAGAGCGCTTGAGGGGAGCGTTTGAGGGGAGGGCTTGAGGGGAGTGCGTGAGGGAAGTGCTCGAGGAGAGCGCTTGAGGGGAGGGCTTGAGGGGAGCATTTGAGGGGAGGGCTTGAGGGGAGTGCGTGAGGGAAGTGCTCGAGGAGAGCGCTTGAGGGGAGGGCTTGAGGGGAGTATTTGAGGGGAGGGCTTGAGGGGAGTGCGTGAGGGGAGGGCTTGAGGGGAGGGCTTGAGGCGAGTGCTTGAGGGAGCGCTTGAGGGGAGGGCTTGAGGGGAGTGCTCGAGGAGAGCGCTTGAGGGGAGGGCTTGAGGGGAGCATTTGAGGGGAGAGCTCGAGGAGAGCGCTTGAGGGAAAAGCTTCTTGAGGGGAGCGCTTAGGGGGAGTGTTTAAGGGGGTGCTAAGCGTTGCAGGGAGAACGACGTCAGGGGTCCGACCCAATCGCCTTCGAGGGTCAATGCACCTCAGCGACATCATGAACAATATTTTACACAACCCATGGGCCGTGTTGTCCATGTACACTGATGGTGAAGGCAACGATTACGTCTCGAAAGTAGACGTTGCGGACTCGGTGTGACCCTTGCCTTGAACCCAGCCACCTGATCAGAGCTTGTCGAAATGCAAGTCTACTTGCCTCGACACTGCTTTAATGCTATACCTCAGCTTACAAGAGCGAAGAACCCGGGAAAAGTGACCATTCTACTAGTCAAGCATAAGCAAACCGATGCATTTGTACCTCTCGTACCTAGAGCGACTAGAAGAATGATAGAAGCACGCCTAGATGTCGTGGACGCCACTCCAGCAACTGAATAGGAAAGTTTCGTATGGTTCGTTCCATAGAGGTTTTCATGCAGAACTAACTTTGGTGACTGTCGTCAAACATAGAGACCAGAACAGTACTTGATTATTTTATGTGAATGAGTGAAAGTGAATCAGTCTTGATATCCCATATTGTTCTACTGTGAGATGAACATGCGATGCCTTTCCATCATGGTCGCGACTAGCTTTGTTGAGCATGGCGGCCCTGTCATCAACGCATCCTTCATGCGTCGACCAACTCGTTCAGAGCCACGAGGAAACCTCATCGTGGCTACGTAAACGGCCGCATTGCATGGATGCGATGGTGTTCAACTTCCTCCAACTCTGGCAGGCCCTTGTTGACTTGGCCGCAGTAGAAGGGGACACCCGAAGCTTGCTATGCGGGCAGCCTTACACTTGTGGTGCTATTGACGTTCTTGTGAATTTTGCAGGGCCCGAAAGCATATAAGGTCGAACAAGTGTCCCCGATGACTGAATTAGAGGCTCTAGATAATCACAACTCTGGATCGTTGATCAAATTGAACTTCCCATTAATTTCAAACTTTGCAATCTCCTCTCGCGAATCCAATAAAGACACAGACTCCTACGCAACAAAAAGCTACACAAACCATCATGTCAGACAGCCCTACCTCGAACGGGCCAACAACCACGGGTCCTTCTATAGATATAGACACTTTGCCACCCGTGGTAGTTGAAACTCCGGAAGAGTACCAGGTAATTGGGAAGGCATTCCGGTCGAAAAATCTATTAATTCCATCATAGAACAAATAGAGCCAGAACGATTGACCTGGTCCTACCAGGCTCGATACCTCTGATCTGGTTTCAAAGCCCGACTAACCTCAATATGGTGTAAGAGTTTAAGACCCGGCGGCTTGACCAGAGGCTGAATGTAATGGTGTGAGCCAATGTAAAGACACAGCCGGGAAGGCTATTGGCTTTTGCAGCTGTGCGTGAGGAAATGGAATGGCAAACAGAGAAACTTAGCGAATATACATGAACTGCGATATTTTCCTTTTAAGCCAACCTAAGTCCTTGGTCCCGATCCAGTGGCATTTGGGCACCATGTGGGATACGTTGTGCTCGAAAACCTGTCCCAAACGTACAGCCAGCCGACCTTGGAGCCCGCACCACGTCCCGAACGGTGTTCAACGGTGATAGCCGACCCATGACCGGGGACCTGCGCGGTGTCTGTATCGCAATGGCTGTACTCATTTTAGCCATCCAGGCACACCAAGCGTTTCAAAACATGAGACCGCCTTTCTACTAGTCGAACGATAGCTACACTGAATTCGATGTGAAGGGTGATGAGGCAGCGTTTGGCTTGTAATGGCTACGGTGCCGATATATTAGAATTGCTCCTCTCCCGCCTCATCCAGTCGGCAAAGAGGTCGGTCAAATATACCCTTCCGCTCTCAGCATTGCGAAATCTCTCTCCAGGCCGTGTTGGGCAGTTGCGAGGTCGGCGCACCATATGATACGCCCCCGCGGCGCTCGTGGACGATGCCGGTCTACAAAGTAAGAGATTGCGGTCAACAGGACCCATCACAACCATTGTCCGTAGCCTCGGTCTACTGCCAAAATCTAAGACTCTAGCGACAGGCAGCGCAGCTCGTCTCGTTTGAGCAAGATAACACTGTCGGGATGTGATATGGACTGTAATTAGGCCGCCTTGATGGACCAGGGCATTCTGTAGAGTACTGGCAAAAGGAGACAGCGAAACAAAGATTGTTTGAGGTAATCGTTGACTGATGGTGTGAAATATTTATGGTGCTCCCGCTCTGCTTCTTCAAGCCTTTGGTCCACCAACCCAGACCAACGACCGAGTATGCATGCAAGCACATTGCCCTTGGCATGTTTTTCGCGCATCTAACATCGCCTGCCGAGGTTCTTTCGTAATTATCTGTATCAAGCGCGAACTCGCATTCGTCCGTACACGATCGTATTTGTAAGGCTCGGTCGTTCGTCGTCGTAGGGCCATTTCGCGGCTCAGTGCTGTTAAGATTTTCCGAAGCGTTGCGCCGTGATCCACTGCGGACAATCTGACCAAAGCTAGGAGAACATGTTGCTTTGCGATGGCCGTTATGATCTCAAGCGAAGATCTTTTGCCATCAAACCAACAGCAGCTTGAGTGACACGTCGGGTTTAGTTGCGTTTGTCGCGACATGCCTGTCGGTCCGAGTGTTTCCCCGTTGCCGATGCGTGCGGCTTTGTCAGCCAGCACGGTCATCTTTCTTGCTGCGCTGGCACCAATAGGAGCTTGATCAGCCACATTTCGCATCGTCTGCAACCCAGCGACCATGTGGGACATGAGAAGAAGAAGAAGCTAAAGTGGCCGCTTGAGTATGCGCCACGTAGATGTGTTGCCATCTTGTCATTACCAACAGCCTTTCACTTGCCATGCGACTTCCGAGGTACACTGGTCGCGAGAAGGTGTCGACTTTCAACCTACATGGACCAGTTCAAAGTGCACCCGGCCAAGCCTGAGCTGTCAAACAAGGCCCAAAACGACACACCAGGGACGGCGAGCCCTGTGCCTGGATTCCAGGGCTTGTCACAAGAGGACATGACTTCAACACATAGGAAAATATTGGAACTTTTCAAAAGCGACCACGTATGGGTATCTCCCCTACTGTGAGTAGAGGATCCTAACAGGAGGTAGGGACGCGAGATCGTGAAGATGGTCGAAGGCATGGGCAAAAAGCATGTGGGCACATCCATGTACGGCCCATACAGACTCGTTGGAAACTTCAGGGTGCCCGAGAACTCTGTTTGCACATTCATTCCGTTAAAAAGCGCAGATCGCTTCGAGGATTCCGCTTCGCCAAAGGCATTGTACAGAGTTGGACAGGAAGTACGTGAAATCGTATGGCAGACTGAGTCACCTTTCCGTCTTCCCGCTGGCGGCTTCCTGTCTATAAGAGACCCGTCTTGTCGTTTCCTGATGGAAAGGCATATTTTTGAGTCTGAGCCAGCAGCGAACGAGAATCGCGGGTGTGAGGAAAACGGCAACAAGGTTAGCGGAGCATCGTGAGCACATGGGACGGGCAAGAGGACGGTGGGACAAGCATGACGTGGAGATACGCGAAGCATTGCTCGTAGATTGCAGGTAGATGAAATTTGACGTTGATGTCTGGCTATTGCCCGCTCATGTAGTAAACACGGTTCTCACGATACGCGGGCTCAAGATAACTAATATGATTCCAATCGATGCCGCTCCCGAACTCTTCCGACGGAATAGTTGCGTCGGTTACGCCATAACGCGACCAGGTGAATGGAAATGTGATGTTCTCGAGTTGGGCCGGAGCCTGGTCGACCGGGCCGGTCAGATCATACACATAGCCGGCAGGCTTTTCTAACTGTGATCCATGAAAAGCCGTTCCGCAGCCGGACTCCAGCGTGAATGACGGAGTGAATTGGTCAGCACCAACGTCAATAGGCATCTGGGGCAATCGATGACTATGTAGCCCTTGCTCAGTTACGCCCTCGTCTGCATTGCTTCCGATGAGCAGGGACGGAGCAGAATCGCCTGCCTGTGCAAGAGCACCTGAGAGACCCGAAGCAGCAGTATGGGGTGGTAAACCGTCTGGCCTTTGAGGGCCGGTCCGCTGTCGTTTCCCTGTCGGCTCAGATTGAACTTCGCTTGAGGGACGCTTGTTACCTGGCGTAGGCTTTGTTGTGTTCTGCTGATAGATTTCAAACCATCTTTGGAAATCGGCCGGGGTAAACTTGGTGACACCTAATGCGGGTCCCAGTTGCTCGTAGCAATCAATGCCTGTATGAAGGCGGATACGGGCCCAGACGATGAACGGCAAATAGAAGGGAAGCTCGGTCTCGAGCGACGATGTCATGTTCGATGGGATCTTAGCCATGGTGTCTTTCCGAAACAAATCGTCTGGCCCGGACCTGGATAGACTGTCAAAGCTTGAGAGGCTCAACGCAGCTAAAGAGTAGCAACTGGTCAGCACTGACGGAAACTCGGTTCTCACTGATGGCCGTACCATGAAGGAACATCTCTGACGCAAGATGCCCACAACGCTCAAACAGTGATTCCTGCTGACGTGCAATCCATGATGGAACATTCTCGTACATTTGCTGTGTCTTCTTATTGACACGGCGTCGTTTCGACGACCTGGCTGACGATATCGTATTGTTAAAGAAGTTTTCCACGGCTCTATCGATCAATTTTTTCCTTCTTTTTAGTTGACGGGCGACGCAACATTCGCCCAAGAAGACTACATGACCATATCTGGACGGGAATGTGACTTCATCGGAGCCACCGATCCTCTCTGCTTTCCTCGCTCGATGCGCGATGTAGTCTGTCATGTCCCTGGGGATCCGGGACTCCTCACAATCGCTTCCGAACCATAGGATATCATTGATTGCTTTCGCGATGCCTTCGAGGTTCGTCAGGCCGAGCCGCTCCCTCGCTGCAAGCCACCCATCTTGGGTATCCGGAACTCTTTCAAAGAAAGCTGTATACTGTCCCTTGGGAGGGCGCGACGGATCCTTCGCTCGGCCGATTTTCTTTGGTCCGTTCCTCACACTGTCCGGTGTCTGCAAGTGCCACACGCGCGAGAGCGGGAGAGTAGGCCTTGGATTCGTCACTCGGTTGAGGTGGGCAGGAGGGGTCGGAGGAAGAGAGAGCGGACGGGGCTCCGACAACGGCATCGGGGAGGAGATCGTCAGGGATGACCTGGCAAAAGTATTTGTTTGCGGTTGGTACGGTTCAAAATCCATTCGATGGCGAAGCACCTCTTCCTGGTGCATGCCTTGGACGCGGTGTGGATTGGAACAATATTGATGCTGGTCCATTGTGAATGGGCAGGTTGTCAAGAGCGCGAAAAAATTTCCCTTGTGTAGTGTGCATGCTTTGTCCTTCGGACCATTCCTCTTTTGGGGTCAGGACACGTCCTGACATCGAAAAGAGTATAGGGGAGAGGCAAAGGCACAGGGCATGATTTGTGATATATTTAGGTGTTTCCCTTTGATACAACCGTCACCGAGACCAGGCCGAGTACTGGTAAGCACAAGCACCAAATGAAACCCATGCCGGGGGTGTCTCCATACTTCTGATACTTCTACGAGAGGGTGAGGAGAAGGGATCGAAGTAAGCGAGATGACGCGCCGTGAAGGACGAGATCCATGTCGGTCTGTGAGCATTCCATGCCACAGTGATTGGCCCTGATCTTGTTGACTATACCGCTTCGAGGGTCAGGATTTGTCCTGACATCTCATAGAGCCTAGCGCTATCAGGGATCTCTAGGCTGTCATTACTACATAGATTAGCTGCCACGCCCCCTATCGAGGGTACCCGGTACTAGCTCGCGCACACTGGCTTGTACACACCCCTCCGCTGTCGGTCGCTGCATAGTGGCGTTCTCAACATGCAGATCTTGGCTATTACTAAGCCAGACTTGGGGTCAGGATGTGTCCTGACATTCAGATAGGTTTAGCGTCTCCAAAAACACGCCTTGTTCGTGTGTGCCCTAGTGCAGCTGACGCCGGTGGGGTGTGCGCCCTAAAACGTATGCACAGAAGCTGTGCCAGCATACTGAGCTAAAACGTTACTGGGACGAATCCTGACGCCGAAAAAGGCCGCAACAGCCGCTTAATAGTCCGTCAAGCCGTGCCATTGCCCAGCCTCGGTGTCTGTGTAGCGTCAATCTAACGAACATCGTGTTGCAGTGTTCTGGACCTTCAGATTGGGCAAATGCTCCGAACTAACCCCGTCTGCCTACTTGGTTTGCCATTCGCGCCTCCTGTCCTGCAATACGCTAGATCATCTTGCGGAATGGTGATGGCGTGAACCCAATACAACAATTTAGTGACCCATCTGTACACCTTTTGCTGGCCTGTTTTCCGACACGATTCCATTGCACGCCAACAGCGTCACATTGCCTGTACCCGCAACCTGCCCCCACCCTACTGTGAAAAAGAAATGAGGGGAAAAGTCCACCTTCCAGGGTGGCTGCTACGACGGACTCTGGAGCTGGCCTTGGCTCCTCCACGGATAAGACCCCTACCCGGCTAGCTGAGCGTTCGCATTGTAGCTATGATCGGCGCAAGTATTCCCCTCAGCGCATGTCTCAACTCCCTTCCACTCTATAGACTGGCGATATCCTTCCCAGCTGAGATACCTTCACGTCATGCAAATCTGACCCTACCTCTGTAACTTGAACTCTGCAAATGACACTGGGATCGGTGAACTCGCTTATTATTGCGTCAACTGCCGATGAGTCATCCCTTGTCTCCTGGAGCTGCCGCCTGAGACCCGGACGGAATGAATTTATCCTGTGTAAAGCCCAGAGTGCAGAATAGAGCACGGGAAAAAAGAACTCAAGGATTCAGCAGGAAATGAGACTTCGCAATTATCCCGTAGAGAAGCAGACACAGAACGGGGTAGAAGCCAAATGCTCAGTAAGACGAGACCAGATCACGCACATGGCATTATGTTACAAACATGTGATGTGATGCATCTGTTCATGAACATCAGTTTAAGCAGTTCGTCTGCACGTCGCGGAATACTTGCGTGCCAGCGGCAGCCTCCTGAGGTGAATCTCCGAGCACCCCTGTGGAGATGGCTTACCAATTCAGGTCAACCAAATGCCACGACACAGAGTGAATTGCGAGCAAGGTACAATAGCCGGTAGAAGCCCTCCTATGTTTCAACGTATCGTATGTCTGCAAAGCCCGACATCGTGTACCGAGCATGGACAAGCCCTAACGCCCCCGCACTAGATAGTGTGGGACGCTATCTCTCAGCCAAAGTTGCGGTAGCTGCTGCGGCGCGCGACGGTCAAGCTTGGCGTTGGAGTGCTCCGGACGCGAGATACACAGCAGTGACTTCCCAGTATGGGGCCGACAGTAGTACGTTTGGTCCATCAACGCGAAGGTGATGCGTTCCTGGCGTCACTCCCTGTGTGGAGTGCATCAGAGAGTTGAACGGGGGCAAGCTTCACGGCCGTCGGACCAACAGGGTAACATGTCCGCAAACCTGCCTTTGGCTCGGTGATAGCGCGAACAGTATCCTTGTATGTTTTCCTCTCTGGTTCTATCGTGCGATGGAGGCCAGAGGCGGCCGTTCAGATCGATGTGGGCTTCATCGGACCCAGGGTATGCGTCGCTCTAGCACTAGCATGCAGGTCAGATGCGCATTTGGATCGCCTTTGGCCATGGCGACTTCTACACTGCAATTCGACGCAGTTGCACAGATTTCACCTAGAGTGTATGTTTGTTGCTTGAACAGGCATTTCTCTCCTCTCCTGTCTCCAACCTAGGCGACCCTGCCAGGAGTTTCGTGGGTTTTGTCATTGCCGCCCCACCAATATCTTCTCGAGCCGCGCGGAGCGCTGGCAGACTTGCTGCGATGTGGTATGGCCTTGTCAAGAACTTGGTTAGAGAGAGCTCTTCATAGCACCATCATCTATTTACATCTGAGCTGTAGCATGTGGAGCTAAAACCATTCAACGGAGGCGATCTGTTCCCGTGGTCGGCATGCACGTTCGTATCATTAGGGCCCGATCGTCCGTCATTTTGACCGTACGATACTTCAGCTCCTTACAAGAACCCAGACCACGATACAAGTTGAAAGCCAATCATTGGAAAGATGGACCTGCGGACGATCGAACGTGCCCGAGGGTAACCCCACCCTTGCGTATGTTATATTAAGCTTGTGCTTCATACGCTCCCTTCACAGCAATTTAGCAGCCATCGATTTAAATTCAACTAAACACGCTGGAAATGTGCAACTATACCCAGCACAAATATCACTGCGGTCACACCCGAAAGATTGCGTCGTGGTGGTGTCCACTTTACGAAAAAACCCATCGACGATGCCCACCTTGCGTTACGTGGTTCGAAAACCACGCCAATCAAACCTGTGGCGATTGCAAACCACGCACTGAGGTTGCATGGGAGAGTATGATCAATCGGTAAGAACAGTCTCTCGTCGCAGGTGTGATTTGTCTGAACAAAATAGCAATGCCAAACCATGTCCCCTGAGATTTTGAGCTGCAATCGGCGGCGATGGGAAGGCTTCGTAGACAAGGAGTCGATCTCGCTATGGAAGGCTTTGCGTGCACTTGGGTGCAACAGACCCATCTCCGAAGCTAGCAGGACGCATCACTGTGATCCGGAAACTTTGTATATATCATGGCTGTAAGGTTGGGGGCTTTTAAAACGATTCCTTTTGACAGAAAGCTTTGTGCATTACCTCTGACGTTGATCTTGCGTCTGAAGCTTCATATTAGAGCCGTGATCGACGGTCGGGAGTTTCTGCCAGATTGTCAATCGTCTATCAATACTATCAGATGGCTGTGGAGCAACAATTCAATACGCCTGTCCTCACGCTAGGGCGGTCAACATTGTTGTCTCGTCACAATCCGCGCGGGGCCGAGGCAAGTCCTTCCATGGTTAAACTCAATTCACAGGACACCAGAGTACTGTTTGCGGACAGGTTGGCTGTTGTGGCGATCAGTTTGCTCATTCTTATGAGGCCCTTTACCCGCTTCGATACTGGGAGCTGAGCCATCGCTTCCCTCCGTCAATGGGAAGACTCCTAAATCTCATACGAGAAGGTCCTTGTTGATACCCATGGACGACAATACTCTCAGTCTACTTCGCTGGCTTGAGCATGACAGCGAAAGCCCCGAGATGGAATCAGACTCGATCCTATTCGTGAACACAACCAAGGTAACGTTGAGAGTCCTATCCTTCATCACTTGAAATTACTCTAATACACGAAGGTCGTCGTCCTTCGCCATAACTCACTCGGCGAAAGGGTGGAATCGGTCAGATATCGCAATATAGCACGCTCATCCTGTCCCGGTTGGTTGCATGTCAAAGGAAGGGCATCGCTGGCCTGGCAAAAGCTGCGGACTCGCTGGTCTCGAAACCACAGGCGTTTTCGAAACAGCACAACACAGTGTCGAATGAGATTTCAGGATTCGGTACTTTCAGCTATCATGAAGTCTGGATAGATCAAGAGCGCGGCTTCCCCCACCACGGGCATGGTGGTTCGCATCCTAAGCAATTCAGAGTCGAAGGCGAAGTTTATTGGGGGCCCAACGCTTCCTAGGCCCGAGTTTCGTGGTAACTGGTGGATGGTGGCCATAGGAATGACTGGATAGCCAGACCGAAGAGAATGATGTGACTGGTTTCGTGGTGGCACCACTAATGGTCCCCTCAGTCACCATTTTTACCATATCTCGCTGCGGTTCGTGAAGGCGACGTGCCAAACCGGCGACTTTTATGAGCTGGGATTTGGAGTGTTTGACCAAAGTGACCAAGCTGTGCCATTTGGACCAATGAAGAGGCATGCATGCAGTGAGGCAAGGTGCCTTGTTGTGGACAACTTCCCACCATGACTCTAGTTCGGCTGTTCCAGCTGCTCCAGGGCACGTTCAGTATGCATCAATCCTTTGCCTGTCTCAAATCCACGTTCGTGATTGGCTCTAGCCAAGACTTGCAGTCAGGGTGGCTGTGAACTAGCTCGTCCCGGAGAGGACTGCTGTATTGGTCTTCATCATTCTCAGCCATCGTTTGAGAAATAACCCAATGATGGATGGCGTCTCCAATGGCAGCCACTTTGAGAAGGTGGACAACATTGTCTACTGAGAAGCGATCTTACCACTTCTGGGAAACGCGGTATAATTGCCTTCACTCAGTGGCTAGCGTCTCAGATCTCTCTACGTTTGCGCGTACACACGGGGCGCAGTGTCACAATGACCTAGATCTCTCCCTGACAGTCTACGTCTGGCCACACAGCAATCCAGGCTGCCTGTAGTGACTCGAACGACCCGAATCATCATCAGGAGTAGACTTGAGTCGAGAATCTATGGCCTTCGGAAAATGAAGGCATGGTGCGTTCGACGATGCAGGTCTATGCACGCATTATGAAAGAAAGCTGTAGTGCATGGTGCTTTTGTGATGCGCTCCGAAGATCATCCCTAGCCGCCATGCGTTAAATGGCATCGTCAGCTACAGCCCATAAGACATCTCACTGGAGCTGGGGTATACTGTGCCGCCGCATCTGCGCAGGATCTTCGGGTCGCCGCGCAAAACTCTACACCCCAATTTCTCGCCCCTTTCTTTCCGCCAGATACTGGACGACCAAGCCCAACCCTACAGAACCTATTTATGATACACGTTTGCTCATCGCTTCCGCGATATCTCCGGTCAGGCGATGGTGCGAATAGAAATGTCAAGACGGCCTGAGTCCGTCCACTCATCCACTTGAAGCCTCAGTCGGTGTCACAACAGAACGTTAACGGAACGTCAACGGCGACGGGAACGGCGAGAAGGCATCTCCTGCAGAAAGTAACAAAGTAGACAAAAAGGCAGGCTGTCAAATATGCATGCGGTCGTTCCTGCTCACGCCTGTTGGCGGACTGTTCTACCTCAGTGCGCGGGGCGTATTGGGAGGTCTCGAGCACGACTTCCAGACACGATGCTGTGCGATTTTCTCAGTAGTAAGTCTGGCATGGTCAAGGCAAAGCTCAATGCTCTCAGCCGGCAGACCTTTCACTGCTATACTCTGTGGGCTGTCACAAATTGACTTCCAACGCTACAGGGTGTCTTTTCAGCGCGACAGACTCATCGTGAAGAGCCAGAGCTAGAGCCACCAGAAAAAGAGGGAGAGAGTGCTGCATTCGTGGACGATGAGTGGGGATCTCTAAATTCTGTTGGAGATTGCGCACCAGAGCTTTGTGGAAAACCACGTCTTGCTCTTTTCGACTCTTACGTCCATGGCGGCCGGTCTCCTCGCTAACCCTTAGAGAGTCAAGTAACCTGTCGCTAACGATCCACACAGAGCGAGCGCAAAGGACGTTCATAGACTGATCGGGTTCTCTGTCCATTCCGAGACCCAGGTGTGGCCGAAGGCCGCAAACAAAATTCCGGGTGGAAGCCTTAGAAGCTCTTACTGGACTGGTGCATGAGCAAATCCCAGCTGGCTGCTGCATCTTAGACGAGAGAACAACATCCTTACCCAAATCAGAGCTTGGAAGGGATTCGGCAAGACCGACACTAACTCGACGGTGGAAACCCTCTCTTATCATCCCGACTAATGGACTCCGAAGTCCGCGTGTGACTGCGAACGCCCAAACGGTCTCCTTCGTCCGTTGAGTCGCAACAGGGGCGCGTATGGGAACTTGGCGGAGAGCTCGGGGCAGTCAAACAGGCGCGTACATAGCTGGTATCCCATGTCTCCCAGATGCGACAATCTGGTCCTTTTGCCATTGACCTCCGCGAAGGTCCTGGAAACACGTGAAGTACGGTGAATGAGTGTCGTTATGGAAGCAACCTAGAGTACGTTCACGAGTTCACTCAACTGCTTGGAAGGATATGGGACGAGATCCAGCCAAAAGCTTGACAGAGAGGGGAAGAAGGGAAAGATAATTGGCGTCGTACTGCACCCGCTGCCGACGCTTGCCTTGGGTTGGTCAGGCATGCTCCAGAGTGACACACCTCCTTTGCTGTCCAAGATTTCACTGCAATGCGCTACAACCCACAATGACTGGAAATGCTGCGGTCGGCCTGGGGCATTGGATCACTCAGCTGAATATAGTAAGTGCATACCAGGATGGCACACAGGCGGATTGTGCCTTTCCCAGCTGTGAGAGGTTTCAATGCGGAAATAATCCTCGGACTTCAGCCATTTTGTTCAAAGCCTGATTGTCGTTTGGCTCTAGAAGTACTTTGCTCGTGTTCGATTCCTGCTGTCGAGACGATGCTTCGTCCATTCATAACTAGATCCGCGCCCAAGCAAGAGTCGGCGAGCGCATGACTATACAGACGGCTTCGCCGCTTCGACTCAGCGACTCGCGCCATTTCAAGCCGAGGCCTGTAGCTGTGAACAGACACGTTCCTAACCTTTTGAATGCCCCGAGGGTAGCTTTCCAACAACAGGCGGAACCCCCGGGTTGCGAGATCCGAGATTGCGACGGAGTCCATGCGTAGGCCGACCTCGAGCAAAGAGCCGACGAACCTGATTACTAGGCCTTCGAGGTATCCCCTGTAGAAAGCCTCATCAATCAGGAAAAGCGTTGTGATTTTCATCACATGACGCCAAACACATGTGGGAACGCCTGCAAGGGTCTGAAAAATCCGATGGGTCACGTTTTTCCCACTGTTCATCAAGGAGGAGTGTCTGGCTTGTCGCGTCCACAACCCAGACAAAGCTTTGCACAAGACGACTGTGAGCAAGACACCTTTTCCTTTTTTCTTACTCCCTTTAGTTCAAAACAGCTCAGCGCCAGACTTCGCAATGGCTGTACTATCCGCTATACAGCAGTACCCGAAAAATGTGCGATCCATTGCGGGCACCCCTACTCCCTTCGCGCTCGCGCTGACAGCTGTGGCAGAACGCCCTCGCGAAAGCGTGGGACTTGCTACAACATACTCTAGAAATTGCTTTCGGACCTCAGTCTTGGCATTTAGTGACAGAAGTCAAACTTGCCGCAGACTTCCCAACGAACAGCGCGATTTGGCTAACTCGAGCCGCCGAAATGAGGGCTTTGAACGGACTTGCGAATGCACAATTTATAGGATATCGTGACCCTCAGCTTCATCCCCGGCTGTACGTTGAAAAGGTCCGCCAAAAGACAAGAACTGACGATCTTGTAGAGACTCGCTCAACGATGACATCTGTCTTGAAGTCGACCCGAACATGATGTGGAAGGAGCGAAAGTACGATCTGATCCATTCTCGAGTGATCGAGTACATAGAAAACTGGCCAGAATATCTCAGGAACGTGCAAACTTGCCTTGCACCTGCAGGTGTGCTCAATATAGAAGTAGTTGAGATGATTCCTTTCACCGACGAGGGTAGCCTGCCCGAAACATCCCCTCTCCTGCAACTATCTCGGATCTTGTACGAACCTTCAGAAACATCAAGGATTGGTCGCGTTTCCTCCAATATCGGGCGGGATCTGAACAGAATCGGGATCCAATCAAAACTTGTGCAATACAGGCTCCCCGTCAAAGATTGTCAGGATGAGGGAGAAATTCCAGTGGGGGATTGGCTTGTATCGACGATGGTCAAGTTCATAGAAGCACATGTAGCAATCGCAGGCGAAGGGCCTGGATAGCCTCAATCGGATGATAGGCTTGTGGAAAAAGCGAACTTGGAGATTTCGAATCCTGCTTTTCATGCCTATTGCAATTAGTCAGGTCCCCCTGGTACGTCGGTAAAGATCCGACACTGACCGTTTTCAAGCTATACCTCAGTAAGATGGTACATTGCGTTCGGAGGGAGAACCTGTGAGCAGGCTTTATGTTGAGAGGACCTGGAATTCGATGCGGGCCAGACATCAGCTGTTGCTCGCCGGTGAGTCCACGAAGTAGGGCATATAGTACTCGCGGGTAGAAAGGTGGTTCGGGACAAACGCTGCGCACTTCATTCAATCACGCGAATTCACCATGATCGTTCTCACATGCAAGTGACATCTATTTCGTCGTGGTATATGTGGATGCCATTGTCCCTTGTGAGCACATTGTTCGCTTGCATCAAATTCTCTCGTCAGTTACGTTCCTGGACTTCGCGACAGACATGGGGCGAGCAGCTTTGCTTGGAAAACAGGATCTTTCCAAATGCTGACAAAGCGGAGAAGCGACGCCAAAACGATAGCGGCTAGACTTCGGTCGTCTCGAGCATGATTTCATGGTTATTGATGCAGCAATGGGCATCGGGTGTAGGATGTCAGCGGCGTCGGAGCGACAGCACCCGGAGAAATAATTACAAGGCGAGCTTCAAGAGTGCTAAATCTGATGTATCAGAAATAGCGAGGAAGCACCAGGTAGGCGGCGGCTGGCCTCTCGTTCTTTGTCACCCGCCTACGGCTCCCTTGACATTGGCGCGGCCGAGATGGGTATCAAGCGAGGAGACGGGCTGATGGGGATGTCCTGAATGCGGTGAAATCTGCTTGCCAGGTGTGGTTCGGCTCCAAAGACCCCTGAACGCAGCTCAAATTGGCCAAGGCATTGTCCTTGGGCATCTTCAGTGCCTGGGCAGCCCGGACCTCGCAATGGACGATCGGGGCCCACCTGATTGCATATTACTGGAGAACGGGATGACGAGACCGTGCGCCGCTGACCGCGTCTTATAAAGCCGTCGCGGCCCGACGATAGCTGGAAACTCGTTGGTCAAGACCGCATCAGTCTCGTCGAAAGGTTCTATTCGTTGATCAACATGGCAAAGGAGCCCCGATCTTATGGCGGCGGAAAGTTTTCACAATATGGCTACGAAGCATCCTCAGGTTCTGACGATGGAACAAACTCGTCTCGAGACTCTGCCATTTCCGACCTAGATATATTCGTTGACTCCGGCCCAGAAGTCTGCAGTGACATCGAGCTAGAAATTCGCAAAAATATGGCCCCTGACGTGCTGGAACGTCACGGAGGATACTGGGACACCCGGTCGATCGATGATTGGAACCTTAAAACGGTCAACTACGGAATCTTCATCATCACCGGCGAATACCGTACATTTGTGTCGGGCAATTTCCGCGTCAGAAAAGAACCACATGCCCTGGATTTTCTAGATTGCAGGTGAGTCGGTTGATCGATCGCACACTTGATATCGCTGACAAGCACAGGTACGGAGAGGATCTCGGCGTTGAGTCTTCGCATGACTACATTTGCATTAGCATTACTGGAGCAACATTTCCGGACGACCTCTTTGAAAATCTCTCCAGGTACCGCTGTTGCCGGGCCATTCTATGAGACGTCTGCTAATCGAACATCGAACCAGGTATCTCAATCCCAAAGCTACCATCGACGTTCAATGCGGCGGATTAATTGCATCACCCGCGGAGTCCCATGACAGTCTTTCCACGGACGAAACCTTGGCCGGAGAAGATAAAGATATGGTACAGAGGGTCGAACATTCCATGGAGGAAGCTGGGCTTGTGCTTCGGAGCAGAAGGACACATCATATACCCAGCGCATCAACAGTGGCGCGGACAATTCAGACGGGAGACCTATGGAGCTTGCCGAGAGTAACAGGCGGCGTGTATAGGTATCTTTCTACCTGGCGAAACCTTCACAAAGAAGTAGGCGTGGACACGTTACTGTAGGGTCAGTCGCATCAATTGACAGGCGGAAGCTGACGACGGCAGGTACATCATTCGAGCCAGCGCGCCGCGAATGAAGAGATCCAGAGAGGATTCCATTGATGAGGCTGGACCGAAACGACTTCGCTTGTCGGCTGGTGAGCAAGACGTAACTGAGAGTTGCGTCTCCGTGGGCCTCGATGCGTAAGAGACCACTCGGTAGAGAACTTAAGGGACTATTAGGTTGCGTTAGCCGAAGTCAGGCGCAGTCAAGTCGTTATGCCGCAAAGTGTATCCTACGCCCGAAGCCGTATCTGTAATTCTATTTAAGCCCTCTCGGGTGCTGCTGAGCATTTCCTCTATGACTTGAGGTGGGGGAGGAGGACGGTATGCGTGACATGATATTCGAGCGGAATTGACCTTATCACCGGCTTGCGAGGCTTCCTGTAGGGCATCCGTGGCAGGTCGGCCAGCTCATCGCATTCACGGAGGACGTTCTGCGGACGCAATGGCGGAAGGCCTGGCGCACTCGCAACAGCGCCGAAGCGTAGACTAGGGCATTTCGAGCCGAGGCCCAATCGGGGCAGCCCTGCAGGGTGGGTTGAGGGCAGGCGTGAGCAGCCGGAGCGAGTGACATTGACCGAGGGGCGCTCGAGCCTCTCTGCAGAGCGATGGACACAAGGTGTGTGGGGCTTCGATCCCAGCTAGGGGGGGTGTGCGACTGGGAGTGCGCATGATGAGATGGTGGGGTGTGGGCGACGACAAGGGTGTAAGGGTGAATCGGTCAAAAAAAGTTGGAGGGGAGTGGGAACGCCAAATCTTGCATCGTCCTTGCAGCCTCCCCGGTGCCACGGCACAGACGACGTGGGGCGCTCATCTCACGTTTTAGCGTCCCCAGGACGGCCCGCTTTTGGCATGCACATGGAGACGTCAGCCCAACCAATCAGGGCTGCATCTCCCGACTTCATGTCTTGCGCAGCGACGGCCAGCGCAGAACCCGACAACATTCGTGTTGGCTGACCGTCGAGAGATTCGCGGACCAGGGATAGGGCCAATCGCGGACAAGCCGTGCAGTACCCGCTGGTTGCCGGCGGCATGGGCGGTCTGTTGGGCATCGGACCGTGGCTCCTTGCGAATGGAGGCATTGGCCCTGCAGTCGTGTCCATTTGAGGCAGCTGCGGCATGGTCTGGAATTCTGGGAGGAAGAGATATAAAGGACTGGCGCTGATGGCGAGATTCCCGGATCCGAAGACCATCAAAACCTCACTTTTACCACAAACCGCATACCTTACACTCTACCCGCAAGCCAGCACAAGATCGAAGGTGAACGAAGCCGAAAGGATGGACCGCTACCCCTGCGTCAACAGATACAAGCACGGCGTCGACTGCCCCGGCTGGGTGAACGTCCACGGTGCGCGGTGCGAAGACTGTGTTGTCGTAAGTAACACGCCCGATCATACCCAAGGCTTACTGACCCTGGACAGTACAACCGGTAGACGTGAGGGGTCTTAGCTGGTGGTGTAACGCGATCGACGGAGCATAGGGATGGGCGGAAAGCACCTGCAGCAACATGCTTAGACAGACCGGAGATGATTCTCCCTTGAATTAACTCTGTGTACCCCTATGTTGTATTCGATGTTCCCTTTGCCAGGTCCATGCCCCTGGGGTGCTACGTGCAAGTGACTGTTCTCAGGTCTCCCAATGCCGCCTGACTGTAAGCCGCCTCACAGCCTGCCTCGTAGTCTGCCTTGTGGCCTGCTCGTTGCCTGCGCGTTGCCTGCTCGCAGCGATGTCGGACGTGCGAACCATCGCGGACGCCTCTCATGCGAAGCATAAAATCGTGCCATGCCCAGACGATGTCCAAAGAGTCGTTGTCCTTCTATTTCACACAACAAGCACAAAACCGACCACCGCGGAACGTTGCGAAAGTACGACTGCCAATTTCTCACGATGCTCACGGGAGCCCGTAGAAGCGCTGGAGTCGAGCACCATGATAGGAGTCCTGAGGTGGCAAAGCTGAGTTGGCGGAGCTGAGATGGCGGACCAACCTCAACGCCCGACGTAGCAGAACGTCCGTGACGAGGGCCTACCCATGGAACCAGATGCTGGTCGGATCAACGTAACTTTCCACGGTCTCGACCCCCACGACACCACCGCACTTGCCCATCGGCTAAGGAACCTATCCGTCGATAGTGCCATGCCCCTTCAATACTGGCTTTGTGGGTTGCACCTGAACAATCAGGAAATAGGGATGGGCCCGCACATGGTGAGTCCCCAGTCTTATCCACCCTCTACACCCTTCCGCGCAAGACCGTCTATCCATGACAGGAAGCGTGCCAATCTCGGTTGGAAACAGCCTCCCCGCGCATGTGTGAGACTCAGATTCTGACAAGCATCGGCATACGGCACCTTTCTTCCCGAACAGGGGTGTATGAAATGCCACGACCAGAAGGAGTGCTGGCCGTCGATCAGCACTTCAAGACGACTGACCATGGGCTTCGGGTATGGATCATCGCAGTCAATTCGACGTATGTGACAGATGACCTCGAGCTCTCGCAAGCCATTTCAAGTTCTTCTGTCTAAGTCTCTAGTTCCGCAAGTCCTCCTCGCGATTCTTCGCGCCAGCCAATCCGACGACTCTCTCACTTCGACGATTCCCTCACTCCGGGGCACCATGTTCTTTCTAGATGCCTTCGACACAGTCTTGACGGAGTTGTTCGGATTTCATCACGACGACATCAGGTTGTCTTCCAGTGCTGAGCATCAAGTTTCCATCGCCATCCACAGTCTACCAATACGCTCACCAGCTGTCCCCAAACTCTCCCACAGCGCCGACTCTCCTTCCTCGCCGTCTTATGATGAGAAATACGCGATTGGCGTCACCAAGGGATTTGACAAAGCCTTAGACGAGGAGCATCTCCAAGAGACTCCTTCGTCTGATATTGGGCCCCTCACCATCGTTGTCCGCGATTTGACACGCTCACAAGATTGTCAAACCCGCCCTCTGCTATCACCTCGCAGATCCCTGGCTGCTCTCTCTGGGTCCAGCCATTCCTCGGCCACCAAAAGTATTCAGGCAAGCGAGAAGACCTTGGACGGCCGCGAATCCGACAAGGAGTCTCAGGGCAACGTGCGAACAACCTCTCAGCCTCCCGTACAAAGGCACAACGAACCCCCCGTGGGCGACTGTAAGACCAAAGGCCCCCCCAAAAGCGATGTTACCTCGAATCGTCGCCAGAATTCTATAAGCCAGTCGGAAGCCTTTCTCCACCAAAACTCAAACACCGACTGCGTTGACGAAAGCGCAATTGATGATGATTCCGAGTGGGAAGACTCGATCAAGAATGACAACATCGACAACACGTCTAGCGTTGACGAGACTGGCAAAAGGTCTAGCATTGACGAGGAGACCTTCTTTCAGCGTACCGACAACAACAGCAAGCTGACCTCGCGTCGCTCTCTTATTACCATGATGGTGGTTGAGATGGACAACCGCGGAGGGGTAGGGAATGTAGCCTCTCGGTCTATCTCAACACTTCCGTTTCGTACCAGCCACCCGGCCCCGCCTACCTTAGCCGTCTCTCCCAATGATTCCGACGACGCCCCATTGATAATGAAGCGCGATAACGGCTGGTCGCCTCTGAAGCCCATCATCGAGGTGCCACGGTCCGCTCCTTGGCCTATCTCCAAGAATGCCAGCCGTTGGTGCGAAGCCGTCCTCTCCCCCCGAACCACACGACGGTACATGCTGGCGACAGAAATGACCAACTCTGTCCGATGGAACATGCTTTGGGAGCGCGGGCAGAAGTCAGCTACTGCTAACGCAGTGCTCAAGCGCCGCCATACCTCCCACGACGTCGCGAACCTGAAGCAGTATCCCGAGATCGCCCGGACAACCACGAGGAAGGATGGTTTCATCGATGCCCTATACCTCGCTTATCACACAGGCGATGATTACAACACAAGGGGATGGTGACGTGCATGGTCGCGAGATGGGAACTCTGGAGTCACTACGGCGACAAAATCCGAATAATTATTCGATTCGCGCGACTTCGAATGGGGCCGCGGAGGCCTTACCGTACAGAGACGCGCATTGATCTGCGGAACAAGATGAAGGAGAGATGGATTCATGATAATGCGGCAGGAAGCGATGGTAGTATTTGTATATACAAGAGTGACAATCTTCCGATACATTCGCGACGAGCGCACTCAGCATGTCTTCGTTGAATTAAAAACACGAAGAGAAGCCCGATTTCGAAGATATGGGTCGTTGCAACTAAATATCACACAAGACAGTGCGCACTGGGAGGGTCCAAGGCATGTGACCGATGCTGGTTTCAAAGGTGCCGCGACTAAGTTCAAGTACATGATGATCTGGGTATCTATGGAATTGTTGCTGCTCAAGAGACAAGTTGACAAGTTGGAGAGCTTCGAGGTCCTGACCAGTGCGCGCTCTCTCGATGCTGTCATGAATGCCAGGCACATCTCTTGAGACAGTCTCTCACTTCCTCGAGGATTAAAATTCCCGGCTCTCGCCATGTCTGGTTTCGTTGCCAGACTTGGCCTCCTTGTGGACTACCATATGCGATGTCTTCTACGTCGTTAACACAACACAATGCCAAAAGCCAGGACGCGCGCGATCTACAGTGCTCAGTAGTCCCAGTACAACGCCTTCAAATGAAAGGATTGGGAGGGCGAAAATCCAAGTAAGCCACGTAGAAAATCAGACTAAGGTCTCATAGTTAGAGCAAATCAATGGAGTGAGGCAATTTGCTCACATCTTCTTCTTTTCAAGCTCCATCGTCAGAGCGTTGGGATACTTTTCGTGACAACCCCACTCTGAACGCAGGCATTGATTTTCCTTCATAGATTGAAGCATCGGGGCACCAAAACCATGCACCCGATCAAGGGGCACACAGTAGGGTGCAGACAGACCGTTGTAGATCAACTTGCCCGAGTCGAGTAGTAGGTAGACCACCCAATGGGTCATTGGAAATTCGAACTTGAATTCGGGATCTAGCGCAGCATCTCTCTCCGAAGCTGCAGCAAGAGTAGTACTATCGTGCTCGAAAGAATCGTATGGCAGAACACAAAGGGCTGGAGCTAGATTAGCAACTGAAGTCTGTAATTTCAAGATGTATCGAGTCTTCTGAGCCAGCAAGCTCGGGTTGACTGCGCTCTCGAAATGATTGGCTTCCGTACCAGAAATTGAGTTCTGCCCGGCACTCAGAGATCTTTCCGCACATGGACCGGCGATAGTGCTTCTTTTCTTGGATTTAGAACGTTGATCGTATGCCTGAGAGGAGTCTATTAGCTTCGTTGTAGATGTTCATCAACTCACTCAACCGTCACAACGCGGAAGAAACCTGGCCTCATGCAGTAACGGGGGCGCTTTCAAAGCTTTGGCTTACTCTTGAGATGAAAAATTCTTCCGCAATTGAAAACTCATTACATGGTGAATTTCGCATGAGGAAAGTTGTGGTGTTGGCTGACATTGTATACCTCAACTGTGTTTAGAGAACTTGATGGCGAGAATGACGACCGGGAAAATGCCCCCGGGCAGGAAGATAGACGCATACTTATATCAGGGGGGTCAAAGTTGCGAACGTTGAGGTGCTTCCCCCAGAAACGAGGAAAGAGACCCAGGGTCCCCGTACAAGACCCTGTCATCGCTGAAGCCACTCAAATTCAGTGGGGAGCGCATAATTACTTCGAGATGCCACTCAAACGGCGAAGTCAGGCCCGCGAATTCGCTAGTCACCGGTTCGTTCTCAAGTTGACCAGCGCAGGCCGCGTGCAATTTTTGTTACGGGCCATAGATATGTAGAGCTAATCAACCAAAAGGTGATGCGGTGCCCTCAGCTATGTTAATCACCATGAGGCGCGAAACGGATACTCAGCGCCAAGAAGCAACCGGTGTCTTAGCATCGCGTATGATAAAGAGAAAGGGCTATGCCATGGGAATTCTCTTCATCCTTGAGCCTCCCGACATTAACTCTGAAGGAGGTGAAAGAAATGTCTGCGTCTGGATGGTGGAGAAGAATAGCTGCAAGCTCGTCAGGGAGCCGAATGGCACAGCATTGACGTTTATTGTGCAGGTGATTTCGGAATGATCCTTGATAAGCTCTACGGCTACTATGTTGAATACGAATGCGACCTGGCATGAAGTGTGGTGACCGAAAAATCTTGTAAAGCCCTGATCACAACGCTGCTAAGGCAAAGGGCACAACGAACGATGAATTGCGGCTTCGACATAGGTGAATGTCCAACACCACAGATGGACAACTGTGTCGATTGGTATATATGGCGTTGATTCCGCATGCCAAACGAGTACAGCGAGATACGTGCGAAAATATCGAGGCTCTTCTTACTGTGGCCCTATTCACACCGCCTGATTCCTGGCTTGGGCCGCACCGTCGATCAGCCTGCGGCAAGGTCCTGACGTGGTGCGTGAGATAGCGTGCACTTATATGGCCAAGCTGCCAAGCTTCTGGCAATACCGAGTCGGCCCGGTGAATGTGGCGGACGCTGTTTCGTTCTCGCACATTACCTACCTATGCCCACAAAAGTTCAAGTAAGGCACCCGATGCACAGCTGAGTGAGGTATCGTCACTCATGCATGGATGAATTTCATCCATATTGGTTGTGGCTCTGCGATCGTCGGGGAATAGTCATGGACCGGATTGCATTAAGCGGAGTGTCAGGCTCAGGTCTGACTGTGCATATATGCTGGCAGTTCACCGACTTTGAAATGGTCAGGGTGCCCGGGGCTTAGGATTCTGATTAGTAGCCGCATATATCAGGGGAGAAAGGGCGTGTGCATTTTGTGTCGAACCATCTTTATCACATCTGTCATTGCCGGTCCATAACTGACCGCGCCTTGATTGCACATGGGGCTAGTCATTAGGCAGCCGTGGCGGACTGCATTTGAATTAGACTAGTTAGGTCGAAAACTCGCCTCCCGCCCATGCGGCGATTGACATACTCTGATACACCTTGGTTCGGGGACCATTCCCTTGTCAGAGGGTGCAGAGTGGGTGGAATCGGTCGGTGAGACAAGAGCCTGACAGATGCTCATTCGCACATATGCGTACGTTGTCACATCTACCTTCGTCGCTAGAAGTTCATTTGTGGGTACTATACAACCAATCCAGTCATAATGACTCACCGACAATAGCTCTCAGAAAGCTTGAGTTGCTTCATCGTGGCCCTTGCTTGTCATTGCCTTGTTGTACCTCTGCATCAGACATGCTACCAACCCAGCCTGCATCAGATCTTGAGCTTCATCGTATAAGACAGTGTCATGACCTCCAAGAACATGGCGAATTTTGATTCGGAAGCTGTATCTCAAGTGCTTCACCCATAGGAAACAGTCCGTTCAGGGTTTTAACGCATTCTTTCCGGCTACATCATTATTCGACGCCGATCATGTCATCACCTTCTCTCATACCACAACCCCCTTCAATCTACGACGATTCTTCGCACAGAATGATTGAGGAACGTCATGATAAAGGTCTAGATGGCGGACGCCGCACCGGACACATCATTTCATTTTCCAATGTCGAACTGTCGATGTCATCCACGATCCAATACACTGAACATGTACTACATGGCGCTGAGACTCCGGAGCGGTTCGGCGGCGCAAGCCGCCTTCATGTGAGTTGGACTTTCTGAGTTTGTTAGCAGATACTGACAGTTCCAAGTCGTCTTCGAGACATCAAGCTGCCAATCCTCTGAGATCCGACGAGTCTATCTCTGACACTGGACACGTCGCGCCAAAACCTGATGGCACAAGAATTTGCCTCACATCGCATACGGCTCCGAACTCTGGAATTCCGGGTCAACCCTCGCTCGAGGCGGGTGGAGCGAAGGAGGCGAAGTGTTTCTGCGAGAACCTGGAGCTCGGCATTATGCCGCCTGCTCAACTAATCCACAACGGTAATATTTACAGAGTAAAGCAAGACCCAGTTGAGTTTCTATCAACTTTGAAGAAGCCATTCACGGCTCCATTTGGATATGTCATCTTGCATGGTGCCAAAGACTGGGTCACGGAGGGAACCTTGGTCGTAGGCTGTGATCGATCGGTCCTTGCCTGTTTCCAATGTAAGAAGACCGTCAAATGCAACGCAGAGCTAAGACCTGATCAGATCAATGAGCTCTTTTCAACTATAGAATGACCTGACTCCTTAGACCTGCTGTCATCCTCGTAGATGCCATTCAGAACGACCGAAAGGAACGAGATACTGATACGTTTCAACATACGCCATCAGGTCTGGGCAGAGGTTGAAGGTAGTACCTACATCAGGATTGCAATTTGTACAGGTAGCGCGGTTTATCGAGGTTGAGGCAACAAAGTCATTGGTATTCAGTTGATGGATCCGCAATGGAGGCGCCGTTTGTGACGTCAAGTATTTGTTTGTACGATCTGCACGACGGCCAGTATTTTCGTGACCTCTATTCCCAGAATACGGCAGATGAACTGCTCGACGCGGACCAAAGCTCCGAGGTCGCACTCCTAGAAGATTGCTCTGATGAAATGGCCGGCCGAGGGCTTGTGATTTGGTTGCAGGCTACGCTCCCTAGTCTTGGCAGCCTTTCGGCTTTGAAAAGTCTCTATGTAGGGAGTAAAGGTACGTAGGCGGGTGATGGCACAAAAGGTGCATGGTCTCCTGCGGGAAGGTAAACGATCTGAGTGGGACTAAAGCAACCGTTCTTCCTTCTTGAGGTGAAGCTGGTGTTCTATCCTTCTCTCACGCTGCCCCGTCTAGCCCTCCACCGATGTAGCCGGGACTTCTATAAAGTATCTCGATCAGCAGTGCCCGCCCAAACGAGTCCCCAACAGTGACGGCTAGATGCACATCAGCACTGGAACGGATTGCGTCTCTGAAATGAGGAACTGAAACCAAGCACTGAACATTTAACTAAGCTCAGAGGACGCTGCCCCTGAATTACAAAGTTCCAAAATCCGACCGCTGCCCGGGAGTAGCTGTCAGCGCTCAACTGACTGGGTAGTCCCGCATTGTCTCACACTTCAACGGACCGAGATATAGTCAACTTCTCCCTCTCGGGACGATGTAGCTCAACGGTGCAATTGAAATCTCGGTGTGAGGATGGCCCCTCAGATTCGTTGGCTGATGCTGACAAGTATCAACTATCAAGCCCTTGGAGAACAGATTGATTGGGTTATCCGGCCTGAGCGAAATGCCAGACAGGCTAGCTCTCCCAGAAGATAATCTAGGAGCGCTCGGCAGTCACCCGCTCACTAGAAGCAGATAGCTAATCGCCAGGCCGCCGGAACTGAGGAAAGCGGAGCAACTCAATGCAGTCAAAGCAAGCTCCAATGAAGGCTGGAAATGCCTTGCTTCGATCGCCAGACCCTCGGAAGAAAACGAAACTTCACCGTGGCACTGGATAACACTGGGCCATGTGGTTGTGTGATGGAGGACGGAATTAGGACATGCAAGTCGGCGATGCACCGCAACTGGGACTTGCCGATATCGCTGAACGGGCCTTGCGCTAGGGAAAACGATGGCACAGTCAAGACTGCGAACAACCTTCTATTTTCCCGACTAATGATAGCTATTTGTGCAGGTTTTGCCTGAGTGAATCTTCTAGGCGTACATCATGGATGACGTGTCTCAACAAACTGGTCAAAGTCTCCCGTGATTTCTGTCAGTATGTTACAGAACTTGGAATTCTCTTCCGTTTTGCTGAGGACCTCCAGGTCATGTCGCAATTCTCGCATTACATCATCGTACCTCCTGACTAATGGAACGTAATAACGTGTCATCCAATCCCCTGCAGAGCAAATGGTTTCGTTTATGTTCCGCAACTCAAAGACTCGATCAGTCGCTTTTGCCAAGTTGAGGTGCTGGCCGGGGCAATCATCAACCTTCAAATCCGCTCTTCTCATGATGATGTGTCGAAAAGGGAAGTACGAGGCCAATGCCCTGAACCAGCCGACCTGACTACCCCTGGCCTGTTCATTCCTGGCGTTGAGGAACTCAAGGTACGTGGCCATGACCCCGAGTCGGGTGACCCTTCCTTCCCCATCGATACGTGAGGAGACCTCCAACCACAAGTTGAACAACCTTTCGGCTTCATCAAGATTTCTCTCTTGTGTCGAGATTTTGGCAAGAGCTAGGTAGATGTTGCTAAGCGTCGTCGTCGAGTTGCCTGACATTGTCAAGACTCTCTCAAACTCCCGTCTGGCTTCCCGATACTTTTTATCATCCATCTGATAGTAGCCGAGGTTCATGCGAGCTTGGCAGACTAGTGAAGGGGTGTTGGTTTGGTCAATGACTTCCTGCAGAAGGAGTCGAGCATTTTCCCTGTCGCTTGTATTGTCGGTGTTTTTGAGAACGAGTCCTAACTGACTGGTGATAGAAAGCATTTCATCGCTCCCTCTGCTGAACTTCGAGAGCATATTTCTGGAAACAACGATATACGCCCAGGCAGATAGTCTTGATTCCACACGGCAATAGAACTCCTGCGCGATGTTCTGCAGAGCATGCCAGTCTTGGTGCTTAAATGAAAGTCTCGCGCTCCAGGTCAGCCAAGCGATGGGCTCTGACGTTTCTCTAGAGTGGCATTAACTGAGCCACTCCTGAAGAGCGCTATTCCACGTAGTGTGCTTACCTAGCCTGAATCTCCTTTTCCATCCTCTGGATGAGGTCCTCGTCGGGAGGATACTTGGATAAGACATCCTCCATGTGTCTGGCTTATTTGGTGGTTTTGTGGGTCAAACCAAATGCCAAAGGATTTGCGAGATGATGGGTCTTTAAACTTGAGATACTTCGGCGGGATCTCTACGGACTTTAAAGAATTGGGCAGTAAGAAGGTGTCTGGCTTGGCCTGTGTTCATCGCACATCGCTGTAGGAATTTGGTTCTTTGACCTGCGAAAAACAACTCCACGTCATCTATTCACCGACTTTGTTGTCTTAGTACATGCCAGGCTCCGCTGCATTAGTCCAAGAGGTTGCCAATGCAGCCGAAATAACGATGTTCAGGCGGCGTGCATGGCTTTGGTCGCGTAGGGGTAGTATGCTCGCCAAGATGTAGTTTCGTGGATGGCAGTACTTGTTGGAGTTACAGGGTCGTTGACGAAGTTGTCCTGACAAAGGCGAGTTATCACGGAAAGGTTGGGGAGCAGCAGGCGGCTCACATTGACTACTGTGTGTCCATTTACCTACCCCCGTGTTTCAAGATTCGTTCTTCCTGCGCACATCCGACTCGAAATCGCCGCATGTGTCGCTGAATGTCCCATCTTTCGACGACTTTGTCGCCATCGCTCTACAAGGCTAATGAGACGCTCCACGGTCGGTAGCGGTCCAAAAGAAAACGTAAGACTATCTCGGGTCGCAGCCAAGGCTCGGCTGATCAAGTCATCGCCTCAAAGCCGTGTATCCAAACGACGGCCAAACACTTCGGGAAGTAGGTCTGGACTCTGGCCAGTGTTCGACTGGCGTTGCTGTGTAGTGGGGGAGAAGCCTTCAGGCTTGCTTCTGGGCTGGTAATAGAGACACGGCCGTCTGATGAGATGATACATTCACCGACTGTCTACAAGAGCAGTGTGTTTGTCCAAGGGGCTCCTGGTTGGGGAATTGTTGGTGAGTCTGCGTCGGATACAGGGAAGCTCAGCCACCTGCGAGGAACCATGTTCGCCCGTCAAGGCCAGGATTACAGACAAGGGTAAGGGCATACAGGCGCTTCGTGGAGCCGGCAGCTAAAGGTGAAAGGTGAAGGGTGATAGGAAATAATACTCATCAGCATCTGGATCCATGCTCCATCCATGCTCCGAGGCCGCGCGCGGCATGGTTAGTCACCAGGGATCGACAGAGGCTAGCACTTGTTGGCAAGCCTGCCCCGAACTCACGTGCGCCTGCATCTGGCATTCCATCCATTGTTGGTCTTCTTGGCCCTTGTAGCTTCAATTTCAACCGGCGCAATGTGTGTTGCGATGGAAGCCAGTTGTGATACAGCTGGGGTCCATTGACACAGTCGGTGAGCAAATGGGGCAATGTCCGGCAGGCGAAGGAAGCAAAGACGTGCAATGCGTGAGGACCATGGCCAACTTTATTGGGAGGCTGAGCTGCCGGATATAGCCGTCGATGATTACAAAACACGTCGATTACTTGGCACTCTAACCAAGCTATGAAGGTCTCCTCTATTGCATATCTGACGACGCATCAATGATTTGACCTTAGCTGCACCTTGTCCGACTTGTGTCCTCCGAACCCTAGTGCGTTTTCCTGCAATGCTACATCTTGGCCTGGCACAGGACTCGGTCACCGTTTGGAGATGGGGTGTGAGGGCGAGCATACCACTAGTCTAGATCTCGCCCATTCCACTTCTGAGTGGACCAAAACATGTTGGGACGGGTCACCTGGGCCTCTCAGGGCCTTAGGCGCTTCCACTCTGTCTCTTTCGCGCCCATCACACGCGGATCAAGCCTGCCGGCGCTGACGTGCCTACAGCGTTGATTGACTGACGGCGTCTTGCACTAGGCCGCGGTTGGATATCTATTAGTACTTCCAAGCCTGCTGTCTTTCGTATGGATCTCGAAACTAAGGCCATGTTTTGACCAAGGGCCTATATAGAAGACGCAAAGGCGCACCCAGTATCTGTGAAGCCGTCTTCAAAGGCGAAACTGGCCACTATTTAGCAGCAGCAGCTGACAAGTTTAAAATACCATTTCCCGAATGCTATCAGCGCAAAGCTGAGGATCATAGGATGAAGATCACATATCTGAGCAGTTTGCCAAACTCCACAATGGCAATGCCCCCTTCTCATCGTACGCAGCCACGGTAATCCCAACTTGAGCAACGCTTAGCTAAAACCAGAAGCCCAGATACTCGACCAGGCATTCGCCATGGTGCCTGGGCAGAACCAAACGTGGGGACCAAAACGAAGAACCGCAGCGATCTGGACTTGTGTGAGTGCCTGGAGACAAAACACCCGCCGACAAGGACTGACATATAACATCAGTGCAGATGCGGTAATGGAGGAATGGAGATACGTACCATGTATTGTTGGAAATGTGAGATCCTAAGATGCGGTTATTGTACAGTCAACCGCTTTCCAGTGAAGGACGTATTAGGATCTATGTGATCATTTGCTTTCTGGCTATACATCGACTTTCATGATCTGAAACCTTGGAGAAGCCGAAGATTGCTACGATTTCTGCCCCAGAGCCGGTTTATTCGAACGGTCTACCTCTTGATGTACGCAGCATAGACAAGGTTGAATCTACGGGTCAAAACAGGCAAAGAAAGAGCTGGAGCGGGTACGCAAAGGGGAGTACCACAGTGCACCCATAAACTCCACCGAAATGGGGCATCGTAGAGCCGGTGTGTGCTGGGGTCAATCTCTTTGCTGCAAGTCAAGTGGGGCGTCCTTAAACACACTACCAAGTACAGTGTACGTAACACTGAGCCTGGAAGTCGCGACACGCCCCCGACTTTCCACGGACAAGGGTGCCGGTACCGCCTGCTCGCCTTCCAAGCACCCCGAATCGGGTGGCTTTGGCGCCGCAACAGGGGCCGCTGCGCATGGCAGACCACCAATCACACATTGCCTAGCAAGCCAGATCGCACCTAATCATGTGGTTGTTTGCCAACGACGCGCCAATCCCTGTCAGGTCCCCTTCCCTGCTCTCCGCCGGAACGAGCCTGCCAGGGTCCGGCGGCTTCTTTACAGCCCGTGAGTGATTCATCTTCCCCAGGTCAGCTACCTCTTCCGTGCAGCTCCGCTCTAGTTGACCTGTCAAGTGTCGCCCGGCGGGAAACACGCGAAACCACTGCCTGTCTTGGAGAGTGCTTGATCCCGGGAAGCTTCTCTCCTTCCTTCTCCCTGCGTTAACCGCACAATGTAATGAACACCGCCGGGCGACTACGGCCGCCAGGACCTGCATGGAAGTGAATCGATACCTTCGGGAGGTTGTTAGGCTCCGTGAAGTCGACAAGGGATCGTTCCCTGTTCCGGGGCCTGGCACAGGGCCGCCCTTCAGGCCACGCTAGTAGTTCATTATCGGTGTATCCGTAGGAGCCATGCCGTGATCACCGCTGGGAACGTGATAATGCGGGTGAACTTCGAAGACATCCCGCACTTGACGCAATTTACGTTCGATCATTCGATGACTTGTCCTTCCTCCGGGCTAGCAAGGTCTCTGAGAGCTCCTTGCAGCATCTGCTTTATTGTGTGAAGGCTTCTCAGGCTGACCCTTCCCAAGAGGACCTGCACAGACGGCCCCTGGGATGCGTAGTTCAGGCCTAATCTGGCTGTTCTTGACCGGTCGCGGAACATCCGGTGATTCGAAAAGCAAGCCTCTCAGTCAGACCAGCAGGGAAGGTAGATCGACGTGTGCGTCAGGTCCAGCAGGCAGTGTTCCCAGGATATCTCCTGCTCCGGAAACCCACGAAAACTCGAGAAACCAGTCATCCATCCTTCACATACAGTCAATCCACCCTGTCGTTTGAGTATTGCGCCGCCCATGACGGATTTGCATCAACCAACTGCTCCGTAATCGATCAATGAACCGAGTCGACTCATCAACATGGGACCTCGAGTGAAAGGCAAACTCGCCCCTCCCACGCTCGGAGGGCAGTCATGCAACCAGACACGTCCCCGAGCCGCTCATCATCTGGCCATTCCCCTAAGAGAAGGTCTAACACTAGGTTTTGTAGGGCCACAACCTTCTTCATGTCGAGCAGCAACAACCAGGCTTTGAGACCAACCCAAATGAGACTGTCAACCCTCACTGCCACTTGATCCCAGATGGTGACACAATAGCGGCGCAGAAGCAGGAAGTCGAGCAACGGGAAGCCGAAAATGCCTCCTACAAGGACTGCATCAAATCGATCCGTAGCGCCAATGAACACGAAGCTGAGATGATTTACAAGCAAATTAGGACATCAGGCAAACCCGTGCAAGGCCTTCAAACCAGCCCGACGCAACTTGTCGCCGGGAATCGTCCATAAGAGAAAAATAAACCAACCCACATTTCTATTCGCGAGGAAATGAGGGAATGTTCGTTGATGCTCGCATGCCTGCCCCGCCGTAATGAGGGGCGTCAGTTTGACTGGAAGATTTGACAAAGATCATCCGTCATTGATGCCGTTCACACGCATGATGCTCTCTTCTCAGGGCAAACAACCAGAACGAGGCATGGCGGTAGCTTGTGCAGAAGCCTGATTCCACGAATGGCCAGTCCGCAATCACCATGTTCTCGAAGAGGGGTAGACAGCTGATGATGGGATGGGCTACCAACTTGCAGACTTGGACGACTTTTCTTAATTATCGTGGCACTTGATGTACGACGTCTCCGGACAATTAACGGAATCAACCACAGCTTCCGGCCTCCATACGTCACAGCCATGGACGTCCTTGCAGATCTGCTGAAGGAGCAAGATCAGCGCGTGACATGTGACGCTTCCCATGCTCTCGGCAGTCACTCAAACTGATTAGATAATGCTGCCACCGCCCTCCTGGCAGTATCCTTGGGGGCCGAAGATGAACCAAAACCTCTGATGTCGCTGTTCTAGATAGGCAAGCGACGGCAAGACCATGGACGTCATTGTGGGTTTTCCCAACGACGAGGATAGTGCATACTGCATCGTGCTGCTCTCTATAAAAAGAAGCAATCGATGCTGCTGAAAAAATCTTCGATGTGCAACCTATTCAGCCGCATGGTCATACCGGACTGGAGAGATGTAGTCCCGTCGTAACCAAGACGTAGAACCTTCGTGCGAATGCCTCCTACAGCACGGCTTCCGAAACAATATTCGGCGTGTTGGTGTTGATGGAACGCACGTGTCATCAGACAAGCGTCCGGATTCAAGGCGAAAAATTCTGTGGGCAAAAGTCAGTTCAAGTATACGGGAATCACAGCTGATAGCCATTAATTCGCCGTACTTATCGATACATACAAGTGAACCCTGCCTATTAATCGCTGCTCAAACGAAAATTCCCATATTCACCTGTTTGACGGTGTCGTGACATGACTAAATCTTTGGCTGTCTTTGATTACGCAGGCGGCTCGATCGTCTTTGTCTCACCACCCATCACGTGATCGCATCAGAAGAGGGCTCGGCTTACCCAAGTTTTCAAGATGAAGAGAGCAAGTCCTTGCCTTACTCATGTTCATCAAGACATTGTTTGCAGTGCTACTGCATACAGCGGCGATTCAAGGAATGCATTGGATGCTGCTGCAGGTAGTCTGCAACTTAACCCAAGCGGCTGGTTCCAACAGGCCCGCATCGTCTGGCAATTCTTGTGTGACAGAATATTCGTCAATCCTATCGCGTTTACTTTCACGTAATAGAACCAAGCAACCATCCGTCTCACTGCGAACAGCACAAGTGCGAGACGTGTGGTCAGTCCTTGGCCCATCAGCAGCTCTTCCTTTTCGAATTGCAAAGCCTCAATCAGAAACTCATCACAACCGCCTTGGCTTAACGCTTTTCCCCTTGCAGATAATCTCGCCCGCACATGGATGACACCCACAAGTCACGAGGGCTGGCAACTTCAGAGCTTTACTTAAGACCACACGCGAGACCGAAATGGATGAGCTGGGCTTGTTCTGCTCTCACCCACTGGCAGAGATGGCGCCCTTTCTGGGGCCGTCCACTGTTGAAATTTTGTCACACGAGCCATGTTCGGGATGATAATGCATGGATAACACTCCGGGGAACTCTACATTGCCAAGATTAAATCTATTTAACAACAACAACAACAACAACAAGAAGATGAAGAAGAGGAAGAAGAAGGTGAGTGGTGTGGCGCTGAGTGACAGTGGACGCTTGCGACGAAACGACAGTAGCCACGACGCCAAATAAATTCTTTTTTTCCAAAAACGACAACCAAGTAATATGCCACATGCTGAAAACGCCGTGCTCCTCCAACTTCGACTTGATCACAAGTCTGTTAAAAATCACCGTCAATCGTCTGATGCTAGAGCATCTGGTATGATTACATCGTCGCTGTTGTCTCCTTTGAGCGGGGTCGAAGCATCCAAATCCGGAATCTCCACATCGAATTGCGACACCACGCCGAATTGCTTCGCTTCCTCGTCGTACGTCAACCACTTGCCCGATGTTGCTAGTCGGCAACCCAGCCAAAGACAGCGTTGTGAGCGTTCTTCCATCATTGACGCAACCTCGAAATACTTTTCGTCGTCATCCACCTTTGTGGCTGTGAACCAATCGCTAGGATAGGACTTATCAACCCAAAGAAGACCCCGCTGCGCGAAGTCATCCGGCAGAGGACGGGGTTCACCCTTATCTGGCCGAGGGAAGTCTTCCGACTCAATGATCTTGATTGCTTCAAGAGACATCTCCGCAGGCATGATAGTATTCAGGAGTAAAGCGATGAGTTTCCAAGGCATCTTCTCTTCTATCAGCCCCATCGCTGCAGGGAACTGGGACAAATGCTGAAGGAGTGAGAGGGTGACGTGTAGGTAAGGTCGGATATTCTCGTCGCCGAATCGTCTCAACACAACGTCATGTGTGCGAGCTGCAAAATCCAGGGCGTCTAGAAATTTTTGTGTCGGAGCGGCGACAGTCTCAGCCCCTTCCATTGGGACGTCTGCGTCGTCGGCTCTACCTGATTTGATGGCTCTCATAATGGGATTGCTCTCGCTGCCGTATTCTAGAAGTGAGCAACCCAAGGCGATAGAAATGTAGTATGCGCTATCCAGCCAGCGACGAGTGTGACGTGCGATGTGATTGTCCAAGCTGTCGATGAACTCGTTGATAGACGATGCGAGTTGATCGGTGTTCTTGCACGAAAAGAGGATTGCATGAGCGCGTACAAAGGCTGCGTCGATGTCCTGCAGCCTCGTCTGTGTGCCGTTGAGATGCGGGTCGAACAGAGTCATGATTGACTCGCGAGCAGACAGGAAGGGAACTGGCACGCAGAGAGATTTGGTGTAGTAGAAAAGCTGCTGAAGAGCATTCGGACGAGCCAAAATAGCGAGGTGGTGGTAAAGACGACCCGTCTGAGGAGCCTTGTCACTAGCCTTTGAATACCAATGGCGCGAGACTGAGGTCCAGACCTCTCTATCCTTGAGATCATCATCTTCGATAGCCATGCTGTGATAAGAGTCAGTATGCAAGGAGCAAGGAGACTGGTAACAATGTCTTGTCTTGAGTTTACTGACCGATAGCGGCCCAAGTCGCCGAGGCATTCAATCCAAGTGTCTTCGAACGTTGGAACAGTCTCGTAAAGCAGAGCCATCATAGAGTACGCCAAATAAATGAACGTAAGCATATGTTCGAGTGAGGCGGGCAGACGATGACGCAAAAGCTCCAAGAATGAATGAATCCCATGCCTCCACATGCGTGCCGGCATTGCGTACTTGCTTGCGAGCCGTCGCAATGCCGGACTGGCCGAAGGATGCTGAGAGGCAAGGAAGAAATCGTGGTGTTCATGTAGCAAAGTTCGATGTAGAGCGATCAATGACTGCCACTGCTCATTATGGAGCTTGGGATTGGTCTCGTTATTTGAACTTTGAGCGTTGTCGACTTCGATACACTTCGACTCGACCATGACGAGCCCAGCGTAGATACCCTTCACCTCAGCAACAAGTTGTTCTTGGCTGATAGGGCGAGTTTCTAGCTGCTTGATGAGTACCTCAGCATTATCAAAGTCCGAGGGACGCGGGTGCTTGAACGACCGATTAGAGCCTGCTCGGGGGAGGTCTGCGCCATCTTTCTCTCTGGATCGCCTGGCATCGGTCCGCCGGGGACCAGACGCACCCTCCCCAGGGGTCCATAGCCTACCGGCCTGGTGCGCCGGGTCTCTTTGGAAATCACTATCTTCCGCTCGGCAAATACCAGAGTTTTGGTTTGGCTGTCTTGCACGGCTGCGCTTTAGTTGTGAAGACCTCTGATCGCTCTCCTTCCTTTTGTTCTTTTCCGAAGATGGGCTAATGGCCCCTTGCCTATCATGACTGGCCACAGAAGCATGGACACTCGGGTCGTCCTTGTCTATAGCTTGTTGTTTTGATGCACTTGGTTCGGGCGGAGTTTGCGGTGAGCTTGAAGACGGCGGCATTCGCTGGTGGCCTTTGATTCTAAGCAAGTAAACGTCAACATCGAAACAAGCGGCTCGGTGACCAACAGCATTACCGTAACCATGTCCTCTCTACTAAATCATTTTGGTCGCTGTCGTGCCTGTCATGTTCGCGGTCCATGAAATGAAGCTCCACTTCGCTTTTGGTGGGATTTATAGGAAACGTATGATCATTGCAGTATGTGCATTTTCGTAGGTTCGAGTCGTTGGCACGCTTGGGACTTCGCTTCGAAAGGTTGAGACCTATCCTACGCGAATTTCTTGTCATGTCTAATGTTTGCGCATGTGTTATGGCCAAAATCCGTGCAGGGAGAGAACGGGCGTGAGTGCTTCGGGCTAAAGTGATTTTCGAACGTGTTTTGGGCCGATCAGGTTCTGGAGACGAGAAACCAGCAATGGAACAAGAAGGCCCTAGATACCCTCTATGCCATGGAAACTTTGCTGTTCTGCTGGGGTGCAGTGCCGTTGGTCTGCGAGTAGTTAAGCACTGAAGCTCAAATCTCCAAGCAGAGGTTATTCGAATCCTTTATGACATCCTATATTGCGAGCCTTCCTGGGCGAAGGCAACGACGAGGCGGTTGACAGCGGGTGGGCGACCCATTCCGTCCTGTATTCACGCTCACACCCCCTGCGGAGCTCAAGGCACACTTGAAGCGTTTGTATGGACGCCTCGTATGCGGCTCTTCTCTGGCGAACCATGCCGTGGTTGAGATTTAGTTCCCCCTCCCTCTTTCGGTCTTTTGGATAGCACTCGCCTCAAGACTTGACCATGGGGTTGTTCAACGCTAAAGCAGAATATGATTCTGCCAAACAGAGGTCTACTTCTTTCGTGCTTGCCGTCATTGATGGTGACGGTGTCATCTCTCTAGAAATAGTGAGAAGGGTATCGAAGGAGATAATGGAGCCGGGTACCTCCTGCAGACAGCATTGAAGCCATTGAAGCCTCCGCCACGCCATCAACGCTGAAGCGAGAGTCGAGTGTTCCGAGGTGGTAGCGTCAAGAATGCCGATAAGCTCTATGATAGCTGAGCGTTGGATGTGCTACCATCCGGCGTCGTTGTGTCGCCAGCAAGCGTCTCTCGGCTTGTCCACGGCGCTGTACGCATATACTCCTCGGGTTACCCACCGCACTGTCTCTTCTCTCTTCGACCTGAGAGCATCTGTATGTGTTTCGCTATGCCGCGCTGTTGTTGCCTTGGTACATGTACGCTGCCAGTGTGATGCACGTCCTACGGCGTATGACTGGTCTGGCGCCTGGCATACACTTCGCTTCGACGAGGAGACGCTAGCCTTCCCGATTGTCAGGTTCCTGCAAAGTCCAAGGATCACCAGTGAAGAGCAACTTCATGGCAGCCTGCTAGGTTAGATGCCGTTTGGTTGGCGCTAAACTAACATCTGCCAATGTTGCAATATGTGGTGTGGTTTTGCGACGACAAACATCGTCAAGCAGATGTGATGGACCAATTAAGAAAAGCTGTGGGGCACGGAGGGATGAGGCGTTGGAGCTTGTTTACCGTGTACAGGTAGCTTTGATCATTGGTCAGTGCCCGACAGGCTTGTGGGTAGCGAAATCGTCGAGGTGGGCCCACCATGCTGGAAATGGTGTTGGGTCATACTGCGTAGGGCGAAACGATTTCGGACATACACCAGGAGTACATAGCATGGGTGCACACGGAGACACGCCTAGCACGCCCTGGTGTCAGCAGCCATCAGACACTGGGGCGTGCAAGAGTGCAGGGAATGGTACGTAGTGTGTAATCGAAGGGGCGTGCGTGGCCGCGGTTCTACTGTGCGCAACATAACCCCTGTACACACCCAACATTCTGGGCTCTGCCTGCAGCATACCAATCGAGCCATGCCCATTACGGATAGAGCAATGCCACATCCACCCATTCCCACCCCACCCCACCCGGCTGACAGGCAATACCCAAGTTGTGGGCCATTATTTTTCAGAGTCTTGATTACTTGATTCCGCCAAGTCCTGACAGAGAGCCCTCCGCCGCCGCGGTGCAAGCTGGTTTCGCCTAGCGAGAGCTGGAGTAATCAAACACGGTCATCGTCAATGCTGGCAGGGATCCCAGTGAGCAGTCCATCCCGAGTTCGCAAGCGTTTCTGTTTTGTGCCAATCCATCCTTGTTGGTGCCAACGCCATTGTCAAGATGACCGTCTGCGGATAACTCTGAACGGCCCTTTCAACAGAACACGATGCTTCATCCCCGCTGTGCCTCGAAGCTGGGATACCGGCCTTGATCAGCCTAGGGAGACTTTGCTCCATGATGCTACATAGGGCGATGACAACTACGAAACTAGCAACTCTAGTTTATGCTGGGCAGGCCATGACAAGGCTCACAATTAGCACCTTTCCCGAGAAAGAGGGGAATGAATGTTAGGCTGTACTCTGATCAGCCGCCGCGTCGTGAGAGATTGTAACGGATCAATGCGTTACCTGGCAGAACAACGGACGAACAAACACGCGACATACGGAGGTAGGTGGGTTTCCGTTTATTCGCACACAGCATGCCCGGTGCTTGAGTCAAGTGGCGGGACTGCGGGCGTTGGGCTAACTCAGAACGCGCCCGCCTTGCCACCACTTTCTGACGACAGAGGGTCGAGGCTTCGGGCCTCCCTCAGGGATACGGCGTGAAAAGCGCGCGCACTCGGGCACGGCACCGGCATGACATCTTCGAGAGCTGGGATCCGAGCCTTGGTAGCGAGTGCGCCTAGCCGCAAGCGTCCCAGTTGGGCTCGTTGGCGACGCAGACAGTTCTTGGAGATATACTGAAGAGTACTTTCGTCCATGGAGGGCTTCTCTCTAAGTGTGCGAGCGACCAGCACGCTGTGAGATCAATGTCGTCTTTCTCTGACTTGGTCGTTGTACCGTAATTACAAGGGACAGGGTCCCTAGCAGCTATAGACAGCTGTCCTGATATCTTCTCTCGCCGTCCTGGATCCATCCACCCATCCTCCTATTCTGGCCGCATACCATAGCCACGCTTGTAGAGATCCTCCTGGCCTTCCGCGTCTGGTCACGTCTCCTCGTTCACTTGATGAACAAGGCACGCCATAGGTCACAGGACAAGCATTGCAACCCTTCATTTTCAGCAGAGACTCTCAATCGATGTGTCCTCTCTCCGCCTTTGCAATAGCCCCCGAGCTGGCCCGTTGCCGTTGATCGTAATAGCCTACGATGTGTGGCTCTCTGGAGTCTTACACATTAAATTTCACCACCGTCACTGTGACAGCTGGTTCTCGGTCCGTGGAGAAGCACGCGGGCACACATCTGATAAAGGACCGGGGCACGGCAGCCAGACAAGTCCACCCTTCCCGGTCACTATCTTGTAAAAGCATAAGCGCTCGTCTCGCCTTTTTGCTAATTCCCTCGTCTTGCCCTCAGTTCATTTCTTTCCAGCAGAGTAACTCTCTCCGACAAAGCATACTCAATCGATCTAGACTTCTCAGCTTCAGTCCCCATCGCTGAAACTTCTTCTGGTGCTCTCCATCGACACACAGCCATTGAGGCTTGGCTGTCTGTCAGTTTCGACTTCGTTCAGGAACTCAGCCGCAGGCCAACGACCAGTACCAAATGCTACCCCTCGTCAAGCTTTGCTTCAAAAAGAACATCGCCGTTCAACGCCGAGTGTCTTGCCCTTTTCAGACCAAGTCGATTGGTCCAAAGCATCATCATTCTGACGCAGCACGGCTTCTATAGGTGGAGAGACCGTCAATAATCGAATATGCACCGAGTCTCCCGTCAAGGTCATTGCGCCCAGTTGTATGCGTCTTCTGCGATTCCTGACAGAGTCAAACCGTCACCAAGCCTTCCCACAGTGGCATCATGGTTTTGCCACCCAATGAATCAGACCCCGACGACTGGCTCACTTCACATTTCGTTCATTCCCAACGACGACACTGGTGCACCTGACATCGGGGCTGGACACGAGTGTGAGTTTCGCGACTCGACAACATTAGAGCCTCTCACTGTGCAAGAAGGAGACAGTAAAGTCGGCAACAAGCGGGAGCGAGCGAGGAGTCTCGAAGACACGACGCTCTCCGATGAGATCACAGTCACTGAGTTTGATCAGAATATTATTTCGGCACCCTATCTCACTGTTGACGTTTGGCACCAACTCTTTGACCTCTATCAATTGCACTTCGCCACCGAACTCTCGTTTTTGCATCTCCCAACTCTCAAGGGCATCATTCACGACAAAGACAACGAGAAGCCGTCAAACGAATCGAATCTGGCCCTATTGGGCATTCTGGCTCTCACTGCAAGATTTCATCCCGACTTGATCGAACATGTCGCACACATTACACACCACAAGATCGCGGGCCCAAGGTTTTGCGGTGCTCTACACAGGCTGCAGCCATCAGTAGCATCAGAGTACTTCGCAAATGCTCTTACAAAGGCACTGGGAGAAGTCGAATCAGCCATAACATCGGCTACTGTCGTTCGAGTCCAAGCTTTTCTCATGCTTAGCTTGTATAAATGGAGTCGGCCGGATGGCGGCCTGGCTGCATGGATGTACGTTGACCTCGCCACGCGGATGGCTCAAATTATGAAACTCGGATCTGCACAAGTGCCCTCGCGTTGTTGGCAAGACCAGGAGTCGAGGCGCCGCACTATGTTCAGTTGCTTCATCCTCTGTCAGCTTGTATGTTGCGCATCTGGCCGAGTACCCGCTATTCAAGCTCACGACCTTCCAAAGCAGCTGCCGTGCAGCGACGAAGCCTTCAACTTGGGTGGCAGCATTCTCATTCGAACACCGCGGCCTGTGGGACAAGGAATCGAGGAAGTATTCGAAGATAGCGTTCTCGGCCGATTCGTCGACCTGATCAAAGTCTGGGGCGACATCTCCAAATACAGCATTTTGGGCGGACGCGACACTGGAAAGGAAGAAGGGACGCCGCCATGGGACGAAAAGTCGACCTTCTACCAGCTCAGTCAGGAGATAGACACCTTCTACACAGGACTTCCGGAATGCTTCACATGGTCCACCTCGAACTTCTGGAGACACTCTAACAGCATATACGTGTCATTTAATATGCTGGCTGCTCTCTGCAGAATCGTGCTGCATCGCGAATATATCCCCTTTATCGCCATCAACTGCGCCAGGCCGATGGGCCCGATGGCGGAGCTCGGATTTGACCCTGGCGCTGCTCCCGATGGCCATTGGAAGCGAAGCGCAGAGCAGATCTTTAAGGCTAGTAGGGAAATCGTCGACCTTATTACGTTATGTCGGGACAGACTGCCCTATTCGTCGTTGGTCTTATTCGCCATCAGGCAAGCAGCCTTTGTCGAGATATACGCAGCGCACTATCCCCATATGGATACTCAGAATCACATGTTCAGTGAGCAGGAAGTCGGAAGGCGGAATTCGAGACCGATGTCCGACAACTGGCAGCCAACCACCACTACTTACCAGGCACTGACAAAGGCTACACCTTACTTCAGCCTGGCGTCCAATTATGTCATATACCTGAAAAGCATAGATCAGTGTCTCACTCGAATCAACTCCGACTATAGAGATGGAGGTTCTAGGCAGAGTAGAGATGATCCTTTGGGCATTCGACGAGATGGGCGTGGCGGCGATTGGGACGGGCGAGGGGATCCCCGGCCAATTCACCAGCAAGCCGGCTCCCATGACTCCTCGACTCATGGCTTTTCACCGACAGTCGGCTCACCACAAAACGAAGTGGAAATGGCTAGCAAGAACGCAAACGAATTGAAGCCTGACGTCTATGTACGATACCAACAGGGCCGGCGGTTGAGCATTATGTTCGATGACATTTTTGAGTTTGCTACCGGAGGCAAAGGCTGCACGCCGAACTTGGGATCGCGGAACACATTCAATCCCCCATTCTGTTGGGGCAGTGATCCGTATCCAGGACTGTCATCCAATGAATCGCAGCCTTATGGGAGGGTGTGACGACGAATTCCGTTGCCTGGTAGGACAAAGAAGAAGAATTGACTCGGAAAAAGCTCGGCACGGATGACAAGCACGGCGACTACACAGGCGTCCCCCGCGAACTACCATCTATTGCCGAAGCGAAGCACCCTTCTGGACTTGTCGATCCTAGCGATCAATTCTACGATGTGATCGAGTCGAGCCCGTCCCGCTCAACTTGAAGGAGACCAGGTGTGATACATACGGATAGGATGCTACTCAGAGACAGCAAAGCAGCCCAGAGTGGCATAGAAGCTTCCAAGGATCTTACTTCTCACATACGCTCGGACTAGCATGTCCATAGGTCTGTCGGAATACTCATGCTACTCCAATGCCGTGCTTTTTGGCGATGAGGAAACAAGTTGGAATTCGGATCTCGAAACCAAAGTCCGTATGGCCTTCGAGACGCCGCAACAGACTTGAAAGGTTCATCAACTCGTGTGGTCGCGTCGACATAAGTAGGTCTCGAGAATTACCCATGAGAGGGTCTCGGCACCAGAAAGCGCGGCCTAGTATTTTTCAGCGCGCGTTCAAGGAGGACTATTAGGCACATACCAAGGGCATGCTTGAAACGCTGGCAAGAAGTGTTGCCAATAGACACACTGTGTAGTAAATACAGAGCATGAGGCAGAAGTGGCTGAGCCTTGAGAACCGATATGGTCTCGATGAAAGTAGGTATGAGACCAGCGCGCCGCTAATGAGAGCAAACGGACGGATCAATCGCAAGTACGATGGATACCGAGCCGCCAGGTGCATCGCCAGCGACAGCACCCTGCTTCCGAGAACGATCCTGCAGGCGGTCCGACTAGCCAGCTCGATCTGAGAACACATCAGTAAGGTCAATTTCGAGTCCGGGTCTAGAGGGGGTTGCAGAAGAATGGACTTGAATTGAGCTCACATATTTGCCCATCGTAACAATGATCCTGAATGGAGCCCACATGAGAGTTGGGATCGAAACACACAGGGCCAGAATAGCCACAAACATGACTGCAGTCTTAAGGACGGCTCACGATGTGGAATGTGATCAGCGGGCTGGGCAAGGGTTCGGGGAAAGCAGAAACTTTTGCAAAAAGGGGCCGCCGGGCATGGAGGTAGTGGCGCGGTCACTTGTACTCGCAGCAGCCTATCCCGTCAATTGGAAATTGATGGTGAGAGTAGTGTCGTTAAACAATTGTTCATATGCATGCGTTGGGCCGGCTTGACTTCGTCTAGGCCATCCCATACGGGTGGAATCTAGCTTGACCCGTGTACGGGGTGCTTCATCATAGGAATTCGACGCTTCGCACGTAAAGGCGCATGTTTGTATCTGCGGACAGCGTGAGCTCATTCCAACATTCCAAGGCAGCGCCAGCTTCTACCCGGTTTGGAGCAGCGGCCCCTGCATCTTGCCGACCGTCACAACCGGGCAGACCGCCAACTTGTTGGAGGACTGCGCTCGCCAACTTTGGGGTGTCGTCGAAATGGCCTATGATCCGCGCGCCAGTGACTAGCGCTATCTGAAAGGTAATTCGTGCTCCTAATTGATTAGTGGAATGTAGACCGACCCCGCCATGTCTGTGTCCTCGGACCCCTTACGAACGGGCTGACAAGGAAGTGTGCACACGCCACCACCACCATCCGCGTTCACGCCCGGAATCCTCAGGGATGCTGCAGCACACCCCCAGGCCCAGTATGCCACACACGCTAGCGTCGTATGGCGACGAACCGGGGTGGCTGGTGGGTATGGTTGGGTACTCGCCCACCCCTGCTTCGGTACGTCGTTTCCTGCCATCCGCCGAGCAGTGCGAGAGGCACGCGATAGACTTCATCCAACAGGACTCCAGTGAGAGCACCTGCGCTTCTCGTCGGCAATGGAGCACTTCACTCATCTCTTCCGGTCGCCCATCGCTCTCGCATCTTCCCCTTGCCAAGCTATGCTGCCCGCAGCGACTCTGACCGCCCCATTCCGCTTCTGCATCGGGTTCGATCAGGGATATGGAGTGGACAGACTCGAATGACACAGGCTGACTGTATTGCTGCGCTGTTCTGACCAGATCGCCCTCGAATACCTGCTCTCGGAAGGCACGATGGCTTGTATTTCTTCTCCTCTTGCCTCCTCTACCTCGTGGGCGAGCGCCGAAGGCCATGGCCTAACAGGTCTCACGAGGTACATCCTCGACACCATCCTGGCAAAGACAACATTTCCCCTTTCTCCCACGCACACTCCTTTCTTTGGTTTATCTTTATGATGTGTCAGATACCCGACAGATTTCAGTTTTCAGTTTGCAAGGCTTGCTTTTTTTTCCCCCCAGCTTCAAGAGAAACGGGGGGAAAAGATAAAAATGGGAACATCGACGCTCATGGTCCCATTTCGACCCCCCTCACGACAATGTTTAGTGCGGTTCATCCAAGCCTGCATCCCTCGCCGGTTGTCCTCCATTTGTGTTTGCACTTCTTTTCGTCCTCAGCAACATTTTGGCCTGGATCACCGACTTGCCCGTCATTGCCCAGGGACTATTACGAGACCCTCGACAAACTTTAAACAGGTGTTAAAATCCGTCTTGACTTCCCGGTGCACCTTATGTCTCGACAACAGGTCAACAGCCCTGCCGTGGAAAGCATGGACGCTTCTCAGCACCAACTCAACAGTCTTGACACTATCTCATCCTCCTATCCGTCGCCCTTCGCCGAGACGCCTCACTATGTCCAGCATGCCACCTTCTCGCTGTCTCACCAGATGTCGACGCCGTCGCAACCGCAGACATCCGCGGCCTCGTATGACATGTACGAAAGCAGCCCTTCCGGTCCCCCTACTCCTCCCAACACTCCACGCTCCCAGGACGACACGCAGCAGCAGCTTCACGGTCATCACCACCAGATGACCCAATTTCCCCCCCTGACCCAGGCGTATGGTACTCAATCTATGCAGCCCCAGATCACGATGGCTCTTTCCAGTCCTCAGCCCATCGCGCTTGCCTCGGCGTCTGGTGCTCATGGCAGATTCTCTTGCCCTCACCGGACCAAGACCTACTTTCACGTGAAGGACCTGAAGCGCCATCTGCCGCTCCGTGAGTGATAACCCACTAACCCACGTAGCTTATTCCCTAGCTGACACAAATGCTCAATAGACACAGGTGACCGTCCCTACGAGCGTGTGCTTTGTCACGATACTTCCTCGCGAAAGAACACTCTCAAGCGTCGCTCCCAGAAGCGCTCCATTCGCCGAAGTAATCCAACTGGTGCTAGTCACTTATCTCACCCTCCAGCTCATGTCAAGAAAGGCGCTGCTTGGAAACGACGGTCACCAAGAAATAGAGTGTTTGAGAAGATTTCTCATGGATATCGCTGGTAGTGCGAGCATGAAACGTTATTGCCTCTGGATCCGGAATGCCCCATGCAAGTCAGCAGAGAGAGCTTCTTCTGGTGGCGGCGGTGGTGGAGGGTCAAACACACATGTAAAGGCACGAGCATACGCTGCTTAGTGCGGAATTTGAGAATATGAATCGCATCGGTAAGATCCTCTTCTGTGCCATTCTCGACGATGGCCACCGGATCACCTCGCTGGTACTCTTGGTCGTCGGGAGATCGCCCGTCCTGGACAAGCGTGCCATGCGCAGGCTGCATGTTTGCGTTGACTGGATCGCTATCTAGGGGCGGAATATTCGACATGGTCTTACAAAGAAGACTACTAGTCTAGCGAAAAGGAGGAAGAAGTGGCAAGGCAGCAAGGCAAATAGCAACACTACTACGAGGATTAATAGTTTTCGGCGTGGGTACAGAATACCGTAGGCACGAATAAACGTGGCGTCGATTCCTTATTTCTACGTAGGAGTGCCATCTAGGCGTTAGTTAAATAGAGTCATGATCAATTCCCGCGCAGACTAGAATGGGGTCTGGATACAAAGAGACCTTTTGTAATAGCATAGTTGCTGCAAAGCGTCTAGACGGGCTAGAATGGCAAGATAATGATACAGCCGGCCTTTAGTTTAAGCCTTACCGCTAGCTATTGAGGATTAATGCCATGAAACGGATGTCTATACTTCGCGGGCCTTGAGGCAATGGCCATCACACGCAGCCGTTAGCGTAGAATCTCTATTACAGAGCAGGTACTTCGCCAGTTTATTACTATATTACCGATTTATTTAATCTAGATGTGCTTAAAAGCCGGCATAGTATTATGTAAGAGAGCTACTATAGAGTACGCCTAATAGATGAATGCTGGTATATATTCAAGCGAAGCGGGTAGACGATAGTGCAGTAGCTCTAAGAAGTTATAAAATATATACCTCTATATACGCTCCGGTAGAGAGTATTTGCTAGCAAGCCGTTACAAGGCTTCGCTGGCTGAGGGGTACTAAGAGGTAAGGAGGAAATTGGTGTTCTTGTAATAGCGTCTAATATAGACCTATTAAGGGCTGCTACTATTCGTAAGTAAGCTTAAAGTTCGTTTCGTTATTTAATTCCTAAGCATTATCCGCTTTAATGCATTAGTTCTCAGTTAGGATAAGCCCGGCGTAAATGCCCTTCCTATTGCTACTAATCGTTCTTGACTGACGGGACGAGTATCAAGTTGTCTAACCATTACCTTGGCATTGTTAAACTCGGCAGGACGGAACTCAAACTTGCGGCGGGATACGGACCCCCTCGGACGGTACGTGGGAGTTGGCTTCGTTAGCTGTAGCCCCTTATCTGAATGCCATTTTCTCTCAGGCGCCGCATTCTTGGGAGGTGGTGTGGCGGGACTGCGCTTCGTCTCGTCAAACGCTACACGTTTTCGCTCTAGAACAAAATCAGAGGATAAATGCGAAGATGCCGTATTCTGATCGGCATTGAGATTGGACTTCGATTGCGTATCGTCCTGCTGTTGGTCGGACGTCTGTGAATTCCGGCGAGCATCGTGTTGGGGATCTGTCGAAGCTGCAAGACAAGGAGTTCAACATGATCAAAGGGGATTTGGGAAAAGTCGGGGGTGTTGCCTCTGATTTTTCCATCCAGGCCGTTGTCTCGGCCAACACCTTGGGACATGACGGTGCAACCCATCATGGCCGACTTGATGACCATAAATCGGGGGCTAGGGACATCTACACTGCTTCGATCTTCAACGAAGAGACTTTCTCCCGACAGGGGCTTAGTCTATCAGCTCTCAAAAGAATCTTCAACGGACATTCCAAAGAGGTCACAGGGAAGAAGCCCAAGATGGACCAAATGTACGGTGGAAAGGCTATATACGGATCGGTTGAGCTTCTCTCAGAAATGGTTCTGGATTACCACCCCTGACAATAATTGGTCGTGCTTTGGAGGTTAGATCCCGCGAACGGTCAATTTACCGCCCGACTCGCGATGTCGAGATTTTCTGCGTGGCTAGAGGACGCCAAATGTTCTTCTTTCTGGGCGAAATAGCTGCAAACCTCAGTTTATAGGGTGCGGACGGCCGCGGCACCCTCCTACACAGTTGTTGGAGAGCAGACCGGGAGCCGTCCGCATCGCTATATACCACGGACACCAGGTTTCCTAGCCGCTGAAAGTGAAGAAAGGACTGCTGGATGAGTTCTGCAGAAACAGTCTGAGACCTATTCGTGTACGAGCATGATTCATAACATGGAATGCGTTTTCGTTGCCGCCTACGACGACATGGCTGAGACAGCAAGCAGGCTTGAAGACAGACCTTGATCTGGGATCAGGCGGACCAGTATGCGTGAATATGGGTATCCAGCCCGGGGCTTGACTGATTTGATTGACTGCTGTCTTGGCTAACAGACATGCCTTTGTCAAATATGACGCAGCCGGGATACCCTGCAATATCACCAAAAATACGATCTCGGCGCTGAAAAGCACAGCCTGGCCTTCCTCTTAGCGCACGTTTTGAGAAGATAAAGGAGCGCATACCATGGACATATCAGAAATGTTCGAGATGCCGGCCACCACTGCTACAGTAGCGCACAGTGCGTAGGAGACAGCGAGGACAGGATCGAAGTGGTCATCCTTCGCATCAAGCCTTGATGTTCTAAGTGGTCTTGAACATCGCGAAAGGAGGCGTGGAACGAGCGCACCGCCAGCGAGGGTGAACAAGCGGATCAATGGCTGGTAGGAGGGACACCAAGTCGCCGAACGCATTGACGACGCCAGCACCACGCCTCCAAATATGACCATGCAGGTAGCGCGAACAGCCAATGTACTCTGAGAGCAGGTCAGCATGGTCTGTCTTGAGTCTGTGTCCAGACAGGTTTGCAGATGGAAGTACCTCAGTTGCGCTCACGCATTTGACCCTCGTAGCAATGATCCCGAGCAGAGCCCACACAAGGGTCGTAATCGCAACGCACAAAGCCAGAATGGCTACGAACATAGCTGCAGTCCTTTGGATGAACCACGACGAGGAGCAAGAATCGCGGACTGGGCAGGTATTCGGGACAGCCAAGAACTCTGCTAGGCCATCGCGCATCTAAGCAGTGGCGCGGTCACTCGGACATAGGTGGATTCATGAACAGGGCGATCGTCTGCAGTGATTCCACGCATCGCACCTAAAGGCACATGTTGCGCAAGGCAGTGCCAGCTCTACCGCTTGGGAGCAGCAGCCCCGCAGAAGCATCCGCGCCTCGCTGGTTGTCAGACCTTGGCAGATGACCAACTGGCCGAAGGGCTGATGATCGTGCGTCGGCGGGGTTCCATCGGAACCCAGGAAGACAAGAGAACGGGCAACACCTCTTATCTGCATGGCTGTCATGCCCAGCTGGCCGTTGCCATCAACCCCGAGTCTTGCTCATCGTGCTTGTCACCTCAGCGCGCTCGCCAATTTGATGTGTCGTCGCCATGGCCAATGATCCGCGCGCTATAGGAAGTAGCGTTGTCTGGAAGGCCATTCGTACTTCATACTAGGCCCTTGTCAGATAGTTGGAGTGATACGCCGACACCAGTCGTGTTAGTGTCCCTGCCCTGGAAAGAAGGCCAAGGGGGTGGGTGTTTGCACGGCGTTACCACCACCATCATTCGCGCCAACGCCCATCTGTGCAGGGATGCTTCGAGTTTGTCTCCCGCTAGCGTCGTATGGCGACGAACCAAGGTGGCTGGTCGTCACAGTCAGGTACTCGTCGTCCCCTGCGCCGGTACGCCGTTCTCCGCCATCCGCTGAGCAGTGCGAGCAGCCCGCCTTAGACTCCATCCAACAATACGCCCGATGAAACATCTACGCTTTTCGTCGGTGATGGGAGCATCAGTTTTTTGTTCCGGTCACCAATCCGGAAACCACTTTGTCATCCTTGTCTTGTCGGCCTGTGCTGTCCGTAGACACCTCTGTGCCCCCATTGAACGCCAGAAGAGCAGATCCACTACCGGGCAGACTGTACGGACCGAGACCTGGTTCTCGGGCTAGTGCTGGATTGGCCATCGCTCGATAATTCCTTCACCATTTATCTCCGTCACCACCCTAGCAAGGTCGAGGTTTCCTTTCTCAAGCACACGCTTCATAATCCCCCTTATCAGACACTTGGCAGTCTTGTTTTCTGCGCGAAGAAAACCGCGAAGAGAATTGTGGAACCAAGAAGCATCCGTCCATATAAGTTCTTTTCCCAGTCCTCCCTGGAAGAACTTCTCACGGGATTAATTGTAGCCTTATTTCATCATCACAGAATATCCGCTCTTCGTCTGACAAAAAGCTTATCCTGAATAAGTTTCCAACTGGGCTTCACCAGATACCTGGAGCATATCTTGCTTTCCACCTGGCAGCGACATCTTCAACTGGACCAACGACGTGACTATTTTCGTCGCTCGGTAATACACGACACTCCCAACGATCCCGTACAGACGTAAGAACGCGTCTTGATCTCGCAGCAAGCAAGCTGTGCTGCGGGGCTTTGTCTCGACAAAAATCCGACAGGCCTACTGCGGACAGCATGGACGCTCCTCAGTACCTTACCGATGGTATAGACACGAACTCTGTCTCTTACCCGTCGCGTCCCGCCATCATACCTTGTCAACCTCAGCAAACCAAACGTCTGCTGCCTCACCAGACTCTGCCGCCTCTGCAGCCGCAAACCCTCGCCGCCATAGACCCGATGAACCGCAGTAACCCCCACACTCCTAGCACTTCCGCGATTCCCAGCACGCCGGATTCCCAGACCGACATGATGCCGTTCCAGCATCAGCAGCAGCCGCCTTACAATCCTTACCAGCACATAGGCGAGCGCCCTCCCCTGCTCCAGACGTACGACACTCAGTCCATGCTGCCCCTGACCACGATGGGCACTTCTCACCTTCAGCCCATCGCGCCTGCCCCGGCGTCTAGACATGTTTCTTCTGTTCTGCATTCTATGCCCGCTAATATTGCCAGGCCTCGGTCTGGGATGACCTCTCCCCGCGGCACTGGCTGTGTCATGTCCGGTGGTATGGATGATGTCGATCAGACTAAACATGTCATCGGCTCTTCTAGTCGCCGTGGAGCTCTCACCGGCGCTTCTGGCGGACCTACCGCTACTCCTGCTGGCACTGGCAACACCAAGAGCACTGTGATACCAGTCAAAGCTAACGGCAAGATCCCTGACCCTCACTACGACAAAACCTACTCGCAAGCGAAGCGCCAGAAGAGTCACCTTGTACACCGTGAGTAATGACTCGCTAAGCCGCGCATCTTATTGCCTTGCTGACAAAGTTGATCTCTAGACACGGGCGGCCACTTGTATGAACGGCGTGACAACATGACTTCGCGTAAAGACAAGATGTTCTCGAACGGCGAGCCCAACTCAGACCAGCTATCAAGCCTTGATCGGACTCGGATCTGCCAGGCTGGATCGCAACAGGCCCGTGAGAATCATACTCAATCTTCTCTTGGACGTCCCGTACAGACACTGATCGCACCCGACCCGGTCCCTACTACTGGCGTCCAGTGTTCAAGTGGACCCTCTGGCCCCTTGGACCACCGCGATTCCCTTTTCTTTTCGACTTGGAACGTGCCGCAATCGATCGAAGATCCTTTTGCACTCCTTTCCGACCGGATCCTCAGCTTCCTCTATTCTGCAGATTCCCCGATAACCAACGAACGCACCAGCTTCAACCAGTACTTCTCCGCTGGGAATGTTCGCACCCTACTGGAAAAGTACACTGAAGTCAGTGTCAGATGGCCTATTCTCCATACATCCGCGTTCTGTATCGTGGATGCCTACACTGGCTTGTTGGTGGGCATGTGCTGCTTGGGTGCCCACTACTCTGCCCTTATCCAACCACATCACGTGCGCGACCTAACAAATTTCCTTGGGTCCGAGCTAGCTCGTGATCTGGTGCCCTCAGCTGACTTGGTGAGCAAACAACAGAGTTGCGACGCTGGCGCAAATACCTCGAAGGACAGTCACCCCTACCTGGAGAAACTTCAGGCTCTAGCCATGCTACAGATTCTGGTGGCCTTACAAAGCACACCTCAGCATCGGACTTCAATAGCTGTGACGAAGTACACTGATTATCTTTGGCGGCTCAACGTTGAACCTGGCATGCCTGATTCATAACACTGCGCAGGAGCATCTATAACTCCACCGTAACTCCGCTGTTAAGGGCTACCCTGGTGCCCAATCTCAAATAGACATGTGGAAATTTGACGAGGCGATACGAATCTGCAGGTAAAGTGCCGTCATGGAGGGTCACATGATTGATGCACCTACTAAAGTCGATGAAGACGTGAGCTGTGTCAAACGGGCGTTTCAAGACGAGGATATGGGATTGTTGGGACAGTTATATGTGGATAAAGTTAGAGCGTCAAGCCTGACGCTCACCGTCATTCGACCCTCTTCCGGTGTCAGTGAACCATTCAGGCATACCTGTTGTATGAGCTGATATCTACAGAGGGAGAGGGCGGCCATTTCGGAAAGATAGAAAACAAACTGATTGCATTAGAGTAAGAGTTTGTCTTTCGATTCATTTTCCATTTTTTTCTATATTCTTTCCTTCCTGGCTCATTCAATCACTATCACGGTTTATTGTGGAAAATTGATACGATTACCTCGTGTGTCAAAGCCGATCTGACAGTGTCTACTTCTAATGTAATACGTCTTGGACGGGGAATTGATATAGCGTTAGATTGCCATTATATAGAACTTGATGCTCCTTGGTGATACATGCATTATTACTCATTTAGACTTGTTGACCACCGTAATTGTGATCTTTAGGCCCAAGCCAGTGTTTCTCCTCGGCCAACTCGTCGAAGTAAAGGACGGCGCCTCCTTAGGCTAGAACCACGATGACAAAGCCTAAACGGTCCCTCAAAGCTTTCATTTGCTCCACTATTGGCGAGGATAGGTGGTTTTGACTGCGTGTTCATGTCGGAAATCGTAGGAGAATGTGAAAGGGGAAGGTATATCATCCAGCACCCTGGACGAAGGCGTCGGGAAAGTCATAAGAACATCCTGATCCCAGACTAAAAAAAAAAAAAAAGCCGATACCAGGGGGTTTCAGTAGCTGAGAAGCGGAAGAGGCCGGCTAGATGTGTGTTGGGCCGTGGAGACATCCTCGCTCACAACAGCTTTACCTTCCTGAAACCACATCATCAATCATGTCCACTGAGAGCCAAAACATTCCACAGGACCCCTGGCTAAAAACGAGGGAGAACAGGCAAAGAAGGGTGAGCAAGCAGCGATAGCCATTAAAGATGGGCATACACTCAATCCGGAGGCCGACGGCACAGTGGTTAATAACAAACCAAGTTTCCACCCTCCCCAGCCTGTGTCGCGGGCACGTGAGCGTTAGAATAATTGCTGTTGTTTAAGATAGCCACACTCCACCTCGTTTGACTTTTAGATTCCACATCCTTGGTTTTCTCGTTTTGCCCTTAGAAATTTCCAGCAGGTCAACTCTCTTCATCCCCACATAAATGATCGACCTCGACTTCTCGGCGCCAACGACTATCGCTAGAGCTTGTGCTCTTCATCTCCAGAAAGTAAAAAGAAGTCGTTTGTTCAACTATGAGCCCTTTGGCTATCTGGCAATTTTAGTCACGCTTAGAAACTTAACGTGTATTCCTTTACCTCGACAGATAGTGGCCATCACCCTCCAGCTCTGCGCATCTTACCCTCTCTATCATTCATGCGCCCCGTCGCTTGCTCCCCTTGCTGGCTCCACGGGTCCATAGCAGACCCAACCGTCACAATTTCTTCTCAACTATGCATCAAGTCTTTGCTGTCTCCTGCCTCGGACTCCGATGACGCACTCACAGCGCTCCCTACTCAGGCCACGCCAAAGGGAAGATGTTACAAACCCTTAACCCGACAGGAGAATACCTCTACAACTCTCGCCGTAGCAAAGCCGGCAAGCAAGCAAGCTCCGGAAATAGCCATACCTCAGGGTTCCATCGTGCCCGACGGCGATGACTCGAAGGCGACCTCGGCGAGAGGCTCAAGTGCTAAAAGACCCTCTAGAGCTATGCAGCCGCCGATGAGATCTAGCATAGCTTGTTTGAGATGCAGGAAATCCAAAACCAAATGCGACAACGACAACACCGGATCACCTTGCGACACATGCATCAAGGCAGGACATAATTGCGAGTTTCCTGATCCAAAGCCTCTTCCGGCGAAACGATCAAAGCCGCCGACTGTGCCAAGGCAGGTAGTGGAAGTCAGGCATGTCCGGAAGCGAGTGAAGAAGCTCGAAGATGCAACGTCCTCTGATGGACGTACTGTTGCTGCACTTGCTCAGGAAGTCCTTTCGGCAACCTATCTTACCGTCGAGTTATGGCATCAACTCTTCGACATTTTTAAGCTGCACTTCGCTACCGAACTCCCGTTTTTGCATCTCCCAACTCTCAAGAGCGTCTATCACAACAAGGAGAGCAAGAAGCCGTCGACCGAATCGAATCTTATCCTGCTGGGCATTTTGACTCTCACTGCAAGATTACATCCCGACTTGATCAAATATGCGGCACATCTCACACATGACAAGATCGCGGACCCCAAATCTCGCAGTACTCTATTCAAGTCGGAGCCGCCAATGGCCTCAGAGTACTTCTCAAACGCTCTGACAAAGGCACTGGGAGAACTAGAATCAGCTCTGACATCAGCTACTGTCGTCCGCGTTCAAGCTTTCCTCATGCTCGGCTTGCACAAATGGAGTCAGCCGAATGGCGGCTTGGCTGCATGGATGTATGTTGGCGTTGCCATACAGATGGCTCAAGGCTTGAGATTGGGGTTTGGAGACAAGCCTTTGGGCGGCAAGAGAACTCTGCCCTTGTCCCCTCGGTCAAGTAAATCTGCCCAACCACCCTCCGACCTTTGGAAAGATCAGGAGGTCAGGCGTCGTACCATGTTCAGTTGCTTGATACTGGATCGTCTCCTATCCTGCGGATCAGATCGGGTTTCTATGGTTCGGTCCGACGATCTTCAAATCCAGCTGCCATGCACTGAACACGCCTTCGACCTTGGCCGTGTCGTCTACACCGGATTTTTGCGGCAGGTGGGACATGGTATGGAGTCACCAATCGATGATAGCGTGTTGAGTCGACTCGTGCAACTAGTAGATTTCTGAGGCGATATTACAAAGTACAGTTTCGCGGGCGGCCGCCATACGGAATCCCTTCCGCCGTGGGACCAAGCGTCGACTTTCTATCAACTGATCAAAAAGGTAGACGCCTTTTACGCACACCTTCCGGAAGAGTTCACCTGGTCCAGCTCGAACTTTTGGAAACACGAGAGTAGCATATATGTATCGCTTCACATGCTGGGTGCCCTATGTAAAATCATGCTGCATCGCGAATACATCCCGTTCATCGCCATCAAATGTTCTGAGCCGGTCGGCCCCCTGGATGCGCCTGTATTTGACCGCGAAACTGTTCCCGACCACTTTTGGGAACGAAGCGCAGAGCAGGGTTTCAAAGCTGGAAGGGAAATCATCGACCTCATCTCGACATGCAGAGACAAACTTCCACATTTGTCACTGGTCATATTCGCGATTTGGCAAGCAGCGTTTGTGGGAATACATGCACGGCACTAGCCTCACATGGACACCCAAAATCACATGGCTGGCAAACAGGAGATCGAAGAACGGAATTCGGGAACCATGTCTGAGAACACGCAGACGGGGAACACCAGCATTGCTTTCCAAGCATTGACCAAGGCTGCACCTTACCAAAGCATGGCCTCTAACTACGTCACGTATCTCAAATACATTGATCAGTATCTCACCAAGGTCTACTCCGATTATACAATCGAGGTTCGAGGAAGAGCGGAGTCGGTTCTCTGACAATTCGACTGGGTGGAGGTGGCAACGGACTGAGAGAGTGGAGGTTGAAGGCCAATGGAATTCGGAAGCCATGAGAACATGCAGATGGGAAACACCAGCATCGCTTTCCAGGCATTGACCAAAGTTGCGCCTTACCAAAACATGGCCTCCGATTGCGCCACGCAACATAGATGAGTATCATCTCACCAGGGTCTCGTCGGAGCACACGTCGAAGGAGTCCCTGTCAGGCGTCATCGTTTACCGTCATCAACGCCGCCCTATCCCCCCCAGCAGGAGGCATTTCTCACCAGCCACCATCACAAAACTTCCCGCCAACGCCGGGGTTCCCGCCAGGCAAGGTCGCCATGTTTGATCTCATTGCCGAGACTGTCGATTTTGAATCCCATGTGCACCAGAACCAGGGTCAACGACTTGGCATCATGTTTGGGGACTTACAGAAGTTTGCCGCGGGAGGTATGTTTTACGCGCCCGACACTGGGGAGGAACGAGTGAACGAGGCGATGCCATACAACTGTTGCAAGTCGAGCATCAGTCAGACACCAGCGACGTTTTGCGCCTAGACAAGGGCTCGGTGGGGATATATCGCCTGGGGAACGTCTGATTGTAGTGATTGAATCAGTGATCGTAATATAAGACGCGATGAAGGCCCAATAAAGTCTTCCACGGCTTTACGTCGACGAAGATTTGTTTTGAATAATTAGAAGCAATATTGACGGAAATACCATTCAGCTAGGAGATGACTAAGCTACCTGAACACAGCACTTTTATCAACATGTATTTCAATATAAAGATTCAATGAAGGTACATGAATGTGCTAATGAACCGACAAAGGGGAAGATGGCCGTTCTTTCCAAAAACCAAGTCAAAACATCGTATCTCTGAACCCGCTCAGGAGTACTGGTACTAAGCCTGCGGCGGCGTTGCATTGTTCCAAGGATGGCCAACATCGAGCTCAAACTTGGGTAGCCTTCTCTGTTCTCTGAAGTATGCAACCACCGCGTCACCATTGGCCGTAGAGATGGCACATATTTGGCCGTCTACATCCACGCGCACAGTCTTGACGACCAAACTCAATAGCTCGTCGGGCCTGAAATTTGGCACGGATACGTTCTCAAACTTGCATCACCGTATCCGGACATGTGTGAGTGCTGCACCTTGTAGCATCGCGTAGCTCGGCTTGAACTTGTCGGTCAAGTGGATCAGGTGTTCTGTCGGGGATTCGGCGCGGAAATGGTCGCATAGCAAGTGAAAAACTGGAGGGCGGCTGCTTTGTAGGAGCTGCGAGCGTGTGGCCATATCCGCCGCTCGCAGGACCTACCCATCCTAGGCGCGCGGCTACAGCCTGCGACACGAGGCTTTGGCGCCGTTGGGTGGAAACAACAGCGATGGGATTCTCCTTCTTTAAGATTCTCGTCCGAGGACTTCTGCGGAGAGATGAAGATTCACCATGTCAGTGCTTCGGGTTGGATACAGGGTTGAAGGTCGAGCCGGACAGGACCAGCACATCGGCGGCATCGGTAGTCGAAGCCTCGGCATTGCTGGAGCCGTTTTCATCGTGATCGCCAAATGCGGGCCTCATTGTTGAGAGAAAGGCAGAGCCATTGGATTGAGTGAACTGGTCAGACTCCAGGGCACAACATGTATGGAGGTTCATAGTGACCTTCTGGAGGTCTCTTCCCTTAGCCAAGACTTCCACGTGACTCTTTCCTCCGTGGGCTTTGACAGTGATGCCATGCCCATTAGCTTGCAGCACCTTGTCCCGCAGCAGAGGTGTTTTCTTTTTGATCGGTGGTTGCCTTGAAGACCGCGTTAGTAAAGTGAGCAGCGTCGCTTGCGGGTACGGAGGACTGACACATTGTTTGCTCTTGCAAATTCGGACCAAATCGACGGGTAGCCGTGCTCGTGGAGACCTTCTACTCAACTGCTAAAACTGTCCAAGATAGCGTGGGTACAACTGACGATGGCACTGCAGGACAGCATGCAGAACGGTGATTGAGAAAGGAATTTACACAAGCGGTGGCGTCGAATGTCCGGTAACCAAAGTCGATGGGTGGGTCAGCCGTGGCACTGAGCCCGCCAAGGCGGTGTGCTGCTGCTGCCCGGTGAAGGCGAAATTATGGAATTGTTGACTTCACGATAGATCCGATGGCCAGCGTTTGATTAGCACCACTTCTGGTTGTTCTCAGGCCGCCCGGCAAGGTTACATTTCATCTGGGGGAAGTTCGTTTGAAAGACGCGCAGAAGCATTCGCTACCCCCCAACCCCCCCTTCCGGTTCGGATGGGTCTGGACTGCACTCTCTAGCCTGTCTCGCTCTGCAAGTGTGTCCCTTGGAAACGCCCACCACACTCTACGTGAGTATGCCAACATCTGCAGTGTGATGCCATGGCGGCTAGACCGGGACCAATCGATAGCTGGGGCAGGAGTGCCAGTATGGTGGAGCCAGCCTTGGATGATCTGCATTGGCCGGAGTTCGAGAGATGACACGGAGGGTATCTACCCATGTCTGATCTGCTGTGCGGCTACGATGAGCCTTAAACCTGTCGCCTTTCCAAAATTTCCAAAGAAAGACCGCATATGGCTGCAGGCTTTGGCTCGCTGGTGCGGCCGAGGGTACATCTCTTCGCTAGCACTGCAACATAGCGTAAGGGCTCCGCTGCCTCACACCCCAGACTCGCCCCTAGTCTGTTGCATCCGACCTTTCTACCTCGCTCAAGTGCCCATGGCCGTGATTCCTGCCATGTATCCTTTTGTACCGCAGTAGATGCGGGTGTTCTTCTCTTCGGCACCGCTCTACGCTCACACCCACCCCTCTCCATCTGATGAGCTATCCCTGCCAACTATGTCGGAACCGCGCCAGCGCAGGCCACGTCCTAGACTGGGTGGGCTGCAGACGAGCCGCGTCGGGCTTGTCGCGTCGTGCCAAGGTCTGCAGGGTGCCATTTCGAGCCTCGCCCTTTACCGACGGACGACGAGAGCAAGACCACCACTGTATAGGTAAGAAATGAGCGGCGTCTCTTCCAAGTTATTTTCCATGCTGTTCCCAGCTTACTTGGTCCAATCGCGGGGCACCCGACGTACACATCCATGTCCGGGATGTGGAGCGTCTCCTGGTAAAAGAGACCTTAGACCAGAATTTGCGCGGAAGGTTCATCCCAGTGCAGAATAGAGATCCAGAATGGCATCCAGCCGTCTAACAACCGCTGCAAGTACCAAGTGCACATGCGTGAACGCTTTGCACGGGTGTTGTCAGCCGCTCACTGAAACGAGCTCCTGAACGCGATGGGTGCGGCGGTGTTCACGGTCACTGCATTGATGTAGGAAGGATTGTCGCTCCACCGAGACTTGTACCATCCAACAATGTCTCTCCTTCACGAAATTCTCGATGGTCCGCCTTCCGTTGGTACTGTGTACAGTATAACAGGCTTTGCTGCATTAGGCATTCCAACGGCGCTGTTCTTTGACAGGACCTGCTGCTCGTCTCGTCTCCTTTAGCACTTCCAAAGCCGCTCCTTGATCCAGCTAACCGCGCGGCTCACCGCGCCCCTAACTCAAGGGTGATGACAGCAAGGTTGCTGCAGAATCTCGTACCAGGGCGAGTTGCCTTTGGAACCAACAAAGAACAAGCACTGGCACATTCTCTGCAATTTCCACCCTTTCCTCCCCCCCCCCCCCACAATTCTTGCTGCTATAACTAATTCACGTTGCCCAACTGGAAGGTCCGTGAACTTGACAGTGCCACGACTTACAACACGCATTTCCACACGAACAAATGGCAAATTGGCATTGTCCTAGTTGTCTTGCGCCATGCGCCGATCCAGGAACTCTTGTAGAGCACATTGAATCATCCCATCTCGTGGAACAGACTTTCACAGCCTCGAGACTATCGAACAAGAGGAAACGCCAACCATCAATTTCATATGATAGAGATCTCACCAATCAGGGGCCGAGGGGTGAGTTGGATTACATCTGCCCATATCCAAATTGCGGACATAGGAAAAAGTACTCGTCTAAAGCCAACCTGCTGCGTCATTTCTTCACCCGTGAGTTTATTCGACCTGATGTTTGACGATGGCTAATGTACGTGACAAATAGATTTTCCAGATCATGAGGTAGTAGACCTTCGATGTCCGTTCTGCCTCAAATCGAAGGGAGACCTAGGAGCACTTTCTGCACATTGGGAAAAATTCTGCAAAACGAAATACAGTACACGTCACCCAGTCAGTACAGACAAACGAGATCGACTCAACGTCTTCGAGAAGATGAAGGCAGAGTGTAGAGAGCATTTGACGGCAGCGTTAAATGAAAGACACCACGGCCAGCGCAAAAAGACTCATCACCAACAGATGACTTCACTGGAAAGTTTCGATGTGGGTAGCTTCATTCACATATCGGGAGTTTCCATCGACAACGCAGGGCAGGCGGGCCTTACTGCGAGTCCCCAGTCTGACAACAACCAGGGTGTGTTTTCAAATCTGCCAAAACATGAAGTTACATATACCTCACAGTCAACCTCTGACCAGCCTTTGACAATTGGTCGAAATGTGCGAAGCATCCACGACCCATGGACATGCAGCGATGGATGGTGCAGTTTGAATGACTTTGATCACGAGATTAATTTCGAAGGCGAGATGAGCACGAACGCAGATTCTGGATACGGGTCATGGCTACTCGACTACTCGATGCCGCTCTCGCAGCCATCCTAAACAGCTACTATGTAGTTTCCTGCAGCCATCGGTGCTTTACAACTTTTTCAATCGGTACTCTGCTCGTTGGATTCAGATCTGTCATTCCAGATAGCATGTCCTGTGCCTCGTGGCCAAGCTCCGCAGTCCAATGCACAGACCTTAAGCCAGGTTGTTGCTTCACCTCGTTCTCGGCTATCGCTGAAGCTCCCGCCAGGGCGTGACGCCAGTGTTCATCGCTAATCTGCTCGAACAACTCTTTGGGAGCTGGTCCGAAGAAGGAAAAGTGTCGCGTTAGTATCTCCTGCTCTGCAGTGTGGCCACTCTTTGTGACTTCTCGGTAGTCCTTAATGAGTAATAAATCACCAGCCCCAAGGACGTATAAACACTGTACAAACCTTAGCAAGAACCACTCTGAAGCCTTGGCTGCAGCTTACTCACCACTAGTCCAAATGAGAAAACGTCTGATGCCTTGCTCGATATGCCCGTCTGTCCTTCTGGACTCCGCCACATTGCGTTGCCTATTGCATGAGGTGTCTGACGTTGCAGTTCGCCTTGCAATTTATAAGCAATATCAAAATCGCCAAGGGCCACATCAATAACGGATTTGACCCCCTGAGCGTTGCAAGTCCAGTTGACTAGTACATTATCAGGCTTCACATCTGTTAAAACCGTTAATTCAACGCGTCACGTCTTGGCATCGAGGTTGTAAAGCCCATACCGCAGTGAATCCAACCTTTTGTATGAAGCTCCTGTATTGCTTCTCCTGTGCCTCGTAAAATCTTCTTGCGCTCCGTTATGGGCAAGCTATCCTCGCTGTCGTCATCCTGAATCAATGAAAGTAGGGTGCTTCGATAATACGGATAGATAAGGACACCTTCTTCCAGGTTGCAGTCAATATGCATTCGAAGCCGACGGGAGCTTGCAAACTCGGCAGCAAGACGGAGAGACAGATCGTAGAAAGTCCTGGGTACACGTTTGACGATGAAAGACTCGTGTTGGGACCTATGTAAACTGCATCAGTGGGACTTTTGAATCATGACACAAAGGCATCAATTCACGACGTACTCGGCTTTGAAGATGATTGGAATTTGGTCGTGACCACCGTACGATAGCACCTGTCTCATAACGTACGAGCGACCAGAACCCCCGATTACAGTGGACATCATCCTGATGTTTTGACCGTTGGCGAAACGATTGAAGCGTGCGCAGCCGCTGAATTGCTGAAGAAACATTGAGGTACAGTTTGAGTTGAATGACAGGAAGAAGGCGGTGTAATCTTGGTAAAGCCGTATTTCAAATGACACTTTCTTATATCAGCTGGGTTTCGGATATATATTAACCCGTCCGTAGTGGTCGATCGCTTCACCCTCCCTGGATTAATGGGGCCCAAACACGGCCTTTCGCATCGGCCAGCCCCTGTTCGTTGGCTGTCGTGCCCGCCAATCATGATCATCATTTCTCTTCACCACTTCTCTTCACCACTTCTCTTCACCACTTCTCTTCACCACTTCTCTTCACCACTTCTCTTCACCACTTCTCTTCACCACTTCTCTTCACCACTTCTCTTCACCACCTCTCTTCACTCGCATTCTTACCCGCATTCTTGATGCAGCTCACGTATTTAATGGCAGTGTTTTCCACTCACAAATACGACTATTTGGAACCATTCAGTCTCTTTTCATCATTCAGCTTTCAATTATTTCCAGTTTTCAAGATGGTCAACAAGGTTATCAGTAGTTCAACAATCAAAACCGTTATAAATGGCGGTCGATCCATCACTGTCAAGTACGCAACCCGAACTGACACCTGGACACGATACAGCCTTGCAGCGGACGTGCAAGAGAAGTTCAGTAAAGCGATGGAAACGGCAAACGTGCCTGCTGGTGCCACAACTGCTATCATGACGTGAGTCTTGGTCTTGTTTTTTCTTTCTTTCTTTTTTTGCATGTGCACGTCAGATATTGATATAAACTGTAGCGAAACCGAGCATCCCAGCCAGAAGGATTCCTATCCTCATTACACCACAGTGTTTCAGAATGAAAAAGGAGAGCATATCACGACTAAACATGTGTACCCTTGATCAAGGATGGTGCAGCCTCGTGGGGGAATAACTTGGATGAGAATGCGAATCATTGGGGAAAGGGGGAAAGTTCCACGTGCACGGCTGTATCGGTACTCAGCGTTTCTCTTAAGCTTGCCCTGCGGTTTTGTGTGTATTCAGTTCATTTGCTTTCCCGCTCCATTCAGGATTATTGAGGTGACATTCCAGTATTTCCTTGTCCCTGCGAGGCTCAAAGAGGTGGAGGTTCGTCCTGCACCCGATATGAATGGCGATGGGGATTATTGTATTTTCTATAGACCAGACAGCTTTCTCGGGTATTATTCTGCGATGGCAGTGCGATATTGCATAGTAATTTTTGTCAGGAAGTTGTTTGCCTGTCCTGGTTCAGTGTTCCTGCGACTCTTGAGAATTAATGCCTCCAGCGTCCAATATGGCATTCAGGTTCCTAATTAGGTTACTGAAATCATTGTTGCTCACGGGATGTGTACGAGTGTTTGCTTGTCTAGACAACAACCCGACCTCCAAGCTAGTTGTACTATCTACGGAACTACTCTCAAGAAAAAGTAGATTTTGCTTGGAATGATTCTTTACGAGCGGACCAGGTGATACAGCAACAAACGGAAGACTCTCGAAGACAGCTCATGGCAGAAGAAAAGGGATTGCGAGAAAGTGCATTCATAAAGAGCAACCAACGCGACGTTGTAGTAACACTGGTTCTGTGTAGACGGTTCAAGTCTGAGTGATCCTTGGACCAGTCGACAAACTACGGCTGTTTTGTAGACGTCTTACTTGAAAATATTTCCCAAATCTCAGCCCTCTGTTTCAAGCATGTACTTCTTGCATCGACGATGAGCCCAGATCCTGAATACCCTTAGTGAAGGAGCAAGTGTTCTTGATGGAGTGCAATCGATGTTGCTTGCTTGAACCTTGCTTGAGAATAAACACAATAATGCTTCCTTTTAACCTTTCACTCAGTTTCTGGCTCATTCATGCGATCACTGAGCATTTGTGCTGTACTACAACAAGCTGACGGTGGGTGTCCGGCGTATAGCAGCGACATGCCACTCCGGTTTCCTACGCATTATGTCGTCGCCTGGACCACCTTGAACAGATTGGACATCTCGCCTTGTCTATGGTATTGATCATATGTTGCTTCCTCTTGGCAACGTACTTCATCTTTTTGGACTTGACCCACACAGGCCGGGCCCATAGTCGTTCTGACTGTGTACATGCGACCACGATCAGAAGTGCGAGAGTGACTGGTGTGAAAGTTAGTTATGGATGCTTTGGAGTAGCTCTTGATTACACGCTGCCCCTCGCACTGTCGTACACCATCCCGACCCCACATTTTGGTTTGCAAACCAACCGCTACAGCCACTACCAGAGGTTTGCGGAGGCCCTTCACAGCAACTTTCGGCTCTTCAAACATTGAGAATGTTTGCGAGAGAGGAAGTGACTTATGATCAAAACTGTAGAAAACCGCAAGATCCTGTACCACCATGAGCCTTCCTGTCGGGGTGATTGGTGCTTGAGAAGCTCATCTGGCCAAGCCTGGTGAAGATGTGGATGTCGATGGACGTGAACGTTTATTCTTTCTGGCTTGAAGCCGTGTACGGGAGCGCTGCTGCGGTGCCGTCCCGCAGAGGCCCTACGAAAGTCTTGGCAGACCTGTCGGCCCAGGTCCCCACAAGAAGGCTGTACTGCAAGAAAGCAACAACGACCGCCGGCGTATCAGCCAGAAATGGGGTTGGCATCTGGAAGAAACGGGCGAAGGACAAGGTGCGAAAGTCTGGCACTTGCGCTCAGGGCAATTCGCTTCAATTGGGCGAATTCGCCGGTGTGTTTCCGGCTGTCGGCGACTACTCTGAGTGGGGTACTGACCAGTGTGGACCATTGTCAGGACGTTACTGTATGTACAGTACGTCTGTGCAGAAGTTTGTCTTGGGCAAACCTCTGAATCCCCCGCCGTTATGCTTCCTCTCTCGAGTGAAGACAGTACGGCTGCCATCGAAATCAGTTTCTGGCTTTTAACCTCCAATTTGAGCTTTGAAAAAACAACTGCATTGTGAACGGCGAGCG